GCCATGACCCTTGGCAACCACGAGTTTGATGGCGGTGACGCAGCGCTCGGAGAGTTCCTGGTCAACCTCACATTCCCCATTGTCAGCGCGAACGTGCATTCCGAGGACGAGAACGTCAACAAGACTGTCAAGCCATACACCATCTTTGAGGAGCACGGCTTGGCGCTGATCGGTGTCACAGCGGAAGAGACCGGTAGTCTCAGCAACGCCGATGTTACCACCGTCTTCTCCAACACCGTTGAGGCCGTTCAAGGTGCCATCGATGAGATCAAGGCCACTACCAACATCACCAGGATTGCTGCTCTCACTCACATTGGCTACGACAAGGACCAGGAGCTGGCCAAGGCCACCACTGGTCTTCAGCTCATCATGGGCGGCCACAGCCACACCCTGCTCGGGGACATGGAAGATGCCGAAGGCAAATACCCAACCATTGTTGAGAACCAAGACGGCGACGAGGTCTTCATCGTTACTGCCTACCGCTGGGGCGAGTACCTCGGCTACATCGATGTCACATATGACCCTCAGGGCAAGATCCTCGCTTATCATGGCGCTCCAATTCACCTCACCAACACTACCGAGCAGGATGAGGACCTCCAAGAGCAGATTGAGGAGTGGCGCATTCCGTTCGAGGAGTTCGCTGCTGAGGTGCTTGGTACTAGCGAGGTAGAGCTCGACCAAACTACTTGCCAACAGAAAGAGTGCCTGCTTGGTGACTTCATGGCCGATGCTATGCTCGCCTACCGCAAGAACAACACCGACGACGTCGACTTTGCCCTCATCAACGCTGGTGGTATCCGTGCCACTATCGACCAGGGTGACATTACCCGTGGCGAAGTCTTGACTTCCTTCCCCTTCGGCAATGCTATTGTTCAGGTCGAAATCGACGGAAAGACTTTGTGGGAATCTTTGGAGGGTATCGTAACTGGTGTCAACGTCGGCAATGGCAGGGAGGTCACCTCTTTCTTCCAGATCAGCACTGGCATTAAGGTCGAATACAACCCCGAGAACGCCAACAACTCCAAGCTTGTCTCTGTGACCATCGGCGACGAGCCCCTCAACAACGACACTACCTACCAGATGGTCACTCTTGACTTCATTGCTGGCGGCGGTGACAACTTCTTCGAGCCATCGACTGATTTCATAACCCTGGACACCCAAGACGAGGTACTCACTTCGTACATCTTGAGCCAAACACCAGTCAACATCGAGCTCGACGGACGTATTGAGGAGGTCGACGGCCAGAGGGAGGATACGCCTGGTGCTGGTAACGGTACTAGCAACGGCACTTCACCCACGACTGGAACTCCGCCTCAGCAGACCGAGAACGCAGCTGCGCGTCTTGGTCAAAGCGCCGTTGGTGTTAGCGTCTTCGGTGTTCTTGCCGGTCTGTTCATGCTATGAGCTTGAAGTGATACAGAAGCACGGTGTGTACGATGCGGCGTGAATGATATAATAAAACCATTAATGAAATATTTATCCTTACCAAGTGCGTCGCGTTTTCACTCTTGTCAAATCGCTGTCACATTTTTCCCTTGCAAGTGTCCCAAGGTTCAGGGCCATGTGCGCGGACGCATCACAGACCGCGATATAAAGTGAGCCATTTCGTTGAACTAACGTGGGTCAAATGATGTGTGAACTCTGATGCGCGCGCATGTGTGAGCAACCTCTCGCTACGCGGAGAAGTAGGCTGAGACCGAGACGGAAGTGAATGGCACAGTGAGTAGGTCGTGTGCAAAGCACCTTCTGGCTATAAAAAGTCTTCGGTTCCTTAAGGTTAGAAAAGTAGAGATTGTAATTCTCTATAACTTTTGTTACAAGAGTATAAGAAAAAACAGCACAGGAAGAAGTTATAAGGCTGTAGAAAGAGAGAGATCTATAAGTTCGGCCTTTTTGGATACCATGTGGGAATTATACCTACATACAGCAGGGAAACAATGTGGTTATACACTATACTCTAGAGATTACATCCAACAAGAAAAAACCCCCCGTAAAAACAATGAATTAATGAAGCCGCAGCGCCAAAGAGATATGATGCGCGAATGAACCGAAAGGCGGGTGGACCAAACGTTGGGCGAGATATTTGCGCAAGACGTGCCGTTGTCAAATGCGCATGGAGCGTTGGGTCCAATATCGGCAGGCCGGTCATATCGAGCCCTTGGGGGTTCGTGGCAACAACCCTTCGTACGCCAACGTAAGTCAACTGACAATGTCTGTAAGACTGAGCGCGGGTAAATCTTACCATGGCAGGTTCTACGGAAGAGCCTTCTATGATCTCTGGAGTTATTCGCGCGCGATGGACAAGCGACCTCGTCATGCTATGTGCCTTCCCAGTCGTCGAGACGGCGTTGTTAGAGAGCGCCATGGAATGTTTGAGGTGTAAAAGCAACAAAAACATTTATTAGTTGCAACATATACTTGCTATGGGCCGAGATTAAAGTGCGTTACGCAATCTTGAGAAGCATCGACTCGAGACCGGACTCGGGTTCGGAAGCTTTAATGCTTGAACAGCAAAACCCAGGACGAACGGTCAGAAAGACTACAGTTCCGGCTGGCATCTTGTATGCACACTACCCAAGTATAGTACCAATATCCTATACTGTGTGCTCAATGGACTCCTTCACTTCGATAGTTATTGCGGAGGCTACTATCCAAGAGGTCGATCTTCAACCAAGCTCGCGTGTCTATCCGGTTGGTTAGATAATCGCTATCATAGTCAGCAATGCTACTATTCTTCACGCGGCATAGTTCATAGTATTCTTACATTTTACAAAATCCGTCTCCGATCTGATCTTTCGCCTCTTGTGGTCACGCTCGATGAGGGAGAAGAATAGCAATGGCATAATCGGGTGTGTTTGCATCAAATTAGCTAGTTTTATCTTCGTACAAAGACTCTAATTTAAGTGTCGCAGAACCGGAGAGCGTCGGGTTCAATATCGCTATGCTGGCGATATGAATTGCCTAGAAACTCGCCGGGCTCATCTTCAGCGATATCCCTGAAAGCAATGCGCAGGAACTGAGCCTCGGACTCGGTGCCTTTAAGCAGACCCTGTTGAGTGCGTGAAGGCTCTCCATGCTCGTCTTTCACTGCCACTGCAGTGCTTCGCACCCGCTTCGATCCTTCCTTGATGGCCATATGTTCATCCCATATATGCTCCCCAATCATTGATCCATTGTACTGGACATTCGTCGCTGGCAAGGTGGGTACCTTCGCGGAAGATGCATTTGAAAATTCCGCTTGCCTTGTACCCTCCAATGTGGATGAATCCAAAGTGCTTTATGTACGCTGCCTTGTTTCTTCATGGTATGATCTGCTTCATTGTACAAACATTCACCCCACCGGGGCAAACCATCCAGCGAACTGGTGACGGCTTCATCGGGCCGACAGATGTGGCTTTTATGCTCTTGGGAGCCACACGTATACGTTTAGGGTAATTCGGCACCTCGTCGGGAGATCCGCGCTTGAGATTCGCGGGCGCTTCCGCGCTGGAGAGATTTTGGCGCTCCACTAACTAGCATTAGCGGGTGGAGCCATATCTACTAACCGACGTCTTCACTCCTTCCAGTGAGTTCTAGGATATTCGCAACGGCAGCGACGTCGTAGGGGTGCATCCATACGATCTCAACAAGCTTGAAGACCTTGACACGTCCAGGCATCTGCTCCGAAAGTACGTCTGCCGCAGATGTTCAATATGATCTGGTCTTATCCCCGGACTCCGGAAGGCTCTCCAGATTTTTAAGCAAGAAGGGAAGGGAAACCAAAAATCTCTTCCAGGGTAACTCTGACGACTTCTTTGAACTTCTCTTTTGAGTCGCGCTGGAGAAAGCTTCTGGAGGATCGCTCGAGCCGAAGCTTCCATCCACAAAGTGATTTATCTCATTGAAGGGATCCAAGTACCCGAGCCAAGATGAAGGGGAGACGTCAGCATGAAGGGCGAATGAAAGATCGAGATCTTTGATGCGAGATGAATGCGCTGCAGTACATCTGAGCGGGCGTGAAAGATGCGGAAGGGCTCAGCCTCTTGTGCTAGCCGTCAAAACGATGGATATGTGCATATCATCCAGATACTGGTCTTAGGATGGTGAACGAATAAATTGAACGCCTGCTACCGAGGCTGCACCTGCGGCTACAAGGCAAGCCTACACCCCGAACAGACTGGCCCATACGGTGTTGTAGTGGAGCATGAATTATGCGCGTACGTGTAAGGATGGCAAATTTCGAGAAAAGATGTCTATGCCTTGTGGTGAAGGGTATCGCGGGGTGGTGAGGAGAGATGAGGTGCCGACTTCGAGATCACTGCCGATGGGTGGGTGGGAGTGGACCGAGGGTGACGCACAGACGCACAGACCCAGTAGCTGTTTGTTCGTCGCACACGTCGAACTCTCTCTTCGTCACGAACTTTAATTGGAACAAATCTAACACCCTCCATCCAGTCAGCCGTTCCGATAACGACGAGACTGATCCTCTCTCGCCTCTGAACATGCATTCTATAGCTTCTACATACCCGCGAACCTGTCCAGCTTAGCAACGAGCGGAGGCCCCTCGATAGTCCAGTCAAATACAAAACACCTCCACGCAACGAATCGATCGACGTGTCTAGAAGATGTACGCATATGCAGTTTGGGGTGTAGTAGAACATACGGTGAACAGGAGCGCAAGGGGACTAGCATGTCGAAGACTTGACAAATAGACTGAGACATTGCCCCGGGCAGTCGAAAGGTCTACTATACAACCTGTACTTCTGTAAAGGGACCACCCTGCTACGATATGAACTTTGTATAAGAGTCATGTATGTTTCTGGGCATCGAAGGCTATGATGGGCCAAATATTTGCTAAGCTACAGCAGCACTCCAATCTGTTCCGAAAAGAGCAATGATTCAGACAGCATCGGAGCTCTCCACTGGACTGAGATGATTTCGGTAGGAATGAACATTGCGATTATTACAAAATGATAATGTCTATATAGGAATATCCACATAAAGTGCGGAAGAAAAGAATCGTGACGATCGTGGAGTACATGAAGACGTAGCGCTAAGAAACCTCAAAACACAAACAAGCTGATGCGCGACACAGTTGATGTCGCATGCCGGACTACCAAAAAGATCCCCCAGGGAGATACATCTGAATATCATCTGGAAGCGAGTTGAGCGACATGTCGAAAAATTCGGATCCAGTACCACCGGCCTGGCCATGTAGGGTGCCTGACGACTCCCCGGGACCATTTCCACCCTCCAGCTTGGTATCGCCCATCTTCTTATATTGGATGCTGGAAGGCTCTCCCAGCTCATCTTCCACCACTACTGCAGTGCCTTCCGTAGGCTTCGACGTGGTCGAGGGGACCATATGCTCGTTCCATGTGTGCGTTACCAGATCTCGAAAGTGAGAAAAGGATTTGGTGACAATAGAGACGATACCCGGAGATAGTTTGCACTTCTCGCACGCTTCGCATATAAAACCGTCAGGTGTTTGGTACTCTTTTAGGTGGGTCTCGAAGTGCGTCCCAAACTCCTTCTTTGACCTCCAGTATCTGTGTTTTCGCATCTGACACTTGCCTCCGTTGCCTACGCATCCGTAAACATTGACGGTCGGCTTGTTCTTCCTTTTCCCTTTCAGCTTCGGTTCTATGCCCTTTGGAGCTTTCAGCGCACGTGTAGCAGGGTATTCGAGCGATTCGTCGGAAGGTTCGCGCTTGATATTCGGACCTTTCTCGACGATAGAAGGAATTGGGGTATATACTGCCTAACTTTAGCGTGGTATCACAATTTGTAGCAGTGTCTACTAACCGACGTCCTCAATTCTCTTGTCAAGTACCTCCGTTGGTATCTCTGCCATGATGGCCAGGCCATTAAAGTTGCCAGACACCGCCATGGTGGCAAGGTCACGGAAGTTGCCAGTCCATACCGCGATCTTGAAGTTTTGGATCATCTGAAGGAATTCGTCCGGGTGTATGCCTCTCCTCAGGAAGTCAGATATGGCCTGGTTTTGTTGACTAAAGAATAGAGGAGGCAGAGGATCACCAGCAGCCATGACAGGTTCCATAGCTTGGATCGATTTAAGGCCGTGAGTAGTGTCATGCGCAGGTGTGATGCTATGATGCGGATAGGACGCATCGTATGGCGAGTCGAAATTCTTGGCTACGGGTGATGTAGTCATGTTGGAGAGCGCAGCCATGGCGGAAGTCGTACTGTGATTTGATTCATCTCCGTGAGCAAGTTGGGGGAATGATGCTGCAGGCCCGCAATGATCATTTTGCAAGGCATTGTTGGATAAGTCGAGCGGATGAGTCGTAAAGGTAAAGGTCTGATCAGGGAAACTCGGATTTTGCGACCAAGAGAAAGAGAGGCGCTCGGACATTTCGATGACGATGGGCCCAGGATTGGCCCGTATCTCGGTGGAGACTAGCGCCAGGGACAATTCCCCACGATTTTCCCGCGCCGATGCTGGGGTGCGGACACTCAACAACTCGTTGCCAACAAGATGTAGATGGCTTTTTGGAGGAAGGAGTGACGTTGAGAAAAGCGAACGTGCATATGAGGGTAATACAAGGAGTAGTAGAGTGAGTGTGTGCTTGCACATGTGTGGACGAAATCGGATGAGGAGTGGGAAGTCGAGATGAAGGGCATGCTGGAGAACATATAAACAGTGCTAAAGCACGATAGCGTACCTGTTGCAATGACTGTAAAACATGTAAGCCATGTGTTTGTTTCAGGCCTCATGGCGAGATCCACGTCGTTCTGCCGTTCCGAGAATGTAAACCTTTTATGGGCCAGCATTGTGACAGTTGCTGTGCCTCCTTCTGATTGGTGTGCCTGGCTGAGGGCATTTGACTCGGGCGTTGATCGGCGACTCGCAGGGTCCAAATTGCCGTTTAAGTACGACAGAAGCAGCAAGCACGCCTATTAGAGAATAAACTTTGGCTATAGGAAGAGCTAAGTGTATTTCTACTAAGCGTAGTAGTGTACAACGCCTAGCAGTGTGTAGCTATTTTGCAGTTTTACTTTCTTAGATAGATAAGAATAAAAGTAGATAGCTGCTGTACAGATAGAGTAAAAGATGTACTTAGTAGTAGCACAACTAGGCTAGCTAAGGAGTTGCTCCTACTTGTCTAATACGAGGCTCTCTTAAAGAGAACAGTATAGTAGGGTTAATTAAACCTAGGCTAGCTGTTCCGCAGCCGCGGTTATAGTAGCATCTTAACATAGCGAAGCCCCTGGCGCAGGGAAAGGCACGATGTGAATGTTCCGAGATGCCAACGTTGGTGCTAGCGGGAGAAGTCCGCCCGCGGAACCGATCGGCTGGTCCCCTGTCAATGGCTCAACGCCATGGATGGCCCGTCGTTACTCTTCGTACTGAATCCCCGTGCGCAAACCTGCAATCTTCAGAATATCTGACAGACCGATGGGCTCAAGCTCAAGCCATTCGCATCCAGTCGATCGCAGCCCCCATCTTGCGAGGCCTGGGTAGAGTGTACTCGGCAATGGAAGTTGCTCAGGGCTGTTCACTAGGTCCGCCAGCCTGAGCTTTTGGTAAGTGAGAATAAGAGTGATCATGAGTAGGAATAAGGTAACGGCTGTATTTCCCTCAACTTTCTGGTTGCACGCTGACGTTCTTGACGTTTTTGACAGCTTGGCAAAGATCGCAAGGTCTGAGCATGCCTGCAACACTAGTGCGAGTGCGTTACAATGTCGTCGCTGTCAAACAATGCACTACGATAAATTTACAATACTGTCAACAAGACCAGGTTTTGAGTCTTGTCCATATCGCCGCCTATTGTGATCAGCGGAGTAGCATTTGGATATATTAGGCCTGTTGTTTCCTGACCACACCCTCTTGCTCCCATCAATCTTCAAACCATAGGGGTCATGATCGTCGCCAACACCATCTCAACACCACGCACAATTCCCGAGTACATCATGAACTGCACGGCACTTCATCATCTGGGCTGCCTGGTCGTCGACAAGACAACCCCGCCCCCAATAATTGTCAACTGCACCTCGAGTGCTTTGATGCTGGATCGTGCATGGCCCAACGGGGATACATACACAAGCATCGTGATAGGGCTTGTCACAATCTGCGTGGCAGTCTTACAACTTCTGTTCGGAAACAAGATTGCTAACGCCATCAACCGTATGCAAGTGCGTGTTCCCGTATACATCATTAGCTAACCCCTAAGCCAGGACTCCAAGCCAGACACGCAAACGAGGGAATTGAACTTGTTCGACAAGTGACAGGTTGATTGTGGTTGTCTCGAGCGAGACGAGCTATTCTTGCCGCGCTAAGGAAAGAGGGGTAATTATGTGCCGATGCGCCTCTGTGAGATAGAACGGGAAGACCTACCTAGATATTCAACAAGATGGTTGCGACAACCAGTACGCCTGTGTTCAAATGCGCAATGTGACCATTGACCCAAAGAACCATCAGTCCCAGCATCTCGCTGCCTCGAAATTCATCACACTTTCTGACTACCACGTGAAGGAGTAGTGTACCAAGTTACTGAATTCTGATTCTTGGATCTAACGGGTTACGCACAAACACGTTCAAAACACGGACAGCCGGGTATTCATGTCCCACCGCTCCAGCTTGGAATGACCATTTCATTATCAATTGGCAAAGAGCTTACTTTCGATCTCAGAAGCTTACGACTGGCGTTATTGGCGAGTCTGCGTCATCGACGGCAAAATCAGACCGCCATGTCTGCAAGTACTATCGATAAGGAAGTTAGCAAAGCCGTGCGTTGGGCTGATTGGCGCTGCCGTCCCCTGTTTTACCCTTCATCCAAGACTAGCCAAGTGCCGCATACTCGATGCTCTAGGGCCAGCAGCTAGGCCGGGCTTAGCATAGTCTGGAAAGACAGATGGGCTGATTCTTAGCTGCTATGAGCTTGTCGGTAATTCCACCACGTGGGGCGGTGCTGTATGTTGAAAGTGATAACTGTGTCGGGCTAAGCGGCGCTCGGCATGTACGGCCCCAAACCTGGTCGAGATGTATAAGGTTCTATGTCGAAGTCGGCTCGCTCCACCAGGTGTATACTCCGTAAACACCCGCACGAGCTCTTGCTTAAAGCCTTTTCATGCCTTTAGAGGGCGGTTTCAGTGCTGCTCCGTTGGCTGAAAACACGGTATGCATTCTAACAGCGTTTGAACTGTAATATCCGTGTTCTCTCCGCTGCCCGCGACAGCTGCAAAGACGCCCGTGTCGAAGTCTAGTCTATACGGGATTGTTATTGCTACCGATCGTCAGGGAGTAAACTGCGCTGGAACTACTGCCCTTGGCTGGTCATGACGTCAGCATCACAAATCTCAAACCTTGATGCTGGGATGAGAGATACGCATGCATATCAAAAAAAGTGTTCACCGCCACGCTTGCTATGATGAAGGGTCCCTTTCGGGAGTCACGGAGGGGTTGATTTCTTTTAGTGTCATGGAAAGAGAGGTTCTTCATCAACGTACCTACCACATGTACTGGAGAAAATGATGCGGCTCTCTAGGAACACCCTTTCTGCTTGCAGTCAGATGTGTGAGACTGCAGCCACATGCTCTTGCTATCTGCTGTTGTGATGCGCCTAAGCCTGGGCCCAGTATCTTGGCTACTGGTCGCAAGTTACGCAGCTGGAGAAAGCCGTTCCTGCCAGGCATTCACTGCATTCGTTGCGTAGGGAGGTTCCCTGCGCAACAGCTTGTCCTGATCTTATTGCCCTGCGACAGAGTAAGCACGTGTCATCCTTGAGTATTCTCTACCTGCTTCTGGCGCAGGCCAACAAACCCGATGTGGCACATCGAGGCCGAGACGCTTCTATACGAATCATCATGTCGCTCGGATATGCCAGCTTATCCTATCTCGAGCGCTTACGCGACATTGGAAAGATTCAGTAGCGAGTCCAAGGTTCTTCCTGGCTGGTTGGAGAACATGTAAGGTCTTGGGAAAAGTAACCACAGCAAACCCTTGTGCAGATCGCGGCATACGTGGCTCGCACAAATCACTACGATTGCTCGCTGTTGCAGCAAGCAAATACCTACGTCGGACGTCGCATTGGCTCTTTCTTCCAGCATGTTCATCAAGCTCTGAAGACGAGAGTAATTGCAATCTTTGATGGCTCTCATCGCTTTGCCTATCGCAGATTCTCACGTGCGAAGTTCTCGTAGTCGAGGTCGTGTCATCCATGCATTTGCGCCACGATACAGAGAAGGGCGGTAACTGCCCGCAAGGCTATGTGTTGGATGGAGAAATGAGTGTATTGATTCATCTAACATGAGATGGAAGCTGCCTATAAGTGGCAGTACGCTTGCTACATACAAAGGAGTGTGACAGCAAGCAAAGTGAGCAAGCTGATTGTACATGAGATGAAAGCTGATGGAAAACAACACTATGCATGCTTCCAGTAGCTCGGTGTTCCCCTTTTCCTTTTCCTTTTCCGCCCTGTGCTCTCCCGCTACTAAAATGGCCGCGTGGCTGTTAGCGCGTTTCCAACCAACCCCGACTTTGCTTTTTCATGTGCACCACGAGCTTGAAATAACCTTATTTACTGTATCCCTTCCGTCAGTGAAAATTTTCTCATTGGCAACCAGACTGCTGCTCGTTTCGGTTGCAGAGAGCCGCCGAAGGAGTCTGGCTCTTAAGTGATGCTGTGAAGGACGATCGTCATAGTGCGCGGACAGACTGCATCACCTGTCGGGTTCGGTAACTTAGCCAATGCTTCGGTCAGCATTGCCAGTCCAGTGAGTGCACGCGTCGGCCGTGATTCGCAATGTGTAGCCGGGTTGTTGTGTTGGTTTCCAAGCTACAGCAAGCTCACTTGTCCATATTAGGACCGTTCCAACCTCGTCGTCGCATAGCGAAGCCATCACATGGTTGGTTACCGTTGAACTAGATCTTCGCGTCTCTCGGAACTTCACCCGTAGACCCTGTCGTAACGCGAGTCAACAATCTGTGCATGCTCTAAACGTCTGTTGCAGCTGCCACGATCATCATCTGGATCCTGAGAGACTCTTAATCTCACTGTGAACTACGCTTCACGGCAGTTGCACGATGGTCCAGACTTGTCATTCGCTTGGTCTCTAGCCAGATCATGCTTTGCTTCGCACCCAAACCCCCGGTGATCATGACTGGCCCCATCTTAATGAAATTTACTCCAAAGAGAAGCCCATCCCGGCATATCTGCGCAGGCTGCGCAGCCTCTGCGAAAGCACTGCCGTTCGCTTCGATGTTAGGGTGAAACGCCCGCCAAGCGGCTCAGACGGAGCCCACGAGCTATCGATTACGAGATGTGAGGATGGGTGATGATGACGCTTGAGGAAAGCAAATCATACTTTGTTGCGTTATGGGATTTTGCGTGCTTGACCGAAAACAAGCTCTACTATTAACTTGCGTCGTGGTGAGAAAATAGGGGTGACTTGGTGAACAACGCACCGTTTTAAGATAGAATGCGTAACACCCAACGAGTTTCTCGCAACAATGGGAGCGCCGCACGGCGCTGGCGCCAGAATCTTCATCTCGACCAAGGAGCCGGAAGGCGCAAATAAGCCGGTCATGGTCCCTTCCCCGTCAGTAGTCGCACCATAGGAGTGGAAAGGAAAAAGCGGTATCCGTATGTTTGATCTCGTATTTTGCACCCGCGGACGCACTGCCATACGTCACTCCAAAGCCAGATACGTCATTCCGCGATCCCGCATTTGCCCTGCCTGCCCCTGACAGCATGCCGTTGCTCTTCGCCTGCGATGCCGAAGGTAAATTTCCCTTGTCTGCAATTTTGCCTAAGACCTTGCGCTCATCATTGTTACCTAGGTGATCGCACCTGAAGGGAATCCATGGTGGAATTGACTCTCGGGTGTGAAACAGGCGCACTGCATTTGTAGCAACTCTTGACGTCGGGCTCTGCTTCTCGGTGCTGTTCCAAGAACCAGGCTTGTGGGAATGCGGCGCCTCAGCCTGGCGACGCTGGATGCTACATCTAAGCGCAAGGGTAGCCCGGCTCCGAGGGTCTGATCGACGCCCTCATCAAATCAAGCGCCTCGACTGCTGGCTCGCAGACAATCACGATAGGGAAATGCCATTTTCCGATAACAACGTGAGGGGGCATCCATCAACCGCCCTCGTTATGCAGTGGCCTTACATCTCTACCGCTGGTTTCTCTAGCACGTGTAAGAGTGCTTGGGCTGCTTTATGTGTTTGACTTGCTATGCGTGCATACGCGCGTTGAGGGTTCGAAAGTCCGCTGGCTGTGATTCACGCTCTCAATCTCGCCCCCATCCAATTCTGCCCGTCTCAGCAAAATCTTTCCTACTAGCACTTGGCAAAGTGCCATGCTAAATTACGCGATGTCTAAAGATAAGCCGTCGTGCAGCAGTGTTTCGGTGCTAACAATATGCGCCTGGATCTGACCCTGGTATCCAGGCTGCTGAATGCTGATTGAGCAGTTGTGCTAAAGCTTGCCACTCTCTATGCTCGTTTGCTTGGGAGTTCTTGAATGGTGGCTTGCGCAAATATGGCGACTTGAGACGAAGCGAATAGTCGCATGCGCTGCACAAGCGGCTTACTGCTGTCTCGAGACTGCCAGCGCATATCTCGACCGCCTCCGCGGAGCTCATTAAAGACGGTAGCGTACCAATTACTCTTCACCGTAGATTCTACGAGGCGCATAGACTGAGGGTGCATCCTAGTTTGGCTCGGTCTGGTTGATGGCGCTCACCCGCATGCGCTGAAACAAGGTGGATTCCACCCCCATACGACTCCGCTCGTACTCTTCAGCGCCGGTCTAAGCCGCCGATACCAGGTTGGTTCCCGAGTTTTGGTGAACAAAGTATGTTTGTTCAGCAGACTGAAGTCTTGCGCAGTCTGTCGCAACAAATAAAACATAGGATGTCGCAATGTGTCGTACCGTCCACTGCGTCCATGCATCTTTCATATCCCACATTCAGACACCGATCTGGAATTGCTCTGCCATAACAAGTTTAACGACCTTCGCATAATGACGATCGTGCTTCAATGGTATCGCTTGAGCCAGGGTGCTTAGGCTGCAGAGAATGGCTGGGGGAACATTTGCTGATAATGATTATGTCACTGAGATGAAGCAGTCGGTGCAGGAGGAGCTAAGTCGAGGCAGTGTTGCATAACCAGCGGAAGATGGAGTGCCATCCGGACATTGGGCGCGCCAATGACTCTAAAGACATGGAGTGGGGTCATGATGCGCGGCCAAAGTGAATTGCTCGCCAACTCCTGCACAGGTCTTCCGGCATCTTTATTCTTTATCACAGCAACCGGCGAGGCTACATTCAACGGCGACGCAACACATCGCCGTTGACTGTAGCCTCGCCGATTGTTCCTCGCAACACTAACCCCACTCGCCGACTCCGCGCCCCGCACTTTCCAGTTCCAACCTCAACTCATCCAGCTTGCGCTTCCACTCTGGTGACACGGGTTGCAAGGCCGATACCAGTATTGTTGTGAGGGCTGTATCTTGTATCAAGGGTTGAGGAGAGAGCGAAGGCGATTGTATGCAAGTGTATTAGCAACATCATGACGTCATAGGACTATTATATGCCATGCCTGGTGAGCGACCCGCGATGTAAGTCGTCGGTCTGGCGTCGATTCATAGTCAGGTCAAGCGAGTTGTGAAATTACTTATCGCCAGAGTCAGGTTTTGTTCCCTAGATTTGAGAAATATGGTAGTACAAGGAGTGTTACTGCATATATAGTGTACGGTATAGACTGTGGCCAAGCTCCTTGAGCTCGGGAAAGGTGAAGACAGTGACGGGGATGCCCAAAAAGTATATACAAGAATAGAACGTTGTGATAAGACGTGATAAGACGTGACAGGACGTGACGAGACATTAATAGCGCTGAAATGGACCGTGACGATCATGATAATTGACACCGAAGTGACCTGAGTGCTGCCAAAAAGCTCTTCTCACACGAAGTGAGTAACCCAGATATGCATGATCAGCGCATACCCGGGCCCTGCAAATGAGTCGCTGCAAAACGAACATTGCCAACGAGAGTTATCAGCGCCATATGTCTGGAGATGATGGACCTCAAAGTGTTTGCGAAACTTCTTGAAGGAAGTCCAGCATTCTCTCTTGAGGAGGTCCTCGGGATTGCACTTCCACTGTTTCTCATTCTCAGCCGGCTTATCACCGGGACATCCCCTTCGACTGATCTTTGTAGCCAGCGGTGCGTTTGTAGCCTGTGGTGCCCCTGTTGTTTCCCCGTCCATGGAATCCGTACGTGGACGTTTGATGTCTTGGGACGAAGAGCTCGGCTCCTCGTCGAAGGCTTCCGAGAGTTCGCGCTTATTGTTCATCGGGGTTGGTATGGTCGCGGGTGTAAGTACAGTGTCGGGGGTAGGTACAATCGCTGATGTAGACACGGTTGTAGGTGTAAGCATGGTTGTGGGTGTAGGCGTAGGGGCGTTCGCGGATGTAGGAACAGTTGCGGGCATGGGTATGGTTGCCGGCATCGTTACGGTCGCGAGAAGGCGGGCTTCTAGCTCAAGTTAGCTTGGAGAGACTCGTGGATGTTTTGGCAACGTCTACTAACCAATGATGCGGATTCTTCCTGGTAGCTCTTCTGTCCCAACACCCGAGATGATCTCAAGTGCCTCATTGGATTTCTTCAAACCTTTGTGGTTCTCGACACACTCGATAATCTGCTCTACGGTATACCCGAGGCTAAGCAGGTATTGTATGGCGTTGTCTTCGATCACGGTGCCGGACGAAGTCGCCGGTGTCGAGGCCTCCTGATTGACGTCTGAGTCAGGCGTTGAGGAGTCCTGTTCAGGAGTGGAAGGTCGGTGCTCCGGAACGACAAAGTCGGCTAGGATGCTGCGGAAGTCGTAAGGGGTATTGGAAGACGACAAGGAAGTGATATGTTCGTCGGACATTATGATAACGGTGCCTGGGGTATACTGGAATGGTAGGTGTTCGAGTAAAAAGGAATGTAGGAAGGTCTAGACAGTGACGCGATAGTGCTGTGAAGTGTAGTTGAAGGAGTGTGTGTTAGTCAGAGTATTGACGATAGTGAGCGTGAATGTGAGATGGAGAGCGAGTGACGGAAAGGACTTATAAGGTACGAAACGATTGCCTTACATCCCAAAGACTGGGAAAGATACAGAGGGAGCCCACACCTTTATGTGGCTCGTGGTACTGATTGTAAACTTTGCAATGTTTCGTGGTTGACGCTCTGGACATGTGTTTCTCGGGGCGCTCGGGGCGCTGTTGAGAGACTCCATACAACTAGCGTCGATCATTGGCACATCCAGCAGAGCATTGCCGAGCGCGTCTGTCAAGTAAGGCTTAGCCCAAAACATTGACAAGGCCATCGTGGGTCGAAAAGTGGGTTCGTAAACGTCTGATGTACCCAGGAACAGGAGAGTAAAGATCCGAATCGATTTTAGCTGGTTTCCGGGACGCGCTAGGTAAAGGGAGCGCTAGCCGCATACGAGCCTCGTATTTGAGCAGGGTTGTGTAGTCTGGCCCCAGTCTAAGCGTCGCACAATGCATTGGGCATGACGATTATATCTGCGCCCATCATGTACAAAGCTCTCATACAATAGCAATGCGACAGCAAGTACGCGAAAAGTCCATCGAAGACAAACCAGACATTCTCAGTCTGCGATTAAATTCCATCGTTGTCGGTCTGGCTGTGACTTGATACCATCCATAGCGGCTGCAGCTGCATTCATTGCAGCAGTGTTTATGTACAGAAGTCCTACTGCCTCTTGAAGAAGATCTCTTATTATTGTCAGACTTCAGCACGGTTATCATCACCATCGTCATTGAAACAATTAGCAAATGCGATCAGTCGACTGTAAGTAAATTTCGCTGACAATACTGCCCTGAACTGACCCTAACGTCAGTGTCACAGACCCGCGACCTTGATGTTGGATGAGATACCCATAGTTAGCGAGCTGTGAGGGTGTTGACCGCCATGCTTGGCGTAGGTAGTGAGGGGTTGATCACGAAAGGCGCGAAGTGAATACACCTGTTTGCAGGTTTTAGAAAGAGAGGTTCTGTCCTAATAACTCTAATAAGTTATTTACTGCGTGAGATACGACCGCTTTCTCGAGTATTCGTTGTGGCTGCACTTGACGCGTCTTGCCGTGGACTTGTGCTTTGAAGGCGTATTTAAACCCAGCTCTGGCATCTAGCCACATGCCATCCTACCGCTCGTAGACTTTCGTACTGTGGGCACCCGTTCTTGTCTGTCAGCCACCCCTAGTAGCCCAGTAAGTTCCTGGTGCGGTGGCTTACTTCAAGACCAAGAGGCCACACGCGCGCTGCACATGCGACACCGTTCAAATTGGCGCATGTTCTCCAGGGGCTCACCCTCCCGTTTCTGGACTGCCAACGCATCTCATCTTGAGCGTCCTAGTAAGACTAATGAGAGAGGGTAGCGAGTGCCAATGATTTGGCCGCGGAGCAACGGTTGTTCCTTTGCAACACCAAACATTGCGCCAATCGATATGGCTCTCGGCAGATCCTACTCACCCCCGTGCAGATCACCACATCTCACCTTAGTTATCGTCGAAGCGAGGATATATGGTGTCGTGGTGTGTTTTGGTTTCGTCATGTTGGTTGACTTCAGAAGAGAGTGAAATTCCAGTCTGTGACGATTCTGGTTTTCTCGCCTGTCTCTCGTAGATCTTCACGCGTGAAGTCATTGTCGTTCGTATCAGCTACGCCTCTGCACCAGGATGCAGGAAGGCCGATCACCATCGCCCGCGTAGACTAATCCCCTGCATACACCCGCAGAAGCATGTCGAATTTTCCTATCCCCTGGAGTCTGGAACTGGCGGCCAGCCGGTAACAATCCGAAAAAGCAGTTATTGGGAAATGACACATGGGCTAGTAGCATGCCATGAGACTTTAGCCCCGGTTATCCCGTCGCTCGATTGGCGTGTTTGAAACAAACCCGCCAACCCGTCAACCCGCCGCAGAGCGCCTGTCAATCAACCCAGACTTCTGTCAACTTGCCAATGCTCCGACTCAGTCCTCCGCCGTCCATCCAATGTCTTTTCTCGGAGAAAGAAAATTTCATTGATGACAAGCACACAGCTTATCTCGGCGGTGGAGAACCGCCGAACCAGTCTGGCCTACGTGATGCTATGAAGGATCCACGTCATGATGCGCGAACAGACTGAATAACTTGTAAGGGTTGGCAGCTTATCGATAACCCACTCAAGATTGCACACAGGTTGCCGGGCGCCCGCGTGTTTCAGTGTTTCAAAGCCGCTGCAAACTCCTTTGTCATTACCAGGAGCAAGAAATTTGTGGCTCAGTCCAACGTGCATCGGGACCTTAGAACTCAAAATCTCATCCAGTATGCGTCCTAGTCGGCGTTCTGAAAGACAATCGTCGGCGACATCAGCCACATTGCTTTGCTGTTGGTTTTGGCCTCGTCACTGGTGGTCGCGGCCCCGCACCATTGAGCCCACTCCAAACTCCGCTCTCCCCCCTTCTAACCTTGACTCACCTAATCATCTCCACACCTCCACTCCGACGATGAGAAACACTATCGCAACAGCACGCAGTCGAGGGAAATAACCAGACACGGACGGACTGCATTTAGGACTTTTACCCCAGAATACTTGATGTTCGTGCTCAAGTGCCAGGATGTTACCATAAAAGTCGTGACGGCGCAGTGCCGGTGTAACCCGCTTTATGCGTGGTATGGCTACTCCCGTAGTTAGCCGACGAAGCTTCTGCAACTCTGGGGTCCAGGTGATCGGGCCGCTACATCAGGTCCACTACCGGCTGATGGTGCGACTTGTAAGGCTGATGGTTGGTGTGACTCAAAAAGCTGGTCAATCTTCGCAGATGCACCGCGAAGGGGAATGCGATCAGCTTGAGAGGAGGAGTGTGGGTTGTTTACTATGTATACAAAGAAGGTGATTTAAAATATACTTGAGAGAAATGTATGTACTTGTTGAGTTTATTCAGCGTTTTTCGGTATAATTACCCTCCCGTAATGCCACCCTCTGAGACAAAGGAAATGCTCGCATGTGCGCAGTTACATCGTTACAAAGAAGATCGCCTACTCCGTGCAAAGCTTGAGGTTATTGGGTCCAGAAACAACCTTAATAACAAAGTCATCAGCAGCGAAGATGTTCTTGTCGTCAACACCTTGCGTGCGCACCACCAGCGCCAAAGTATGCAGATCCATCGCATTGTTCACAGCAATCTTGCTGGAAACAAGAGTCTTGCCGCTAGTGCTGCTCGGAGTAAGAGTAACAACAGCCTCGCCATCGAACACCAGCGCAATGGAGAATGCCTTTCCACCGCGAACATGGTTGGAAGAACGCAGCGGCTTGACCCATGCGCTGGCCTCGACCATCGCATCAGCGGGAATGAATATGTCGCTCTGCGAGAGGGTGAGAGTGCTATCGCCCTTGCCGGAGGCGCCACTCTGTGTGACGCCCATGAAACCGTTGGATCTTGACGTCTGGCCTACATTGGCGTAAACCCAAGAGGCGTCAGCGTAAGCACCACCGACCTGGCTGACTTTCCAGTAGGCCATGGAAGTGTCGAAGGTGGTTTCGTAGTCGAATCCGGGGTTCTTGATGTGGTTGGTTGTGGTTGGTTTGGGGAAGCATGTTGTTACTGTAGCTAAGCTTGATGTGCGGGTTACGAGGAATGTTGGGGTAGGAGCGGGCGTGATAGGAGCAGGCGTGGAGCTCGAGGATAGAAACGGAGTGCTATTTGTGGTAGCTGAGGAGCACAGTATCACCTCGGGAGTGCTGGAAACAGCTTCCGAAGAGCTTGGTGTAGCCTCCGGGGTGCTGGAAGTGGCACCAACAGGACCGGGAATAGATTCGACTACGGCCGAACTGGATACCACTACCACCGACGATGCGCTTGAGGTTACCTCTGATGTGCGAGAACGACTGGAGAAGAAGCGGACCACACCTCAACGGTGCTAGAGCTGTGTGACACTTCCGGTGAAGGTGTGGGAGTGGGGGTAGGGGTAGTCTCAGGCGCTGAGCTCGCGACTTCAGAAGAGCTAGTCGTAGCTTCAACAGTGGTAGGAGTAGACTCAGGAGTATTGGAAGCGATGTCAGTTACTGAGAAGCTTACTGGAGTTCCAGTCACAGACGTGCTGGTGACGATCTCGCTAGAGGAAGCAGGGGATGACTTCGCCGCAGGTTTACTCGAAGCGATCGACACACCATCGCTGGATGAAGAGGCGGAAGTAGATATGGCGGAAAAGGTAGTCAATCCAATGACGTAAGACGAGCACGACGACACTACGGCCACGCTGGTTCTGGTGGCTACGATAGCCGAGCTCGAGGATGAAACCGGTGCAGCGATGCAGTCGACAGCTACAATGAACACATCATCGATGTCGAAGTACGGTCCATCAGAGGGGTTGTTATCGACTCGGAACTGGAGGGTGTGCAACGCGCCAATCAAGGCGTGAGGCGTCCTCTCGATGTTACCAACTAGAATCCATTGCCCATCGTCGTTAACAGGCACGACATTTCCAAGGTCATGCCCATCGATCGAAATCCTGAAACGCTGGATCCTTTCGGTTTCGGATCGTAGTGACTTGAACCATGCGGATGCCACGACTTTGGTACCGGCGGGGATGTTGATGTTAGAACGAGTGAATATGGCCCTGTTGTTGTTCTTGCTATCGTTTAGAGTACTTGTTCCACGGACGAAGTAGTTTCCGCTGTGGGCAGACGATGCGTCCTTGACAGCTTCCAGCTTCGTGCGGTCTGCGACAAGAGCGTAGCCGCTGTAGCCTCCGTTCTCGAAACCGCCGTTCGTAACGTATTCTTTGGGTCGAGCAATGCATGTTTGAGTTGGAGATGGTCCGGCAGATGAAGGCAGCGGGGTCACAGCAGGCGTAGAAGAGACCAGAATAGACGACGAGGTGGAGGATGCTGAGGGAAGCGTAACAGATAACGACGCAGATCTGGAAGATTCAACATCGACGGAAGATGATACAACGCTAGAGCTCGATGTAGTGTCGCTTGCCATTGATGACAAGGCTGTGCTGGTGGTTGGAAGAACAACTTCGCTGGTAGACGAAGCAGTGACTTCACTGACAGTCGGAGAGACCACATCACTAGGGGTGGAAGAGGCAGCAATGGTCTCACTAGTCTCGATCATCGATGAGGAGGACTCCGAGATGAGAGTAGATGACGCAGATTCGTTGACAGTTGACGTAATGCCCTCAACAAGAACTGAGCTCGAGGTTTCCGATGATAGTGCTGGCTGCTTGGTGCTAGTCGAAGTTACCTCCAAGCTGTTAATTCTCAGTGACTCAGTCTCGCTAACAGTGGGCGTTACTACTGGTGAAGTCTCGGTTACGGTTGGAGTCTCCTCGGTAGCAGACGGGGTTATCTCGGAGGAGATCGTAGTGGCGGCCGATGGTGTAACGACATCCGAGCTACTGGGGATAGGTGTAACGTCTGCATCGCTTAATACAGGAGTTACATCCGCACTTGCTATGGAAGTGGGGGAGACCTCGATAGATGAAGAAATGACATCAGAAACCTCGCTGGCGGTAGAGGAAGAGCTTTCGGCAACAGGAGTAGAGGCATCAGACAATGCGATGGTGCCAGTTTCGGTCGAAGAAACTGCGTCCGGGGTTGTGGTAATTGTCGATGATGATTTTTTGGTCAAAATAGCTTCGGATAGGGTAGAAAGCTCGGAGAAAGATGACGAAGAGATATCGGAAGTAGCAACAGCAAACGAGGAAGTAAGATCCGGAATAATGACTGTGGTTGAATACGAGATGACGATCTCGGAAGAGACATCGGCAGACGATAAAACAACATCCGAATAGGTAATGACTGATGAAAAAGAGGCTTCGGGTGAGACAACAGCCGATGAGACGACTATTTCGGAAGATGTGATGGGAGTGGAAGATACCACAACAACGGATGAAGAGACTGCAGGTGTCGGAGAGGCGCTCGAAGACGAGGACTTAGTAGGCGACGAACTGATGGTCGAAGACTTAGTGGTCGGACTCTTCGTAGACGTCGTCTTCGTCGAAGAAGGCTTTACAGAGGAAGACTTGGTAGAGCTAGTAGCCGGTTTGACGGAGCTGGAAGAGGAATGAGTGAAAGTTTGCAGAGTAGACGAAGAACGAGCGTTGGAGCAGGTACCAAAGTCAGACTTGCAAACAGTGCCGCAGTGAGCAGCGCTGGAACCGCACCATCCGTAGTCAGAGCAGCAGTCTCCAAAGCCAGATTCGGAGCAAGTATAGCCGGAAGATCCGCCGCAGGAGCCATCGGGAGAGATCTTGCTGTCAGGCTTGTTGATGCAGGTGCCGAATTGAGGGTTGCAGCCTTGAGTAATCTCACAGTGGACGCGGGAGGAACTACACCAGCCGCACCTATTAATGTTAGTCGGTGGTCAGAAGAGTCATGTCCGTAAATAGCGTACTGAGAGCAACAGTTGCCGAAGCGTGAGCCCTCGCAAGTAAGTCCGGTAGCTCCGCCACACTTCCCTGTTTCCGTGACCGCAGCAGATGAGACCGCCGTGAGGACAGTCAAAGCCCAAATGAATACTGGACGCATGGTTGCAATGTAGTTGAACGAATGTGAATCTTCGAGTCAGAAAGAATGATGACACCAAAAGGAATCAAATAGAGACGGCCAGAGAGCAATACACAAGAGACGATGAGCGAGTGATAGCTACTGTAGAAATCTGTTTAAAGCTAGAGACATGATTATACACAACGTAAATTATATAAGAGAAAGTAGATTAAGAAGAAAGGTACTCTTGAAGTTACTAAAGAAGCGCGCTTAATAACTCTAAAGAAGTTTAGAGTGTATAGTAATAGTAAAATGGTAAAAAAGAAAGCGCGTGTTAAGGTAAGTAAATTATTATAAAGACGCTATAAACGCTATAGTAAAGTGAGCTATACCTTACGTATACAAGTAAGATATAGTAGAAGTTTCTAATTAATTTTATCTATTATAAATATTAATAACTATTATACATGATTATAGTTATAGTAGAATCTTTGTAAAAAGGTTCTACTTGCTTATTGAATATGTTAGAACTTTAATTCTATATACGTTTTTAGTAAGAAGAACGTCATAGCTAACGCGCTCTCTTACTACCCCTTAGGAAAGCTCGCGGGTGATTTGCTTGCAGTAGCGTAGGGTATTTACATCACGAAGCGGATTTTCAGCGCTATTGTAGGCACCCGCAACGATAGCGAGCAAGAATTCCGAATATATGTTATCTATACTAGAGATGGCCGCCTGCCTTACAGTAATATTATCGGAGATAATGCAAAGTAAATCTACCTATAGGTACCTTTCTCCCAGTTTCTCTACTAATAATATGGCATCGTGAATTTTTGCAGCAATGCATGGATTAGAGGGACCTGCCTCGCAAGATAGCTCAGTCGGCTTATCTCTTCTGAGCTGTACCTGCGGGGCGTTTCCCCCAGACATAACTCAAGGCTATGCAGCGACATTTCCTGGACGCGGGGACGATGCATCTGAGCAGAACATCGATTACAAGAAGACCCTCCTTGGATATATCGCTCTCTAATGCTGATCGCTCTTGACAATGAGCGTGTTGACCTTCGCAGCGGGCGAGCCAATCTCGAATGAGATCGAAGTCTAAGAATTTAGGGCCCTGCGGAAGTAGACGGCTCATATGAGGGTACTTGGACGTGTTTTGTGTAGCCGCCCGGATACTACTGCCCTCGTCCTCGAGAAGCAGCCCGATCATTAGTTGTATCTTTGACCTGGAACTCGCTGTCATACACGTATACTGTCTTATAAATTATATACTGTGTTTTTTAATGTCATTATTAGGGGGCGTTAAGCTGGAGACGCTCTCTTCGAACAACTCCGCAACAGCTTGACATGCATCGCATTACAGTGGCTTTATACGAACACCACATCTGTGACGATAATATGGCTCCTCAACATCTGCGGGCGGCAGAAAGGCTTCGGGGGTTATCTTGAGTTGGGCGCATTTCTCGCAGAACCTCATGATTGAAAGCAGAGTAAAAGGATGTAGAAGGAACGATGATGATGCCTCTGAACAGCAATGAGGGGCAATTACGACCCCATCAAATTCCGGGCATGAGGCACAGCAAGACACCTATAGCAGCTCTAACTTTATCCATACATGATGGACAGGGCATGCGTAGCCGCCCAAGGTGGCTATGAAAGCTAAGCCCACGAAACGACAATAACACTTGGAAGTGATTCAGCTGCTGAAGGGGAAGGCATCGCAAATGTTGTCGAAGGCATCCTGTGTCTACGACGACATGAAGAGAATTGATAGTGAGACATTGCCATCCAACGCGAAATAACGGAAGGTGAAGATGGATGAAATGTGGATTGTTGGATGGTGTGATGATTTGTCGCGGATGAGGAAAGCGCGGAGGCTGCAGTGAGGCTGCGGCGGATGCTGCTAAGCCTCGCGCTATGACATCACCGGCCCTTTCACTCGTGCCACGAATCCATCAAGACAGCACGCGCAAGGACTTTGGTATGCATGCGCGAGTCGAGTATATCACGACAGGAAACTAGAAGACATGGAGAGCATGTATATTTGCAGCCGAACACTGCGAATCAAATTGCTGCGCTATTCAACGCGACGTGACTTCTAAACACCATGCCCACTATAGACAAAACAACAACGAAAGTCTAACCGAAGCGTTATCAATCTGAAAGCAACCGAACTCCAATAGTACGTTCTCATCTTGATCGAACGCCGACAGTACATTCTCATCTTGCTCAGCTCAACGTCCCCTGCCGACTCCTCTCCATACCCGCCGGCGCGGTGCCAACATGGCTCACGAGCTCCGCCTCATCGGCCCGATTCAATTTAGAGTCGAGCGCATCATCCAGACCTGTATTCCTCGTGCGCATCGGACTCGTCGCATCTGCCGCACTATCATCAACATCCAGTTCTTTTTCCTTACGTCTGATCGTACCCATGCTTGCTACACTAGCATCGTCGCCATCGGACTTCTTCTTGGTCTCACCCTCGCCGTTGTGCACTTCGATGGTAACGTCGGTATTGTCTTTGCTGAAGACACGAAGACCAACGACACACACGGCGTTCCAGGGGTCGCGCTCGAACTCATCTTCCTCTTCGACGAAGGGGTAGCGCGTGTTGTTGTAGCAGACATAGCGCTGGCGTTCGGAGAACATGCGCGGAATGTTGTCTTCGTCGTCCGAGAGGCCAGAGTCAAGCGAGCATGGGCCATCGAGGTCAGAATCCCAGGAGTCATCGGACATATCGTCGGGCGAATGCATTCCGTGCTGAGCGCGGTGGGAGTATTCGCTAGCACTTCGTCCGCGAGTGACCTGGATACCGGGTCGGATACCTGGGATGGGGGTGAGTGTGGCCCGGCGAACGCCAGTTGATGGTCGGTGCTCAGGACGTGGACTGTATGTCCTTTGACCGGGCGTTCCAGGGCGGAACTCATCAGTTAACGGCGTGGGAATAGGCGTCGGCAAAGGTGTAGGGATAGGCGAGTCCGTCATCTGGCCTTCGTTGTACCCGTCGCGACCTTGGTAGGCGCCTGGGAGATCAGTGTTGTAGCCACCGCGACCCTGAAGCTCCCCAGGCATGTTTTGATTATACCCACCCCTACCTTGCAGCTCACCAGGCATGTTCTGGTTGTAGCCCCCACGTCCTTGGAAGCCTTGACTATGGGTAGCAGGAGAAGGTTGTGGACTGTGGTTGTATCCACCGCGTCCTTGGAGGATTGCAGCTTCAGGAGTCGCAGAGCCGTGGCTGTCGCGGTTGTAGCCGCCACGACCCTGTAATGCTCCGGGAAGCGATGCATTGTAACCATCACGACCTTTGTTATACCCTCCCCGGCCGCCAAAACCGCCACCTGGACTAGCCGAGCGCTCACGGAGTGGGTCAAGGCTCGATGCACGATGGTGCCTAGACACCGCTTGATGAACAGGCTTAGCGTCTTCGTCGCCGGAAGTGCGGTTATCTTCCTCGACATTGATCCCAAGACCAGACAGGCCTTCGAGCTTCCTCTCGACTTCTGCCATATCGCCGGAACGATTGAGTTTGCGCGTCTCTTTCGCAGCTTTCTTCAGCTCTCGCAGCTCAGCCTTGTGGCGTAATCTCTTACGGCGTTGGTGAGCTTGCTTCATTTCGGCCTTCTTGCGCTCAACTCTCTCCTCCTTCTCACGTTTGGCCTTATCTTTTTCTTGCTCTCTGAAGTGTCCTTTGGCATGCGCAAGGTCGTAAGAGAGCCCGATCGATAACAGTTTCTCGCGCCGTTTAGTGCACGTCATCCGAATGACTTCATCCGGTGTCGGATTATCAGGTATCCTGGTTGCTTTGATCTTGAGCAAGACGGTGTAGTTACCAGGCTCAAGATCCAGCTCGGTAGAGACGGAGCGCTTCATATAGTATGTACCATTGCTACGAACGATGTACTCTTCTTCGTCGTCTTTGTGGAGTCGGAACTGTAAGTTGAACTCATACTGACCTTCGAGGCCTTGGTAGTAGCGATCGTCAAGCTGGCTGAGCACAATGACCACGGGGCCACCTTTTGCAAGATGTATCTTGAACTTGGTATCGAGGTAGTCGACGCTCCACGGAACGTTGACACTTGTCCACTGTTGAGATACAGTCCATTCCGGACCAAAGAGTCTCGTACGGTCGAAATGCTGGTAGGTACGCAGTAGGTCCTTGTACGAGATCCAGAAGACACCGTCGTCGCCGAACTTGTGATCAAGCTTCCTCATCCATTCCGGGGTCCATTCCTCTGAACCATCGCTCCAGCGACCAGTCCATTCGGTTCGGCCCCAGGGGTTTCGAAGCTTCAGCAGGCGCTGGCCGTCGATCTCGCGTGCTTCCATGACGGAGTAGGCGTGCTTCTCTTGGATGCCTTTGCGAGCACCGTAGATACCACCCATCTGGCCACATCCGAAGAGGAACGTCTTGTTGACATTCATGAGCTCTTCGCGCCAGAATTTGTCCTTGTCCAAGATGTCGGTTGCAAAGACTTCAGACGTGACACCTCCAGTGAGGTCCTCGATGCCTTCGCCAACAAAGCCGCCATCGATGGCGCTGTAGTCGCCGTGTGCTTTGGCAAAGGCCTTCTCGAGCAATGGCAGCCACGTCTCATTGGGATCGCTGCATTGCGCGAAGTATAGGGCCCTCGAACCAGTTTGCATAACAGTCCGGTATTCGTCCTCGGGGCTTTTTCGGTTCTGGAGCTCCAACCAGTGGTAGCGCTCAAGTTTTGCTTCATCAAAGTCCTCTTTGATGAGGTATAGCTTGTCGTCGATAACCTCGGAAATCCATTCGCCATCTAAGACAGGTTAGCTTTTGAGGTACTTGGCTATGCAAAAGTGCCCTTACCTCTGTGGAAGACGAATCCGTATACGCCAACTTGCTCATCGCGTGCAACGCATACCCGCTGTATCAATTCTTCCTTGTTCGAGATCGTCGCCAGTGCCGACATGAACCAGCAGTCGCCGTCGTTACCCTGCCGTACATCGTTCGCCGTAGCGCCTTCGATGAAAAATCGTGGTTCGTCGAAGATATCCTGTGACAGATTAGACATGCGACGATAGTGGTGGTGGTAATACATACCTCGACTCTCTTAACCGACAAAGGATGGAAGTCGGCTTTCTCTTCATGGAGTCCGGTCAAGCAGTCGGCGGGAGTGTCCGGAATCAGCTGCGACCGTTTGAAGTCGGCCTCTATATCGAAATGTGGATCTCGGTACTTCTGGTTCAGTCGTCGGCACTCTTTGACGATCTTTGCGACCTTTCTAGTGCAGGCTTCCTTGGCCTCTTCGTAAGATGCGAGCGCATTGACCCCGGGTATGGACCCTCTCGGCGCATGTGCGGCGGCACGTTTCGCATACAGATTGTCGGGTAAGATCGTAAAGATCTTACCGGGGTGTTTGGTCGTGAATTTGTTCCAGAATTCGTCGATGTTCCTCTGAGGAGCTTGTTTTCTGACCGGCAAGCGTGGCCGTGGCGCAGGAGCAGGCGTATCTTGAACCATGCTGGGCGCCCTAGAGTGTGGAGTGGTGATGTTGATGAAGTCGTTGTGAGTACCATTCGATGCCATTGTCAATTCTGTGCCGCGGCCCAAATGCTCAGGGGCTGGCTATGCTTCTTGGGGCGTACGGCGTCCATTGGGGACTCAGTCGTTAATAAATGTTTGAGAACGATTATGGAGTTGTCAGCCCCCAAAGACGCTTCTTAGAGCTGCCATGTATGGTGTGGTATTTCGAGGGCCTGTAAGAAAAGAAGTGGGGCAGTCAGACACGAGGGCGTTGCTCGGCGCAGCCGCTGGGCCCCCGCACACCATGCCGCTGCGAATCAGCTGGCCGCGGAGCTCCCGAACCCTTGCTCTCTGCCGTCACAAAGCGGAGAGGCAGATACAACGGCGATCTGATGCAGCTGCACTGGCCTGCGTCTTCAGCTGCAGACATGGACAGATGACGAGTAAGAGTGTTGGATTGTGACGCGACGCAGTAGGGAGGCTCTCGTTCTCTGGAAACGGCTCGGATGGTCAATGCGCGCAGCCAGGTTAGCCTGGGGGCGGCCAGCTAGCCTATTCTAGCTGACTACGGGTGGAAGCCTGACCGACTTCTTGTCTTCTCACATTACCAGTAAACGGTCGTCCGGTGATGGTTTGGAGGTGTGCAACTTGTTCACCGAAACTGCCTGCATATGGCGGGTGGTGCTATGACGCCTCTCACGTTCTGGAACCATCACCGCGCGGCACTCGCAATGGTCTGATGAAGCGTTCTTTGCAAAGGGACAGGAGTAACATCCAGACGTGTGAAACGTTCCATCGACGTATTCAGCTGCTCTGTGAAATCATACTCTCGGGGCAGTATCATGACGCCTGTGGGTCCTTCTTAGCCCCGGTCCACTCTGCAGGAAGGGCAATGGACATAGCGCAATACCAGCAATGTTCGAGAACATATTGATGCCGTACTAGGATTCACGTGAGCACAGGTTCGGACTGGAATGGTCTCAGTGGGTGTTTGTGTATCTCTGCGATCCCAGGGTGTGTGCCGACTCTCCATTGATAGGCAACTTTCCTCTGCGAGCGTGGGTCATGCGCAGGTATCTCGGTTCCGAGCCGCCGGACATGTCTCATTGCGTCCATGGTGCTGGAAACGACGCTGACTAACGCTCGCACAGTGCCTGCATAGGTGCTGTAACGTTCGGCAAGGTTCATGATGAGTCGACAGGAGTAGCGGTAATGGCTGCGCGCTCGTCGAGCCGATGTCTCGATAGGGTAAAACGGCATACGTAGCTCCCGGATGAAACAGTATCACCAACAGTTGTCAGGTCTCTATGTCAGCCCTAGCACCCAGCCCTACGAGCGATGCTGCGAGCGTCCTGCGATTTTGCAGGGATGCGATCTCACCGTAATTTCATCGCATACGGCCAATTGCGTCGCGAAGCCACACCTGGTGTGTGCTAAACGATAAACTCCCTCGAGCCGGACACAAGGGCGATCATCCAATCGCGAGTATGTTATTTGAGTGACCTCGGGAACTAACGTCTTTCGATGGTTCTATCGTAACGTTCGGGAATGCACAACTACGTAGGCTGACTGTTTTCCAAGGAGACTATAGGTAGATACAAACTGCTGGCCAACTCGGTCCTTGGGCGACACTTGAAGCTGTGACAACGCGAGGTCAGCTCCGGGTATGCAACACAGCTGGCGGAATGAGCGGTAAACACATCCCCTGAGCGCTTTCCCAGTTGTGAACACCCTGACGAGTCCAATACCGATCTGAAGATATGAAGTAGCATTAGGCTGAGTGCAAGGCTGAAGTGGTGAGATGTGGTGTGAGGCTTGGGACGTGTGCCGATTCCGGCGCTTGCCGAAAGCACGGACGAAGGCTTTAGCTCGATGCTGTCATTCCTTTGCTTGAGGCGCGCCCAGCCACCACAACCTCTTTACTCTATCAACATCACAAGAAGACGATATGAACAGCATCGCCCAGTATCACGTCGGGTGGCCCAGACCCAAGTCTACGTCTCGCAGTACTCGACTTCCACTTCCGCTGCTTTTCATTTGCCACTTCAAGTGGAGCCGCTCTCCCTTCAGATTTCCAGCTAGTTTCATTCAAACTCCCCTTCAGCCATTCGCGAGCATTTACGGCAATATCGACTATATTGCTTAAGAGGCCGCTCGATTGACTAGAAACATTGTGGTTCCGGGTTTCGACGCATCACGCGATGTCCACCCAATCGTCCAGACCCGAAAAACAAGGCCTAATCGCTGCTTGACTATAGATCACAGATACCCACCCCGCTTCTCGGTTGTCCAACTATCAACATGACGCTGTATGTAGCCATATTCATTGAACGATGCTATCAAGATTCACATCGCCTACCATCAACATGTTCCTCTTACGGCTGTGATGAGGTGGTCTCGAGCCTATCCTATCACATAATTCGCTTCCCGCTGAATCTGAGCTTCCAGTCGATGACGCAGATGCTATGGAACTAGTCACTGATCCGAACCCACCGTCGGAGTCCAGCTTCAATACTGGCCATGGCTCGTATCTTCGGAAGCTATCCAGCCATCGAGAGATGTTTTTGCGGTCGACATTGGCTATCAACTTTTCGGCGTCTTCCGTAACCAATCTCTCCAGGCACTTCTCATCGCCACCCAAGTCGTACGCATTTTCAGCATATGGATCGATTCCAGCTGCTTTTGCCGCCGCTCTTCTCCCTTCCAGCGCTTCTTCTGCATCTTGTATTATTTTCACATATTTACGGTTTAAATGCACAAATTGCAGGCCCTACTCATCCTTCAGCTCGTCCGGGTCGCGGTCCGGGTTGTTTTGACAATAAAACTCCAACAGGGGCCCGTGAGTGCCTCGAGCGTTGTCATGATGCTGCCTTGCAGACTGTACTTTTGCTTCGAAACCTGCAAATTGTTGCACCTATTCGTCTTTAACGTCAGTTAATTTTTCGTTGTACGCTCGTTGAGCCTGCGCCGGCGCTTCGTTGTCGCCCATGCGTGTCGTGGTTTCCAGGATAGAGCTATCAGTATTGGTATCCTCGCCGTCATAGACGTCACCGTCCCCATAGCGTCGAGACGGAATCCTGTGATGATACTCGTAGGCTTTCAACGGCCAGCCTTTGTCCTTGTCTTGCGGTAACGACCCAGCATGCTCCAGAAACATGGCTTGGTAATAGTCCATATCTGTCAGGATAGCGAACCATCTCTTCTCTGCATTCTGCAGCTTGCCCTTTAGCTGTCGTTCACGCGTCTTAAAACTCCGATACGCTGACTGCGCGCGTCTAACCCTTCCTTTTGCCTCTTTTAGACTACGTCGTTCTGCATGCATTCGAGACGGTGATCTGAAACGCGAGTTCCATTTCGCCACCTTGAGGTCACTAATGGCAGCGGTATACTCCTTCCACGCTGGTTGCGCGTCCTCATTGATCTTATCCAGATCTGCATCGATTTCTCTCTTCGTCTTTCGGTACCGGCGGCCCTCAATGACAGAATTACGCATCGCTGTGTACACTGTTTTCGAGAGGACGAGGGCCAATACATTTTTCTCGCCGTCAAAAGTCCGCGATAGGGTAGCAGGAGGATGCGCCGCGATGAATGGCGTGCTCATCGCCGGGAAAACAACGTAGGCAACCAGGCCGCTGGCACTGACAAGCAAAGGACGGACTTTTGGTCATGGTGGCTTGGGTCTTCTTGCCTATTCCGGGACGGGATGTATCATGAAGTGGAGTGGTGGCGTCTACTGCGTCTACTGTGTCTCTGGTTAACTTTTTGAAAAGCTGTGAATGCTTTGCATGTGAGCTAAGCTCAGATTCCTGGCGGATGTACAAATCAGCTAATTCGCGGCTTGAGATTATGGTATTAAGCCTCTGTTCAGCGTCCAGGCGAACTGCAGTTCGGGCTAATCTGACCTGAGATTGGTGTTCATCTTCTCGCATTCCTTTACGAACATGACTTCGATGTCGTTGCTTAGGTCTAGCCGCCTTCAGGAAGTAAGAGATACTTTTTCGCGTTGTGAATCGATCCATGCTGAGCATGTGATCTACGTGAATTGCAGACTGGGTGATGCTTTTCACATGCGTGTTGTGGAAGACAAGGGCAAGCTTAACAAGCGATTCGGTCAAAAGCTTTCATGGCGCGTCGAAGACAAAGCTCATTGTTCAGCATCGTTAGAAATAATTCTCATCGTTGTCCACTGCATTGCAACACTGACGGTTCGGCCAGTGGAACTCTGTTGTCTTGATATGCGATTACGATATAATAACGTATAACGTGATACATCTTGTCCGGGGAAGACCCTCGAGATAGACAATCTCATAGTTCTAGTCGGGAAGACCAGCACATGCAACTATGTGGGCTTTCACTAAATTAGGGTCAGCCTCATGTCTGAGCGCCCCAATGCCTTGGTATACGGAATGCCTAACGGGTGAAAAAGTACGGCTGTGGTTCGCCGCCCGCGCTCTGACCTCATTAGTAGACACATAGAAGCATGAATACTAGCAGAGTTCATCAATTCAACCTTCCAAACACCAAAGCCTCTTGACCAGCGCCCACAGCTTTCAACACCTCAACCGGCACACAAGACAAACGTGGAGCTGAAGGGATTAAAGGGTCGGGCGCTTTGATCCAGCAACAAGCAAGACTATGACGAACACTCGGGGCGGGAAAGGTAAGAAAGCCTCTATGTTTTATGCATGACGTCAGACGTGAGAAGCTAACAATGAAGGCCGCCGGCGCAAGAGACGGCTCGGAAGAGGCGATCATTATTCCCCAATTGAACCTGGTAGCCCTCGATCGAGGTCTCCAACACCACGTGATGTTCGAGACAGGTCGATCAACGATGAAGACCGTCAGCACCTCCCGTACGAGGAATTGGATCGACGAACTGCCACCCATAACCGAGCTGAGCGGTACGATTCTTACAATGGTCCAGACCCTGATGTGGCCTTAGCTTCTGTCGAGCACGATGCTGCACCTCTTGACGTTCTTGATCGCTATGCACGATCACCGCGAGCGATAACATCAGATTCTCTACTTGATACTGCAGTTGCGACTCGGCGCAACGGAAGTTCTCAGATCGATCTTGCGGTTTCCGCTGGCACACCTACCTATTCAGCTGTTCTTGAATCGAACAATGGCACGGGGAATCCCAACAAGGATAACTCTGTCAACCCCATTGAAGACCATGCTTGACGAAGCCAAAGTGTAAGGGGTAGTTGTAGGCAATAGTACTTGCTTTACACTACAAGAGAATAGTAGGGGACAGCTCTATATTTCTACGTTAATAAAGGTAGTTGTATGTAGGAGAAAGAGAATAATTCTTGTCCTTTCCTTTGCGGGCGGAGCGCAGGTTAAGAGCAAGTTTCTAGGCTAAGACCTAAGCGAGAGTAGCAAGCATATTGTGTGACTGTTCTCTTCACTCCGCCTTCGCCATCTTATGTTACACAAAGTCTGACTCCGCAAGACGATCCTTCTCATCCCCTATACAAAATCAGAAGAGCTGCTCGTCAGAGCAATCTATTTCTTTACGAAAACACCAAGACTTAGAAGCGGGCGATAGGCTTACAAGTAGTGTACGAGGGAGAGGACCAAAAGACGAAGCTCATCAATGCGGACCGTGTTCCAGTCAGGCAAATTTGGGAGATCCATGAAACAGCTCCAACCGGCGATTCAGACTCTTACCTAGGAAGGGGAAAGACCGCACCCACATCTGGAAGTCCGCATAGCTCGAAGACCACCAGAGTTGTGGTCACTCGCGTGGAGGGAGAGTTTCGAACTGCCTTCAGGATTACTAGCTGTAATAGCAAGCTCCAAGAAAAGATCGACAATATGGGTGGAGAGATAAGATATCTCTTGATCCATTTGGCAGGTCGGCCAGCACCACACAATCCAGCCGGTCTTCCGATCCTGCGCATCCCGTCCTGGGGAAACTGGTATGAGTTGTCGACCATGGATATTGGCAATATCGTCAGCTTCCGACCGTCCAGGAACGACCGACTCATAGGACATGCTCACATCACCGACATTGAGGAAGGTGTACTTCGGAGGACCGAGCGAGATGTCATAGGAGTCTCGACTTTGGCCATAACGTTCGAAGCGACTCCGCAATTGATCGGAATCCGGAACGTCAGCAGCGCGAAGCGAGGCCTGCAGAACGAGACACTCCACAAGCTTTCACACATCCACTCCCACCCCGTCCACATACCCCTCCCCAGGCCCAGAAAGACGCTGCTACTCGAAACGATACCAACAGCCGTAACCCTGCACAGAATCACACGGGAACTGATCAGCCTGGTACAAACAGTGCAAACGCCAAGCGCAGGAGGGACGATTCGGAAGACAGGCCTTCCAAGAACGGTCGGCGCCAATCCGTTTGATTCTTCTTCCGTATGATTCTCTACATTCTCTCCGGACATGTCGCTGATTTCCTGGGGCAACTTCCACTGAATTTGTTTTTTGTGCAGGATTAAAGTTGCAATTCACGCCTCAGCTTTCTGGAGCCATGTTGTGATCTGCGCTTTTTCCAAGCTCTTCAATATTCCCACTAGCCTCTTTTCACCCCTTTCCAGCCCTCACTCATCGATACAGAATGGGCCTGTCAATAGCGGTAGTCGAGAAGCATACGGTTCTTGCATGTGTTGTACTCGGTTCTATTTCTTTACTTTCTCGTCGATAGAATAGCACAAAGTCTCATGCTATTCTAAAATATCAAAGTCAATGGGTAGCTTCTCAGTTCAATGCCAAGTTCTTGCTTTCTACCCCCAGATGCTTCTGCTTCACACGCATGTATCAAGTGCGATGTATCTGTTGTTGATGCATATGCCATGTCTCTGGCACATGGTACACCCGATTTGTTTTATCAAAACCTCGATAATCTCTCGCGTTTGAAGGTGTCTTGCATCAGTTGCGCGGGGCATTACTCATTGAGGACAAAACGTCGAAGGAACCAATAACGGTTTGCTGACGTCTTCTCAACGTTTAGACCGTACCCCTGTGCACAAACCCGTTAATGTCTCCGCCGCAAATAGCCAGCCTTCCATCGTCTTCCCATCATCGCCCTGTAGTCTCCACATCGCCCCCTCCCCGGTAGCAACAATAGACTCATTCATCTCACACAACCATCGAGGGCTCTCATTCAGCCAAATAATCGACCAGTCCATCAGATGTGCCAGTCCGATATGTCCCAGTGACGCCAGTCCTGATATCACCCACTCATACCGCTGCGATACGAAAGCGCGTAGCTCATGAAACGTGGTCGTGGTAAAGAAGGCGACCTCGAGGAAGTGCGCATGGACCAGTGTACATATGTTGTCGAGAGTGATGCGCGAGAAGATGTGCGCGTTGACGAGCAGGTTGACGAAGAGCTTGAATGTAGGCTCGTGGAGTAGGATGGACATGAGGAGCGCGAAGTGAATGATCTTTCGAAATGTAAGCGCCATAGTCGCAAGTATAGGGTCGTCTGTCGGTGGATTATTGTGTCGTCGAGATGGACGGTATTGGCAGTGTCGCGTTGTAGAGCTGCTAGGACCGAATCGATAGGGCGCCTTGGCAAAGAGATTGGAAGGCGATACAGTCAACACCTACATGCCTCACAAGCTGCATATCATTAGCAGTGCTACTATGTTAGCATTGGTTTCTGTGTGTTGAGACCACCTGCCCTGAATGATCAGCTAAGGCAACGAAAAGCTCTGACGTTGGAAGGTGAACGCAACGATCACGTGACAGTTGGCACTTTCACTCCGGGGCTGCATCGAGCAGCACACGTCAATCAGTCGGGAACTGGCTACAAATACGCTCATCACATGGAAAAAGAGGCTAGAAAATCTGAAGTACTCTGATAGTCTTTTGTAATAGTGCTCCTTACAGGCGGCACCCAGACCTCGCCCATTGGGGGCAGTTGATTCTGGTCTTCTCCCTCGATCACTATCACAGTATGAGACAACTAGGAGCCACTAGCGTATGTCAACAATGAGCCACTTCATAGCTCATGGGAAATCTCAAGTGATACGTACGGAGTATTCGGGTTCGGCGCGCCTTTGACAAGCTTGAACCCACCTGGCTGGAGGTACTGAAAGACTTGTTTCGGGTCGTACTTTTTCGATATCTGAATCAGCCGTTGCTTGTTCTTGGATCCGTAGCTTCCGATGGGATCTTGGAACTCGGATGCGTAGTTGAGATACACAAAGTCATTGTCCAGATTCCTCCTCTTGGCTTCCGCTTTCACGAGCTTGATGATGTTGGCAATCACACTGTGAAACTTGGGTTCGTCTTCTTTGTCGTTCCAGGCCGCATTGAAGTTGAGTACGAAGTATGGGCCATTTGCTGGGTCGATGCCTAAAGCATTCCCGCCGTTCTTCTGCATGGCTTTGGTCGCGCTTTCCGTGATGGGCTGGATGGCCATGATGAGTAGAATCTTCTCGACGTCGGCGACGGTTGCTTCTTGCCTGTAGAACGTATCGACGATGAACTTGAGCAACTGTCTGTCCATCTTCAGACTAATACCCCACCAGGTCTGGTAAGCACCAGGAGCTGGGGCTCCCTGATTGAGGAGATCGGCCATGCCGGACATTGGGCGAAGGCCAGTTGTGTCGTCAATGGCAGTGATATTGCTCCAGCTGGAGAATACAGGCGCGTTCGCAATAGGCTTGGCATAATGAAGGTTGGCAAAAGCGACCTTGCCGATTCCAGGCGCGCTGGCGAAAGTCTAGACACATCAGCTTTCCGTGCATGAGGCGTGAACTTAGCGCACTTACCACAATTTGGGCGGCATCTTCATCTTTGACAGAACCAGAGACTGTGAACTGATGAATCGCATCTAGCACAGCGGGGTATGCATCTTCAAGGTACACCCGCTGACCTCCCCACATCTCGCCAAGAGGGAAGGCGTCGAGCTTGAAGTTTGTGACGATTCCGAAATTGTTACCGCCTCCTCTCAGTGCCCAGTATAGGTCGGGATAAATGGTCGCGCTGACGTTGATCGCGATGCCAGAAGCCGTGACTAATTCGAAACTCGCCACGTTATCACAAGCCCAACCGCGCTTGCTCGCGAAGTGAGATATACCGCCTCCAAGAATAAGGCCAGGCACGCCAACAGGGGCCATCTAGTCCCATCATCAGTGACAGGACCATAAAGTTGGCGCACATGCGTAGACTTACACGTCCTCCTGCGACACTCAGACCGTCTTTCTCGACAGCATTGTAGACGTCTATCCATCGAAGTCCAGGGCCGATGTCGACCGTTTTCTTATCGGAGGCAACAACAGCCTGCTTGAAGTTTTCCAGCGATACCGTGATTCCATCTTCGATACTAGATGCACCGGCCCACGCAACATGGCCACCGCCTTTTACGGCGAAGGGGCATTGGTACAACCTAGCCACAAGCACCAATGTTGAGACGTCGATTGTTTTCGTAGGCTTGAACACACAAGAAGGTCGTACTGAACTTTGTTGAGCAGACCAGTATCCTCCGGTAAAATTGCTGTATGCGGTTGCTCCTTCAGCCAAGACCTTGTCGGTGCCGAAGAGTATCGTCAAGGCGGTACACTAGAGTCTGTCAGCTTGCGCGACCGTGACTTCGTTGTAACATGCTCAAACCTACAGCATGTGAGCATTGTGCATCTAAGGCCCGCGCATTGAGTGTATTCGCAGGTTCTGGCAGAGCCGAAATGTCGACGGCTAGGTTTTCGAGAGCCGCAGTGATGTTGAAGTCCTGCGGCTCAAAGACAGCGCCGCTGGCTTGTGCTCCCACACCAGCTGCAAGAGCTGCAATTGGAACAAAACATATGACCTTCATCGCTACTGATGGCTGCAATCAATTGTGCGGATTAGGTCACTTGGCAGCGCGTTCGTGAGCGATAACCTGCGCGTTTGAGTCCCAAGGGCGCGTCGAGCTCTGGAGGGGCCCGGGGCTCTCACTTGGGGGCTCTTTTAACAGCATACCAGTGCGCCGCATCCTTCTGCACCTCGCTTGGCTGTAGGTATCTAATTTGAGGTACGTCTTCGATGATTGGTGCAATGCTAAGCCTCCTGCGAGAAGACGGTTGGATCCTGCGGGATTGTGGCGATGTGGTGAGCGAAGCCTTGCCGTGTCTTGCACGGAACGGGATGGGCTGTCGGCTGTTCCTAATCCGGCCTAGTGTGGTATGAGGGGAACAGCGCTCCCGAGGTCCAAGGTTCCCAGCTCGCCGTCGCTATGAGGTCCACGTTGATATGAAATTCATTGAAGACCACAGAAGCGCGATTCTTCGAAAAAGTTTGAGTCATGATCGAGCAGTGATGAGCTTCGATGATAGAACGATGGACGGAACGGGGCAGGCTGTGCCGGCCGAGCGGCAGAGGCGCGGGACGACCTCCAAGTGGAGATGAGATCCTTTCTCTCGGGAACATCGCCCCCACCAGACTGTGAACGATACTGCAGGTACTTCCAGCCCCCGCTGAACGACATCTTCAAGTACTTCGATGAGAGAAGTTCGAAGTAGTACGCTATCAAAGGTCACCGATAAAGTAAACAAGAGCTCTACGGCGTGTGTTAGACTGGTTGCACGATGGCAGTGCACGTTGTGATTGTGCTACTGGGTTGTACAATAACGGTCTTCGTGAGATATGCAGTAATACAGGCCCACCTCGCAAGATACCCTGCACCGCATATCAGTCTTATCAAGGTGAGCAGGCGCTTACGGAAATACTAATCGCATGGCTCCATTTCGCAAGCGGTAATATATCGAATACTCGGTCTGATGAACCCAGGCGTTGGTTCTGGTTGTGTCGATGTAGACTTTCCGCTACTTCATCAATCCCTTTCTTTTCAATCTACGTGACGACATACACTACAAGAAAGCTCCACCGCGTTGCATGACTCGAAACGCACTTCCGGTATACCAAACATCGACAACATGACGTCCCAACAACTTGCAGATGTTACTTGGGATAAGACTACACCTCCAGCAACTATGAGCAGACGCGAACTGGAAGGCATCAGCATTGCTATGCTGACACTTACATCTTTGGTCTTCGTGGCGCGGATTGTCACTCGAGTGTCTAAGCGGAGGACATTCGAGCTACAAGACTTCTTCTGCTATCTGTCTTACATCTGCTATGTAGCAATGCTGGTCATGTTTTTCAAGGAGAACGACCCCCTCTACCGAGCTGAGCGTGTCCAGAGAGGCGAGGCGCCACTGTATCCAGAGCTTTGTGCGTATATCCATCTTGCAATGTATAGACAAAGACGCTTCCTGACCCTCTTACAGTACACGACGCGGGAATGGTCTATCGATGGTTGACAGCTGGTCAACTGCTGTACTACTCATCTCTAACGGCAGTAAAACTGTCACTTTTAGCCCTCTACCGACTTCTGTTGAGCAAGGCATCTCCCAAATACATTGTGCTGTGGTGGACGATTGTGGCCTTTTGTGTTCTGGTAAATGCGGCATATGACAATGGTTCAGCGCTTTTCACTAATGTATGAACAGTCTTATGTGGGGAGTGCTATGACAACCATCTTCGTCTGCGACGACCAAAAGGCGAAGTACAACTACGGCATGTGCGCGAAACCGAATGAGCAAAAAAGAGCACAGTTTAGCCTATGGTTTGCGTACGCAGTAGATGTAGCGGGTGATCTCGCGGGTCCGTATGCCAGTCCTAACGATCAAAAGATTGTACTGACAAGCGCAGTAATGTTCCTTCCATTTCGCATGACGTGGAACCTTCGGCTACCTAGGGCCCAAAAGCTCGGGATCTTTGTCCTGTTCGGGAGTGGTTGGATATGCATCGTAGGTACAAGTGAAGAAACATTTCCCGCATTCACACAAGTGTACTGATACCATTGCTGCTAGGTCTTCGCCACGCTTCGTGTCGTTCAAGTCAGCGTCAAAGATGGACTGCCAAAGATCCCAGATCCAAAGTGGCTGCAAATGTGGACTATCATCGAGACTTCCATGGGTTGGTGGGCTCTTCACGTGCCACGGTACATGTGCTAACTCTGTTCTCAGCCGTCATCATTGGATGTGCTCCAGCATTCAACGCTCTTCGCCGTCGCTCTGGTCATCACAATGTTGAGATATCGTCTATTCGCCTGGATATCGAGACCGTAGGTGGCGACCACACTACTCAAGTGGAGCCTTATATGCGAGTTCTGCGAACCAAGGAGCAAGGGAGTGAAGAAGCACTGCATCCACGCGGTACTCCTGGACTCGCCTTTTGAGCTGGAGTCTTTGCCTTAGCCGACACTGTCGGCAGGTCCACGCATGCCGAATGATAAGCTAGTGTCAAAAATATCCCTGTTGCGAGCGCGGGCTATCATCGCACGAGTACTGGTTCTACGAAGAGTCCTAGCCCTGAGTGCCAGATACCTCAATCTTTCTCGTTATCCAGTGAAGGTGGAAGCGGTAGCCTAGGGACTGCTAGGGTGACGTCAACCGACAGCGCGCAGTCACCAACGGACACCTATCACTCATCACCCGTGACCTCTCAATCGGGTTTTTATCGTTTCAGATCTCTTGAATCTATTCGTCCTTTTATCTGTCAGATTCACTTCTTCCAAATCAAGACGACAACAGCCAACGTTAGTGGTTGCGCGGCAAAATCGACGATTGTAAACAACAAAGCGTACACTGCGCGCGCCCTCGCACTCAGTTTGACCTCCGCACACTTTTCGGAAACTCTTTCGATAACCACGCGCCATCGCGCAATTCTTGAAGCTTGAATTTACATTGCATCTTGTCTCCAAGTCAAAACTTCCTACGCTTTTCCCGTAACAACCCAAACGACGCAACACTACACCGCTTCGCCCATATCACAACAGACTACAGGAGTTAAACAGCCCAGAAGTCTACATTGCGTCGAAAGTTTACTGACTCACGATTTGGTGCCAAAGTAGACTGCACGGTGTTCGATCTTTCCATTGAACGTAGCGCTTCCGTCTGTTAGCTCCCACAGCAATCAAGATGTCTGCTCTGCGCGAGGGAATCAGAGGCGCTTCCGATATCCGCGTTTCGACTCATACCCCAACCCAGACCACAAAGTTCGAGCCCCAGTCACCGCCTGTCGTCATTTCCATTACCGCAAGCAAGCGCAAGCGCTCCGCAGACGAGCAGACCGATCCACTCCTCACAGCACCAGCCAAGAAGCTCAAGACATCAACGAATATTGCCCCAGTCTGCAACAAGAAGCCCTCTACAACCGCGACCAAGTCCCCGGGCTTCAGATCCACGCTCATCCCTCGCGGCCCCCGCAAAAATGCCACTCTCGGCGTCAAAGACGAGTCCCTCCTCCGCATGGTCTGCGATTGCACGACCGGCAAAGTAACTCAGCTTCACTTCCGCAAGATCCCACACTCCCTCATCGACTGGAACAGCTACCACCACATCAGCAAGATCAACGCCTGGCGCAACCAAATTTACGGGCGCGCCGGTCTAAAAGCCCGCTCCGTGAGCCTATGGTACGAAGCCGAGGAACTCTGGTTCGAGCTTTACTTCCAGCTCTCCATCGTCGAGGCGCGGAAGCGCGGGATTATGCTTCCGGGTAGCAGGCAGGTGCGCGAGGCGTTTAACAAGACGTTTGTGGGTAAGGTGATCCAGGGCAGGGCGGACGAGGATCTGCCGCCGAGGGTGCAGCGCGAGGGAAATGCGTTTGCGTCGAAGTTTAATCGTATGTATCCTTTGCTGAGGGCGAGGCTGAATGGATGCGTTATGGGCAGGTCAGGGGATGTGTTTGTACCGGTGATTACGTTTGGGATGATGGAGAGTTATAAGGTGATGAAGAGGAATTTGGCGGAGAGGGGGATTGAGGCTGAGTCTGAGTATGCGGATGGGCTTCAGGAGTGGCAGTGGTTTCTGTCGAATATGCCAGATGTTGACAAGCAGGCTGTTGTCAAGGAGGAGGAGAACGACAGGGAAATGAAAGCGAAAGAGTATGATGCTGTTGCTGCTTTGGTCAGCCTTGCCAACTCGCCTGTTGACCCTAGGGGTGGCTAGAGTGCATGTTGCATATAGACTGTTGAAAACGAACATCCAGACCGTTGTTAGGATCATGTAAACTTCTGGCTCAACATCTTTTCCTCGAATGGAAGACAACCTCACAGCATGGACGAGCAGAACAAGAAGGAACAAAGCGAGATGGAATGACGAAGCCTTTGCTAGTGTCTAGAACTCGCGGAATTTCCCACTCACTAAGTTCATCAGCCCACACATGTCCATATTGCCTATCTATCGCACCGCAGTGACTTGAGATATAGCACCTCTAGTCATCAACAAGTTCCACGATGTCGCCGAACTCTTGAAACAGCCACGGCTCCAGGTCCTTGAAAGCTTCGGGTACCGGCTTCTCCACAATTAGTGAGACAACGGCCGGCTCATCGCCGAACATGTTCAACATGCCTGCTACCTCGTCGTCCATACACGCGTCTTGTTGGTCACCGGCTGTATGCGGCTCGGGCAGCGTAGCAATTCGTTGTTGCATGTCTGGCAATGCTGATATTTTTGCGTGTATGACGCCTGCGATCTCCGATTGGGCACTGCTGGTGCTGTCAAAGAAAGGTGAACGGGAAGTCTTGATCGATGCTTTGCGAGGACAATCGGCGTGACTAAGCTCTGGCGGCTTTTGTGAGACGTGGTCTTCAAAACCGATCAAGCTAGAGTTTATCGGCTTGTCGTCTTCTCTGTAACGCATATAGTCCTCGTCGAGGCCGTTGTCCAAGGACTGTATGTTACTAATGTCGCTCTCGCGCATCTCCTGAAGATTTTGAGAATCTACAAGCCCAATGAAAGCCTCTCGAAGGACGGAGTCGTCATCGTCAAAGGCGTCAGATTCGTGGGTGGCTACAGGAGCTGCAGGCTCATAGTTCATGTAGTCTTCTGACTCTTGCGTGCCACCGAGTGAGTTTTGTTCCGCAATCTGATGCTGAGGATGATCGAAGTCGGCTGATGGCTCGTCAAACTGGAACTCACCATGATTGCTTGAAGCTGAATGCAGCTCAGCGGTAGAACGGCCCATAAAGTCAAGGCTATGCTCTCCTCCTTGGGGGTAACTATAGGCTGGCTTCTTGTACTTGACGGAATGAAGGGAAGAGGGAGGCTCTTTACCATGAATAGTCTTGTGCAGCTGATGCAGACCGCGGTAGTTCCTAGGTCCGTTGGTGCCATAGTCGGCTCTCTGCTTCTTTTCTTGTTGCGTGAGATCGAGCTCGTCAATCGGCGCAGATATCTTCCTCTTAGATGCTGTGAGCTGAAGCTTGGTTTGCTTCTCTTTGCCTTTCGGCGGTGGTGGTTTCTGCGTCGGCTCAGGTCGATCTTCGCCCGACGGTACGCGTTTGGCGACAGCTTTCTTCTTCGATGGTTTGTCCATGCCAGTCTTGCAACACTGGTGCTTGCATGCCTCTCGATCTTTGCACGAGTGATGACAAGCCCATTTACCGTTGGCTAGCTGGACTGGCTCCAGATCGTTGTGTTCGGCAGTAGCATCAACCGGTCGTGCGATGCGTTTGCTCTTTCCGTCATCCTTATTCTTGGCCATCTTGTTCTTCGCAGTATTCCTCAGCGTGATAGAATCGATAGGGTCAGCGTAATTCTCAATATAATCAAAGTCGAGGTCACGGAAGGAAGCATCGACAAGAGCATCGTCGTCCACATCACCATCTCCATAGTCATCGCTGGTGGCGGACATCTTTCTAAATGGTCTTGCAGTATCTGTGCGGCGCTTTGACATATTAGACTGATGTGATGTTGGCCGTTCTGACTCCAAGCGTTTTGGGGTTGAAAACATAGAAGCGGCGATCTGGGGCTTCACGGCGGCGGCACGCATACTGCCAGCTTGTAAACGTCAGTCACAGCTGTTATAATCGAGCCACAGTACATGCCTATGCCATCACACATGACGTAACAGTTGATTGACTGGTCGGGATTCGTCAAGAGTGCTGGGAATATGAGGCTTTGGCTAGACCCAAGCTTCGGGCCACTGCGACAAAGATTAGTACAGCGCAATACAGAGATCGCAATGGCTCACCTGATGCGAGCGAAATGCACCTTACGGCCATCGGAAGTATCCACCAAAAGGCAAACGTATATGAGTTTGTTGTTGAAGCGCTGTGGCGGCTGCTCGTTGATGAAGCCAATGTCGGCCTTGATCTGGATTTTGACTCCTTCATGGGTTTTCATCACCTGAACAGCCATTAGAATAAATAGTTCAAAGAAAAATTGCAGACTTACGGTTGAAGGTTGAGCATTTAGTGAGATGCGAAGCTTCGGAAACGATCGGACTTTCTCGAGCACGTCGAGGCCAAATGGGGGATTCCGACCAACGAGTGCTTCGATCCGATAAGGCTCGCAACCTTCAAGATCTTCCATAGACTTTAGCCCAGCATTGACGAGCTTCCTGACAGCGACGTTGCCGATGCTTCCAATTTGCTTCATTTGGAGCGGGCTATCGTCCCAGATTCTGGCGCCTAAGCTTCTCTCGAGCATGAGAGCACTGTGGATACTGATGGAGTCGCCTAAAGCGATCTGACAGTCGATGATGCATCTGATAAGACTGCCAATATTCTTGAAGATGATTTGCGTTTCCGTAGTATATTGAGAACGATGCTTGCCGGCCTCGCCTTCCCAGGAGATATCAGCAGACCCAAGAACTGATTGTACGATGAGAGATACCTTCTGCGATGGTAGATCAAGGTTCACAGGGATAGCCCAGCGGATTGAAGCGGACTTGTTGAGGAGCCTGTAGAATGCCTTTTCGCCTTGACGAAAGCGTATCGTAGAGTACTCAACAGCTTGAGCGATGGCGGAGAGCTGTGTATGAATGTCAGCAAGGTCCTCCAAGTAGCTTCAAAGTTGTGTAACTCACGATCTCTGAGGGAGTTGACTTCAGCCCGAGTTCCATGAAGACTTTCATAGTCTCGAAATGTACGTAGTACCGTGCCATAGCTTGACCAAACTCGGTGCATCTGAAGTACTCTTGCCCTGACACAAGATTGGCCTCGCGCAAGAGTGTAATGTCGCGGAAGCAGATATCATCGACTTGCTCCTCGATGCTTTGACCACTTCGAGCGCCGTCCAGTTTGTAGTAACCAGGGTTCTTCTGGAGTCGGACGTAAAGAAACGTACCCTTGAGCCATTTCCTGGCTGACTCTAGGTCGCTAATCGTGCCGAGACCTATCTCAGCGTTCATGTGATTTACCAGGTTAAGATGAAGTTTGCTCTCTATGAGGTCCCGGCCTGTGACCAACATTTCGTACCGGCGGACTTTCGCCTGCCTGGTCATGATGACTGCTACAGCTGAGTCGTCGTACTGGGGTCGTCCCGCGCGACCCAGCATCTGCATCATCTCCAGGTCCGAATACTCCTGCATTCCTTCCGCACCCCAGGCCATGGTATTCTTGATGACAACGAGATGGCAGGGTAGGTTGACTCCGACCGCGAGCGTGGATGTGCAGCAGATAACACTGATCTCGCCAGCGATGAAACACTTTTCGATCTTCGCTCGATCGTCAAGATCAAGTCCGGCGTGATGAAAGGCTACACCGGAAGATACGGTATCTCGAAGCTCCTTGTTCAACAGCAGGGGTGACTTAGACGGAGGCTTCCACATGCGATCTCGGTCTGATGCCGAGACCCACCAGTTTGCTATCAGCTTTGCCGTGCTGACTGTAGAGTTTCTGGTTGCACAAAAGACCATGAGCGGCTTACGCTGCGAGTAAGAAGCAATAACCTCAGGGATGTTGGCATCGAGCACCTTTTCAAAGCCGAATTCGTTGCTGGAGTTGTACGCAAAGCCTCGAACGTGCTTGCGCAGTTTGACTGGGCGAAATTCTTCGCCAAACTTCTCATTGGCGGCGGGGATGTCTGGCTCCGAAGAGTTCTTTCCCAACCATGCCGCAATGTCATGGAAGTTGGGTACTGTCGCTGATAAAGCCACAAAGCGCACATCCGTACCAATGGCCTTCATCCGCGAAACGACCGTCTCAAGCGTGGCACCACGATTTTCCTTGAGTATGTGCACCTCGTCGATAAGGAAAACCCTGATGAGTCTCATCAGCTTCTCGTGGTCCTTCCACTTCCTGGTCATGCTGTCCCATTTCTCGGGTGTTGTTATGATGATGTTGGCGCTCTGTACATTGCGTAGATCACCAAGGTCGCTATCGCCGGTCAGCTCGGCGCATTTGAGACCCAGCTTGTTGAACTTGGCGTCCCAGTCACGTTGGCGTTCTGCACACAAGGCTTTCGTCGGCGCTTGATAAACCACTTTGTACTGGCCGGTTGCGTTGGTGGCAACAGCCCGACAGACAGCGAGCTCGAGAATGACGGTCTTGCCACTTCCGGTGGGAGATGCAAGCACAAAATTGTCATCGGTCCTGAAGACTTGGTCGAAACACTTGGACTGTACGGCGTTGAAGGTCGGGTAAGGAAACACCGTTCGAAGAGGATCTGGTAGAGTAGTGACAGGGACCAGGCGGATACCTTGACATAAGGGAGCAGCGTTAAACACATCTTCTGGGTACGTCTGCGGCTCTGGGGAAGCTTGTCGACAATACGGAGGATTGAGATCGTCTCTGTGCTGTGCAGCGGATGCGCGTTGCTGGCTAGTATGTGGTCGAAAACTGGGCAGTGCGGCCTCGCCATGGGAGCGCTCATGTTGTTGTTGTCGGTACTCTTCAGCAACAGTTTGGCCGTCGCCTTCGAAAAGTGGAGCCTGTGAGCCGTGTCGAGGCCGGAAGTAAGTGACTTGCTCAGCACGCCGCTGGCTTGCCCTGAGTGCTGGACTAGAAGATGGGCCAAGCGGCATGTCGGAGCTGAACTCTTGAAGTGGAGCGGCATTGTAGGCGAAGCGATCTGGACGGCGATCAGCGTGGCTACTACTACCAAAGGCAGAGGTGGTTTCGACGTACTTATTTGACCTCGCATAGCCTGGTCAGGACGCGCATGGTTCTCTGCTTCTTAGTCAGCGGATGCCTTTCTGTAGTATGGGCTGAAGTACCTTCTTCATTGTACATGTCTTGATCACGACCCTGGTAAGACGACTGCGAACGGGCAGGCGCCGCATTACTGAAGAATGTGGATGCGCCCGGTGTAATCGACAACCTCTTCGTGTTTTGTGCAGCTTGCCGCTGGAAGTCAGAGTACGGAGGCCGAAGTACTCTGTCGTCTGCGCAGTGTGAGCCATGCAGTAATGGAAGCGAGGAACGACATACTGAATGAATCGAGTTGCTGACCTCGGTCGTACATGCTATCGTCCTCAACCACGTCATACTGGGGGTTGTCATATTGAGTGGCGCGATAGCGATCCCGAGGTGCGATTGGTCTTCCAGGCTGCTTGAACTGAGGCCGCATGTCGTACTGCGACGTGCGGCGGGGAGCGCCGAGCTGCTCGTAGCCATCATACGGATGGTGGTCGTCGTCCATGACTGCTATACTTAACTTGATCAGAGGCTCTTTGCCAGTAAAGGCGTGGCGGGAAAAGTTTGGAATCTAGAGTGGGGCGTTGAGTGAGAGTCGAGATGAGAGGGAAGTGACGATCGAGGAAGTCGCAGCCTGGTGTGCCACATCCGAGTTTGGCGGAGTCACTCAACGGCAATCTTCGATCAAGGAAAGTAGTAAGCGCGTGAATCTCTGTCAGTTATGCATGCAACTCATCCGCGTTTTGATCAATGGTCGCTGTATTGCTAATGCTCAAGCATCTCGCTTATGAGAATGCCGTTCTATAGATGGCGATTCTGGTGTTGCTTTAGGAGCAGCTTCATACACTGATGACCTCCGCGGCTTATTGATATCGATGGTGCGATCCACCGTTGTCTTCTCGAAGTCGGCAATCTTTACTGGCAACGATTGCGAGCCCCGCTCAGGCTTGGTGTAAAGATACGTCGCAAACAGCACGACGCATGTGCCCAGGAAGAACTGCCGATGGTCAGCATCATGGGCCTTGCCGTGCCATTAGAGACTTACTGATCGCGTCACCCTGAAGTCAAAAAAGTATACGCTTGCAATGCAACTAACTAAGATGGAAATCGATGTTGCGAAGTTCTTGGCGATATTATCGGCATAGTTGATAACAAGCGCAACGACGATGCCACCAGCTGCCTGAAGGCCGATGGCCGCCCAGACCACCCAGTTGTACCCGACGAAGAAACCCGTCTTCGCTATTATCTCTCCGTCCTTCCATATGACCCCCAGGAACAACGACGGAAAGAGCGACCAGAAACAGAGCTGGCAGTTACGGACCCAGAGCGGTGTCTGCTTGGCGCTCGTAGAGTCTTTCAAGATCTTCTCAAAGGTAACTCCGGCCAGGCCTGAAAGCGCGCAGGAGATCAGGACAGCCATAATCCCAACCCGGTAATTCATGTGGGGTATCTGAGCTGCGCGATCCTCGTGTATGCCCTCATATGACCCAGATCGTTTCCCTAACCGCCCTGCGACATTCTCACCGAGGTCGTGCAGCTGCTCCAGCGTCTTAGTCCATGGTTTCAAGCCCGATGCTTGTGGAGGTGACGGCGCAGTCGCTTGCGGTACTTGTATGATGGATACACCGATGATGAGGAGCAATAACGACAGCCACTTGCGCGCCGAGAGTGTTCTGCCCAACATCAACACACTAAAGATAGCCGTCGTCAGAATCTTGAGCTGGTACGTCACCTGGAACGTCGCGGCGTCCAGGTTACTGACAGCGATGTATTGGAGAGAATTTTGTATCGTGTACAGCACGGCCGGTATCGCAAGCTTCCAGCTCTCGTTCGTAAAGATCGCGGTCGTCAAGGTACGGAACAGTGTGGGGATCGTCGTATTCGAAGGAAGGTTACCTGACATTTCGTGTAATGCCTAGGACGGTCGTGAGCCTGACAGAATTTCATTCCTTCTGGCAAGTGCCCTACCATAGTCAAGCTGATAGCGAGCTTAATGACCTCATTCAAGAAGACGCTTGTGCTTGCGTGGTATCGTTGCTCTCCAGTCAGAGGCATTATCCTAGAGTAATGCATAATCTAAAGTCGCGTCAGTCACTGACACTCTCCGCTTCCTCCTCCACAGTATCTGCATGTTCGGTGTGCTCTTCGATCGCGTTGGGGTAGAAGTTCGCGGTGGAGGGCAATCGTACCAGGATGAGGGCAGAGTTTTGGAATATAAGCTGTGCAGGGATTAGCTTCTGCATATACAACGAGAGTGGCGGAGATTGGCTTACTGTCACGAGAGAGATGTGCTTCATGGGCACCCCGCCCAGTGTTCCTGAAGCTGATCTAACAACCATGGTGGGCTTCGCTCTCGTGGATTTGCTGTAGTGACGGAAACTCGCTAGTTGTGCATTGCGAAGGATGTTCTCAATAACGATAGTAGGTAAGGTCACAGTGAGTGTACGGCCAAACCTGTGCAGGACAAACGAGGCGTGCAGACTGGGTCCATCTTGAGTGCTGTCAGCTGGAGATGGGGCGCGGCTTCCGCTGCTCGAGCATTCGCGCCATGAGCTGCAGGGATGGGTTAGCGCCACCGATCAAGCTTGGCACTCTGGCCCATTTCCGATGACGCGCATCCAGACGCGTCACGTACATTCTCACCTTCACAACCACCACGACACTTGAATACTTGTCATATATGCGAGACATTCCGCCCAGGTAACCTGCAAACTGGGCCAAGATGAATGGTTGTTTCAGTAGTCTCTTAAGCGTTTCTGGGCATTTCGAGCATTGACCGTGGTGTAGGATCTGTTCATGCATCGTCTTCGGTTTTCCACCACAAGTACGTCGGATACTTCGTGATTTGATGCGAAAAGTGAAATTCGACATTGAAGCTTGGAACTTCTGTATTGCAACGTGGAATTCCGAACTAAAGCAGCCTCTGAAATGATCAGTATTTTCTCGTACCAAGGCGTGGCAAGGCTCTCCCGTATATGACCTTTTCAAAAGAATGACTGCTGCGATATAGAATTATGGTATATCTTGTTGTCGTTCATGTAGCGTCATGGACAACTACAAATATTGCATATTCATCGCGGGTGGGCCTACATATAAGACTACGCTGGCCGCAGTCACGCGGATTCCGTCCTTCATTGGCCAGAATACGCGAAGGACTCATATTTCAGGTAAGACATACAACGCCACCTAATGGCGTTCTCGCAAGCAAAGCGCCAACCAAACACCCCCCCAACGATCCACGCATGAGCTCGCCTTATCATTCGCCCACAGCATAGAGTGCAGCTGACATGGAACGCAACAGTCGCTGGTGCATACCGCTGCAGCCACTGGCACACCTCCACTGGACTTAAGTTGGGGCGCGAAGCACGTTCCGTGATTCCATTTAATCTCACTCAGGACCAACACCTCCAACATCAAACCCGCAGGGCCTACAGCAGCTGGTCCGATTCGTCCTCCATCACTACCGCCGCCTCCGCTACAAGCACACACGAGAGCTTGTTAAGACCATCAAACTGTCATATTCGTACATTCCGTCAATTGGACTCTTGCGCCGTCGTTCGAACTCTTGGCTACAGGCCCAGCAATCTCACATCCTCTATCTCGAATACGTCCGTTCGAAGCCTCCGCCCTTTTGCTTTCACTTTACCATGCTTCCATACCAATATCCAGCTCTTCCGCTGCCTGACACAGGCAAGTACACAAGGCTTCTAAGACTCAGTCCTGGCGACTTTTCAGATGAACTTCACGTGGAGCTGGAGCAGGTACTTTTGGATGGCACTTTCAACTACGAGGCTCTATCCTACGTCTGGGGCTCGACAGACCATCTGGTTTCCATTCTCGTCGGACCTTCCCGAGAATACACCATTTCGGTGACGCAAAATTTAGCGACAGCGTTACAGCATCTCAGAAACGCGAACGAGTCCCGAGTATTGTGGGTAGATGCAGTTTGCATCGATCAGAGTAATCTGGCCGAACGAAGTTATCAAGTCACTTTGATGAGCGATATCTTCCGAGCAGCATCTCGAGTTACTGTCTGGCTTGGACCCGAAGAAGACGACTCTTTCTATGCCATCAACGCGATGCATGCCATCGGTTCGAGCATCGACGTGGACTGGATCAACTTTACATTCAAGCCTAGGGTGTCAGTCAACAACCCGTCTTCCAGTGCGATAGAAAAACTCCAGGATTACCGGTTTCGAGACAAGGAAGCCAGTGCTGTCAATCGTCTATTACATCGACAGTGGTTTGAACGTCTCTGGATTCGGCAAGAGATCGGGCTGGCCACTCATGCAATCATTCATTGTGGTAAACTAACCATACCTTGGCATCTGTTTAGGAGTGCTGTCTTCTTCATTCACTCCAAAAGCCACAAGCTGATGTCTGCACTTGGAGCTCATCAGTACGCAAGTTTCCTCTCTCGCCTTGTGTTGATGTGGAGGATTTGCAGAGACCGAGTATATCGTCTACAACATCTGCGGATACAGCTCGCCCAAGTTGTATGCACAGACCCCCGGGATATGATATATGGCATCTTGAGCCTACTTCCAAAAAGTCAACAGGCCATGGGCATTGTCCCAGATTACACTCTGGATGTAGCTCTTGTCTACCAAGACGCAACTCTACGGTTCATAAATTACACGAAGAAACTCAACATACTCGTTCAGTGTGAGCTGCAAGCTATCTCTTCCCATGTGCCAACATGGGTCCCAGATTGGTCGATTGATCTAGAAACGACGCCAATTACCGGATCTGTAATTAACGCAAGCGCGGGTTTCGAAGCGATTGCAACTATCAAAGAAAAAGGGACATTGTGTGTCGTTGGTGTACCTACAGCGACAATACGGGATGTACTACCTATGCATTTTGACGAAAGCGAGGATCATTTTCGAACCATGCTAACAACCATTTGGAAACTGGCTATATCCAACTCGGCTACTTCGAATGAAACAGAGACATCGCTGCTGTCAGCGGTGTGTAATGGGCTTTGCTGTGGCATGTTCAGCCATACCAGGATCCCGATTCGCGAAGACTATCCAAAATTCAAATCAGTCATGCAAACGTTCAAGTCCAAATTGACAACAGATCCCCTCTTGGCCGGTGATGTGAACTCCACAGATGATTGGGCCAAGTACCAACGTAGAGTTGGAGAGATGTGCCGCAACCGGTCTTTCTTCGTCACGACAGAAGGCTCGGTTGGCATCGCTCCACTATTTGCCAGAACGGGCGATATAGTTTGTGTACTTCTGGGTTGTGAATGTACCATCTCACTTCGTCAGACAGGGCCTAATACTTATCAGGTCGTTGGGCCGTCATACATGTCTGGGGTCAATACTGGCGAGGCACTGTTGGGGCCTCTACCAGAACACTTCCAACCAGTCTCTTACTATAACGATGATGCAAAGGCATTTCGATATGCCTTTTGGAATAAGCAGACAGAAGATGCACAGTTCGAAGATCCTAGACTGGATAAATTACTTCTCAACACCGGCTTTCAAGTTCGTAGCCAGGTAGAGAACAAGTTTCCAAGGATCAAAACCAGTGTAGAAGCGCTCAGAAACGTTGGGATCGCGGCTCAGTATTTCAATCTCATCTAGGCAATTGAGCTTTTTCGAATCTGTATGTAGGACTCTCCGCTGGTACTGCCGTGACGCAGAGCGAGCAGCGAGCCACTCACGGTTTCCGCAATACATAATTTTCCCATACACAAAGTTACGCTCGAAGAGAAAGATCGCAACTATCAGAGCTGTTCCAGGGTACTTCAATACTGTTAAGCTCGACTACGGCGACCATTCCTGAGTGCTTCTTGGAACCTAATTTACAGATTTGTTTCTATCGCAATCTTCGGGAGCAGTAGTTCACACCTCGCACATTCAAGCAAGCGGAACATCTTCTATCTCACTGAGCTGTTGAACCGCAGCCCTGAAATGCTCATACACTTCTTCCGTGCCCATTCTATAGTCGGAGATAAAACCGGATGAACGCCTTTGATCATCTTCGATGATAGCGAGGAAAGCGAGATATTTATCGCGTGGATCGCTACAGCGTCGATATCGAAAGTCAAAAGCCACATCGAGAAGGTTACGCTGCGAAACCACGCCCCCTCTACGAGCAGCCTGCCTCATCTGAGATTCAAGAATATGAAGCAACGGCATCCAATCGAGCTCTTTCGCATTCCGCTCGTGAAGATTGTAGAGCGGAGATACGATCGCAGACTTGACGCGAAAGACCAACGCTCTTAATGTACGTAAGTCAGCGGTCCATTGAATCCGATACTGGCCACATTGTAAGACGATATGCCGAGCCAGGACTGCCTCTTGCACGGTCCACATTCGTTCAAACCATCGTCGGCCGATGATGTTGGAAACGCTACGTTCGAGGTCGGGTATTGCAATGTGGGACCAGGGCGCATCTTTTCCTTTGATGTGAGGTTGCAGAAACGACTGCACATGTTGCATATCTGTTCCCGTCTGTTCCGTCGGTACACGAAGGTCAACAACAACACTTTTTGCAGTTCCGTAGACCATGTCCATCTTTCGAACCTGATGATTCCTTTCGGTTACGTTTGATTGATCAATGCAGACTTGATCGGCCCACATCGTTCGTACTGACGCTGGGTACCTTAGAGCTTCGAAAGCGTCGTGAAGATTTTTGGTGATCCTAAATCGAGAGCCGTCGACAATGATCTCGCTATGATCGAGATCACTTCCCCAAACATAAGATATGGCCTCGTATGGGGGTGCGTCATGTGAAGTCGTCGCTATCAGACTGATCCGGATCGGATCCCCAGGATTTCCTGGATGGAGCTTGAGCAGACGAAGGTCTTCCGCTTTTGCCCAGCCGAGGGGAACATGGCAATGATATCCTTCGGTGTTGTTCTACACAACTAAGCGCTGGTCATGTCTGAAACTGGTGAAACCTACTAATATGGCAGAGGGTGGGGCTCCTGGACTGTCAACGGTACATCTGATCCAGAATCCGAAGGTGAAATGCCATCCAGTAGGCAGCCGTAATAACCATCGGTCAAGGTAGAAGGGAAGGGAGCTGAACTTGAAGAACCGCCCCCAGAATTGTGTCCAGTACGTCATTGTCGCTACGCAATAGCTACATGTAATATATCTCTCAGCTATTGTGGATCAAGATCTCATCGTAATCGACATGGGCTCTGGGAAAGTGGATGAGAGAGCGAAAGCAATGAGTCAAGAAGTCGCGGACGCATTACATACCCGAGTAGATTCCGGTGAGACCTGGAAAAGGCACAGCCACTTCATGGCGTTGTGGCGCACACCACACCAATCAAACCACTTAGCTCCATGCATGAACTCAAGTGATCATTGGCTCAGGACACAGCATAGATATCCCTCCGGCCGCAGTGCGACCCAGACAACATGAAAACCCCAGATTGCAGCGTGTCGGCCTGGGAGGTCCCCGTAGTCCAGACAAACCCACGTCGCCCACTCACCATACCATCTTCCGTGTGACTAGAGCGTTAGCTGGACATGAAAGAAGTCGCTGGATTGGAACTCGACGACACAATTCGAAGCGACGAGATACCCTCACCGTACCGTCAGAATTTTCAGAAACTGAGCAAGTATAGTTGATTTGATGTATCATTAAACGTCCAAGGGGTGCGACAAAACGAACCCACCTCTCCCAATGCGATGCAAACATAATCCCTATATGCATAAATCATCATACGAATAACCCCCTATAAATCATCAGTAACTCCACTCAAACCACTCCATAAACCACCCGACCGACCCAAACCATCACTCAGACACCATCAACATCCTCTCATATCTAATAAGAGTCGCCAAAGAACTGACTAGCAAGCATAATATCCCTATCCCCATTCGCAAAGTCCCAACCCACAATCGTCGGATCCTGACTACAACAAATGATCCTCCTGGCATCAAATTGCAGTTTGAAGACACGCGAGTTTGTGCCGTTGTTGTTGAGGGGAGCGGCAAGGGGATGAGGCGCGTGGTGATGATGGTGATGGTGGTGGTGTGGTGCAGCGTTGGCAGGGCCAGCGGCACCTTGCTGTGCGGGTGCGGCGTTTGCGGTGGGAGGATTATTCGCTGTTGGAGCTGGGTTGGCGGTGGCTGCTGTGTTTGTGGATGCAGCGTTGGCGGCGGCGGTAGGGCCATGCATTGCTTGGGATGCTGCGTGGAGGGCGTGCGCTTGTTGGGCGAGGGTTTGAGCTGCTTGGGCTTGGGCTTGAGCTTGCTGTGCGAGGGCTTGGAAGTTGTTTTGCTGTGCGGCGGGTTGCGGGTTGGCTTGTTGGTTCGGGGGTTGGGCTGCGTGGTTTGCGTTGGCTGCGTGGTTGACGGGTCTTCGGGGGCGGCCGCCGGCTGCTCGGACGGCGTCGTTTTGGAGGAGGGTTTGCGACTTCTCCCATGCTCCGTCGGGTCCTCGCTTCCAGATGATGACTGTCTCGTCATAGGAGCCGGAGACGATGCGCGCCCATTTGCTGCCGCCGCCACCTGGTGGTAGTTTAGCACCATATGCGAATACCTTTGATGGGTCACGAGAACCGGCGTTACGAGCGCGTCGCTGTTCTCTGCTGAGATTTTGCCCAGTCAGCTGTCCACTGGCCTGTGCTGCGAAGTAGTTCTGATCAATAGACCGCGCTTCGGCTTCAAGCTCCTCTTCGTTGCCAGGAAGGTCGCCAAATTGAGCTTGCACAGTGCGCACAAGATTACTGTGGCCGTTCAAGCAGGCTACCTCAGCCCCGGTTGCGCGATCGAAGATGCGTACACTTTCGTCCGAGCTGCCACTAACGATGCGTCGTCCGTCGAATTGGACACATGCGATACCCTTGGTATGGCCCGAGAAAGTTCGCGTGCATGCACCAGTGCGGACGTCCCAGCACTTGACACTCCTATCTCCAGATGCAGACACGATTTGACCATCAAGAATCTGGATCGCATTGACTGCAGCACCGTGTCCTTCCAAGGTCATGATCAGGCTGTACGGAAGGAGGGGTTTGAAATGGAGGTGTTGGGTCTCGACGTGTTCCTGCATGTTGATAATGTAAGAAGGGAAGCGAGCGCCCGACTTCATCGTCGATGAAGGATAGGTATCGTCCGTTGGCAGCATCTCCTTGCGATTCCATACTTTGATCGTCTTGTCTTTCGAGCAAGTCACCAGGTAGCGATCGTCGAACCTGAGATTCAGGACCGACTCGGAATGCGCCTTTTCGATTTCCTTGATTATGCGGCCGGTGGAGAATTTCCACAGAATAACTCTGCAGTCGCTACCACCAGACACTACAATGTCTTGCTCGGGGCGCTCGTCAAATTGTAAGCACAGCACGGACGCTGCGTGGCCGATGAGTGGCGGGTGTACAAGGCGCTGAGTGTCCAAGTTCCAGACCCTGATGCTCTTATCCCTGCTGCCGCTCACCAGGAACTTCCCAGAATACTGTATGGTATACACGCACTCGGTATGAGCTTCCTCGGGATGGTTTGGGTGTGGTAGCTGAAAGTTGGAATATCGCCCAGTGCTCCAGTTCTCTTCTAGCCTCCTCTTTTGCTTGTAGAGATATTGCCAGTTGATCCTTGCTTCCGGGCCGGGAAGCAAGAGCGAGGGGTGTATCGGAGGCCCGTTGTTCTCCGCGGAAGTGCTCGTCTGTAACGTCTCTTCAGTGACCGCGCCTTGTCTTCTTTCTCGACGCGCCACATCGGTGGGCGAGGCTGTGGGCGATGCACCGTGGAAAGAGATGCCCTCCATCTTATCCTCAGACCTGACAGATGGACTGTCATCAGCCTCTACAGCACCGTGTTGTTCGCCCCAGGCATTGCCCGCAGAGCCACTAACAGCCATTGGCTCTGATATGTTTTGCATGCCATTCTCCAACGCGGTCCCGTCACCAAACAACTGCCGTTCTCGTACGCGTTTCTTGTGGGATGGCTTGCCGTAGTCGGTATCTTCGGCGGCTCTGTGTCGCGTCTTCCGCTCTTTCTCCTTGAACTCTGCGCGCTTCTGTCTTTGCGCCTCCTCGTATGCGCGCACTTGTGGGAAGTTGGAGTTCCAGCCCTCTAATCTGAAAAGCAATTTCCATAAGGGGCTGTCGAGCACGCGTTCTCTCCACGAGCGGGATAGTGTCGACGCGCGTAACAGCGTCTCGGGGTTGAGATATGAGAGGATCTGAAAGGTGATCTCGGGCGGAAGGTGGATGACAGGGTCGAGGTGAAGGAGTGGGTTGAGCTTCTCGACGATGCCGGCTATCGAGGAGGTCCGCAGCGAGCGTAAAATAGCGTATGCGAATTCTTATGTGATGTCAGCGCAGACGCGCATGCTATTGTGATATGTACTTACCACTTCGCTCGTTCTCGCTCAGGTTCATAACCCAGTCGGGGAGGGCAAATGGCGAGTCGGCTTCCATCTCGGCGTCGGTCAAGCGCACGTCGCTGCGCATAGCCATATCGCCCTCATTCTGGCTCCTCGTGTCCTCGGAGTAGCCTTCGTCGAAGCGGTTTGCGCTCATGGCAGAGGCGGGGCGGAAAGGATGCATGTAGGGCGGGCCCGAAAATTGGGCGTTGGGGTTGCCTAGAGGGCCTGCCATGGTGGTGCACGCGAGGATGTGGGTGAGTGGAGACAAAGGTCGCTAGCTGAAAAGTGATGCTACGGCCGTTTGCAGCGCGCTGGACTGCGGCGAGAGGATTGTGTTATGCTGTCTCAACATGCGCTGGCAGGGTGGTCGGGCTGGTGCTGCCTGGCGCTCTTGGTAATCAGGGTACTGGCAATGCGGAAAGCGACGGGTGGCGAGGTACGAGGTGCGATGCGGGTTCGGGTTATCACGGTGGGGTGAGGTCAAGTCAAAGATGGAAATGTCAGCTTCGCGATGGCTCTCCAACTTTCGCAGAGCCTCGAGATGCCCAGGTGCAGCATGTCATGGCTTCCCGCGACACACGCCCGTGCACCCGCACCCATTCACTCCAGATCTGCCGCTAGCCGAGCTGCCTAGGGCATGCGGACTACTACTCGTGCGGCCAAGTCGCTGCATCTGAGACACACCAGGAGAGGGACGCTAGATGCCCGCCTAACGGTCTGATGCACTAGAAGTTGAAGGATGCGGGCTAGAAGAGTGCAACAATTCCCCGACGTCGCTGCCTTTCATGTGAAGGTCTGCCGTGTACGTGAAGCAGCGATTAGTCAACGGTTGCGCAATCGTTTGGGTTCTGTTTGAATTTTACTGTTGGGACGCGGGGACAGTTTGTGCTGTCAACACGGTTTGAGGATGCCTGACGATGCCTGACAGATGTGACAACTTCACGTGGATATCTGACGGCTGTCTTGAAGCTCTTATTCTATCGCCCAGGTAGTTTCGTGCGTTCAAGCGCCGATCGGGAACATCACCTGCTCTCGCGTTCGCCTGAGCTCGACCAATACTGTGTTCCCATCGGACGGCATGTGAGAACGGGCGCGTATCCAGCCTCCCATGGCCTTCCCGGCAACCTGATGGCCAAAGAATGGGAATCGCTTTCTCACACCGCTCGACTGCTGCTCTCTAACAATACTCGCATGAGCCGCGTGGTGTACTTAGGGCTGGAGAAATGGGTCCGCGACGGGCAAGCAGAGGGGCGATCGCGGCCCAAGGCAGCGCCTGTGCCGACATGACGAACCGCACGCGGCAGATGCTGGAGATGATGTGATAGGCACGCGCGTGCATTCACATTGCTAACCTCGCAAGTCATGAGAACGGGGTGGGATATGCTGTGCGGGCGAGGGCGAGGCGCCGTTGTGAGTCAGCTGTCATATATCGCAGACTCGGTCGTGATCAAAGGACTGGCACTGGAAATGAGTGGAACGGCGACGCGCCGCATGGCTGTGGGGTGTCACCGAGCCGTGCTGCAAACAGCGTCGTTAGCACAAACAGCGCCCAACGGCCAGCTGGAGTAGCCAGCAGATGCCAGCGACGGGCGTGTATTGAGTTTTGTAGTCGCAGTCACGTGCCGTCTGCAACGCCGCACATGGGCGGGTGAAACGACGAGCCGTGAACCCCTTTAGGCCCTCAGCGCCGCAGCATCTCCAACACCTTCTGACACCTGGGCAACCTGCGAGATTACCACGCCATTCTACTAGGACAGTTATCGCGACCCGAATGCAGGCCGGCGGTGATTTTGCTCCTGTCGCCGCACGCTCCACCTCGCCGCCCTGTGAGGATTAGCAGCAGCGACCCTGACCGCCTAGGTCTTAGCGCGAGCGCAAGGAGATCGATGAAAGCAGCATGGAGGGCGGACTATCGTTTCACTCGGGTCTGGTGAGAGCCCATACCACCTTTGCCGTCTCCCATCCACCCCCCAAGTCGCCCTCACAGCACACTGCACACGCCCGGATGACCTCGACCGGGCCGCCTGCCCTCATGTCGCACCAGAGCTTCCAGAGCACCTACTCGAGCTACTCGCACAGCAGCGCGCGCGACACGCAGAGCACCCAGGCCACCAGCAACTCGACCCTCTTCCACCCTCCGCCCGCCTTCCCGACATCCAGCACGCCCGTCAATGGCGGGCCCGTCGAAGCCAGCGACAATGTCCTCAACAAGCGGGCCGACAAGGACACCTCGCTCTTCCAACGCTGCCTGACGCTGCAGATGCGCCTGCGCTTCATCCCGGGCTTCGACCGCTGGATCGCCGAGGAGGAGGGCAAGGCCGACGACGATGCCGACCCCGTCACGCTGCTCTGGCGCACCTTCCGCCGGGGCTACCCGCTCATGGAGCTCTACAACGCCCTGGGGCCCCGCACGCTGCTGAGCATCCCCAGCTCCAAGCAGGACGAGAAGAGTCTCAAGAAGAACGAGAAGATGGCCTGCTACAAGTTCATCCAGAGCTGCGTCGCCGAGCTGGGCATCCCCCAAGAGAGCTGCTTCATCCTTGGCGACCTGTACGGTGACGACACAACTGGTTTTGTGAAGGTGAGCCCACACAACGAGACTGTGGGGTAGGCCCGCGCTAACAGATCCACAGGTTACCAACGTGGTCAACAAAGTGCTGGACGAGCTGGTCGCCCAGGGCAAGATCGCTGGCGTTGCCGAGACCCTGGAGACTGTCGGCGGCGTCGTCACTAAGCGCACCCAACGCGAGCACATTATCGACGAGCTGGTCAAGACGGAGCGCACCTACGTGCAGCATCTGGAGCTGCTGCAGGAGTTCAAGAAGCTGGTCGAAGAGAAGGGTGTCATTAGCGGCGACCAGGTCCACGACATCTTCCTCAATCTCAACGCACTCCTCGATTTCCAGCGCCGCTTCCTCATCCGCGTCGAGCAAACCAATGCACAGCACCCGGACGAACAAAATTGGGGCAACCTTTTCGTGCTATACAAGGATGCCTTCAAGGTCTACGAGCCGTATATCGCGAACCAGAAAAAGTGCGAGCAAATCGCCATGCGCGAATTCGACAAGCTGAAGGAGACGGGTGGACCGCCAGAGATGCGCCAGATGGTGGAATCGCCTACTCTACTCGCATCTTTCCTACTGAAGCCCTTCCAGCGACTCACCAAATACCCCCTCCTACTTCAGGTATGATATTCAAAGCCCCAGCTCAGAATCCCATTTCTAACACACTGCAGCAACTCCGCGACAAGGGCGACCTCGACGAAGGACGACGCCAAGACATCTCCAAAGGAATCGAAGCAGCTTCCTCCGTACTCGCAGGCACCAACGACGCGATTGCCCGGGAAGAACGCGTTGAGGCGGTTGAAGAGCTTAAGACGCTCGTGGAAGACTGGAAGGGTCACCGAATTGAAGGTTTCGGAGACCTGCTTCTACACGGCCAGTACACGGTGCTGAAGGGCGAGAGCATGACTTCCAAGAACGAAGAGCGCGAGGTATGCACCACCGCCACCCGACCCTGCGTACGTTGCTAACACCCTACAGTACAAGATTTACCTCTTCGAAATGATACTCCTCTGCTGCAAAGAAATCAACGTCAACAAGCCAAAGAACAAAATGTCCACGCGAACCCTGGTCACCAAAGACGGAAAGCCCAAGCTACAGCTCAAAGGCCGCATCTTCATGCAAAACGTCACAGAGACCATCTCCCTACAGAAGCCAGGTACGCGTTCCATCCTTCGTCTACCCTACTCTCACTAACCATTCAGGCTCCTACACATGTCAAATCTTCTGGAAGGGCGACCCTGGAATCGAAAACTTCATCATCAAATTCACCTCCGAGGAAACTATGAAAAAGTGGGCCATGCAGGTCGATACCCAGCGCCGCGTGTGGAAGGACCAGGCACGCACTAGTGCCAGCACCACAGCCTCGAAGCCGTCAGATACCCAGTTCGCGTACATGCGCGATCAAGTGCTCGAAAATCCCTACCAGGAAGACGACGATGAAGATGGCGACGAGGACATTGATCCCGTTACGGGCTATCCCTACAGACAGAATTCTTCCACGCCCTCGTTACGTTCGCGGTCAACGACTGGTGAAAGCGGCCCTCCAGATGGAGACTCAAGGGTACCGCCTCCACGTTTTCCTATGGGCTACAACGGTCAGCCAGCACTAACCCTGCGTACCCAGCAGATACAGAATGCCTCCAACAATGAATCCTACTTCTCACCTACGGCAGAAACACCGATGCAAACTCCCATGTCAACACACTCCAATGCCCGCACAAGCTCGTCGTCCAATGGCACATTCCCCTTCCCCCGTCAAGCTCCACCAAACGGATACTCTCACGATGAGAACAACCGCCACACTGCTCCTGCTCAGTCGCGCCACGGATCCAGGGGCGAAAACGTTCAACATCCCCAAGGCCGTGCGATGCAGCGCCCGTCACTTCCGGCCAATTCCACTCTTTCACAGCAAGGTAGATTGCGGGCAGCTAGTAGCCCTGACATCAACTCACATCTCCAAGGACAAACACGAAGAGCGCCGCCGTCACAGCCAGTACCAGATGTGCCACCTTTCCCTACCCACTACGCCTACAATGCCGCGATTGTCAACCGAAGTAACAGTAACTCGCCCAACAACCCACCGCCACGCGCTGCAACCCAGTCACCAGCGATCCAAAGAGACCGCTTGATACAGCAGCGAACCGCCGCGGAGTTGGCCAACGCGAACAACGAGTACCACAACAATGCCATGCGTCGCGATCCGAACTACCCCATACGTACAATGACACCAGCATCATCGTTTGAGCGGAGTCAGGGCACCCTAACTCCAGCATCTATGGATTCACGAAACATGTCGCCACCGCTTGGCCAAGACTCAAGCATACCTACACAACTCAAAGTCAAGGTGCACTGCCCATCAGCCGGAAGCTCCATGGTTCTGGTCGTCAGCACCAACATCAGCTACCAGTCGCTCAAAGATCGCATCGATGCAAAGCTCCAGCGATCAACATCCGTCTCTCTTGGCTCCGGCCAAGTCAAGCTGAAGTACCTGGATAGCGACAACACATACGTTAGCATCCAATGCGACGACGACGTACAAGAGGCGTTTGAGAACTGGAAAGAACAACAAAGCAATCTCAACCCTGGCGGCGGCCTCGGCGAGATTGAACTGTTCTGCCAACGGTAAATTCTGTTATTACACTGCTTTTCGGCATCATGGGCGCTACTGCTACTACACCACTTGGGGCATTGATTCAGGCGTTCTTTCACGGCGTGCTCGGCATACACCGCTTGCTCTTTTACTCTCTTTCCGTTCCATGATATATCCTAGGGGCCAACATACCCTTCTTGCCCCGGCGAAGTTTGGGTTTGTGTCTGTGTGGAGGGAGGCTGGCTTCACAAATACCTTTTTTGCTCTTCTCTCTTCTACCGAACGAACGGCACTATCGCATCATCCTATCCTAACAACATTTGCGGGATTCAGAGCTGGTTGGAGGATCATCAGCTGGTTCTGTCTGCGTGCGTTTGTCCTTCACAACAACGAGGGAGATCTTGTACTGCGCTTGTTATACTCGGAAAGACATGTTTTATCTATACCACGAGCTTCCGGTTTTCTTAGCTGCTTCGTAGGCGGTGCCGGCTCATCTTTTTTCTCTTTCTTCGGTTGAAGACTATAGGGTGGGCTTGGGTTGTGGTATGATTGAATGATGTAATGAATCTTTCAGCTTTGAGAATTTGAATTTTATTGTCCCTTTTTCTTACGTCTAGGTCTTCGGTGCAAGACTAAGTTGTTAGTACTTTAGATTGTTGAGTCGAGATGGGGTAGGTGTTGAAATACAATTATTTGAAGCTTTCAAGATACTCTGATATATCCGGTTCTCCGCCACTGCTTGTCATCTCATTGTGTCCTCTGGTGGTCTTTCCTGTCTAACGAATCTTGTTAAATCTCGAACTCCGCTCCTACTCCGAGCACCGACCAAAATCTTGGCACGACGAACATCCATTCATCCATCCATTTCCTAAAACAGATCCCTCATCTCAATGACATCACCCACAACATTCTCCCTCAATGCCTCCTTCATACACAATCTCGAACGCCCTCCCTTCAGACGCTTCAGCGATATCCTCTCTCTTCGCACTATCATGGCAGTCCCCCTTCTCCCGCCTTCAATTCGGAAACGTAGAGCCACACGATCTGGATAAGGCGATGACGCCGAAAATCGCGCAGCAGATAGAGGAAGGGAGGATGGTGTTCATAGTTGCAAGGGAAGAGGGGAGTGGTGACGTTGTTAGTGTCGCGCAGTGGAGTGTCCCTCCTTCTCTTTCTAGTTTCCAAGGCAATAGGGGAAGGGAAGGAAAGGAGCTGGAAGGAGAGAATATGGGAAAAGTAGAGGAGAAAGTGCAGGAAAAAGAAGAAAGAGAAGAAAGAGAAGCGTTTGATGAAGAAGTCTATCTGAATTCCCTTCCGCCTACTTGTAATCACGCTCTTATCTTTGAGTTCACGACGCGGCTTCGTGTTCTACGCGAGCGTACATTACAAGGCGCTCCGCATTTTCTTCTTGATAATCTAGCGACGCATCCAGAACATCGGGGACAAGGATTAGCGGCACGGCTTATACGGCATGCGCTGGATATGGCTGATGAGAGGGGTGTGGTTGTGTATCTGGAAACAGGGGAGGAAAATAAGGTGAGGGGGTTGTACGAGAGGTTGGGATTCGAAGAGAAGGGAAGAGAGAGGATTGAGTTGAAGAGGTTTGCGAGTAGGGAGGAGAGAGAGCGGTTGGAGGTGGGGGATATGCATGTCGTCATTGGGTACGTAAGGCTGCTATCTAAGACAACATAGATTACATGACATTTCGAGTCAAGGCTTGTCCATCAGCTCGGTCAACTTGACCTGCAACGAACAATCAGAGCTTCCCGATCTTCCCGGTAGGTAGCACTCAGACCCTCTTGCGCAACTTCCCCGTAACCGTAAGCCTCGCAACAAGAACACACAGTGCCGACATAGTCGCCGTTCCACCAGCGTAGAAGATGGCAGGGCGATATACATCGATACTCTGACCTGACCCGGCGTCTCGCCTACCACCAGCGGCCTCCAACAAGTAACCAGCAATTGGCGCACCCATCAAATACCCCACGCTCCAACCAGTGACCGACATGCTCATAGCCACGGCAGCTCGTCCGGGGCCAAAGATACCAGCGGCGACTGTTGGCTGGGTGGTAAAGTACGCGCCGTTTGCAACACCATTAAGGATTGCGAAGAGAACGAGCGGGCCCAGGGTGTTTGAGACTGGCCAGATGGCGAGCATACTCGCGGCGTTGAGAGCCATGATGATGACGAACATGTTAAGTGGGCCAAACTTGTCGCACAATGGACCTGCGATGAAACGGCCGATGGCATTGCAGGCGTTGAAAGCAGCGACGAGCGCAGCGCCAGTACTAGAGCTGAGACCAATCGATTGCGCAAACAATGGTAGGTAGTACGGCGGGACAAAGAGTGCAAAGACACCAATGGCGCTTGCAACAAACGTAGCGATGAAAGTAAGAGACCGGAACATGGAGAGATCGACAAAAGGTATGTTCCTAAGCGGCACGCGATCCTTGACCATCCACGCAGCAGGAAGACCAATAGCCCAGGTAAGCAGACCCTGTATGCGGAAGGTCCACTCGATACCAACTTTTTGATATAGCGCGTTCAATGCAACAGCCATGACGCAGCCGCCTACTCCGCCGCCCAGCTTAATAAGACCATTTGCGAGACCGAGACGAGCGCTGAAGTACTGCACGGGAACTGTGTTACAGACAGTCCAGTTGAGCGACATACCAATGCCGCCGATGACGCTGTATGTGCCAAATAGACCGGGGAGGTTGGACGTGCAGAAGCTCGCTCCAATTAGACCCAGGCCCATGAGGAAGACACCGAGGAGGATTGTTGTCCGTCCGCCTATCGATCTCATTAGACGGACGGCTCCTAGTCCGTACAAAGCGCCGCCTGCGAGTCCCAGAGAACCGACGTAGGAGAGCGTAGATGGAGGCACGTCTCTTAGTGTTGAATCGAGTAACGCAGCTTGTAAGACGCCCCAGCAGTTGATAATGGCGTTGTTGCAGAAGCTTGTTGTTGAGGAGCCCGCGACTACTATCCACCCGTATCCGCCGTCTGGTACGGCGGTGACGGAGTAGGCTGCGTTGTCTGGTGTTTCGTCATGGATTTGACTCAAAGATGACGGCCTGAATGTGGTGGGCAAAGCCTTGCTTGACTGCGGTTGCGAAGTGGCATGGACGCTCGTGAGCTCAATGCTATCTTCTGTAATGGTAGTCGTAGACATGTTGATGCTGTTACCCTGGAGTCGCAACAGGAGTGCAGACGCGGACAAACTTATGCGTGTCTTGCGAAGGGCGCGTTCACACGCCCTAGACGCCAGAACGACTGGTACTCAATGTAGCCGTGCAGGTAAGCGCAGAACGCCATGGGCCGATTTGACCTCGCTTCGTGCAGAAGGGGTCTTTTCCGATGGAAAGGGAAATGAGACCTACAGTGTAAGGACTCGTCAACTACAAGCAACGATAGACTTTCAGACGTATTCATGTATGTGCCTCCAGAGTACCATTCTACTGATGTGTCTATTACAGCCCATACCTCCAGAGTAGGCATTCCTTCTTCCTCTCTCGGGCTATTGTCGCATCGCACGTATCATGCTCCCCTTGCTGCATTCACCTGTTCAATTACTCAAGGTAACCATGATATATGGAAGGACGGATCAGTAGACGACTGCTTTCCGACGCATAGTTACGTTGGATGGTAGTCCGTCCCAAATTGCAGAACAGAGCGGGGAAGCTGCGGAGGTGCGCTAGTGCGTGATTAGTTACCTAAGCTCCTCAGGGTCCAAGGGTCCTCAAGCTATCGTCTGTCTAGCACTCATGGCACTCACCACACGCTTTCGAGTCCTACACGTCTCACAATTGTTCATACTACAGACTATCGGTATGCGCAGTAGTCCCGCCCGAGCTCTCGGTGCTTGTCAGGCTTTACAATGCGAACGACCAAGTTTCTTCTTTCAACTGCCCGGTTTTGCAGGCTAGGCGCGCTCGGTGCCCACTCGCTGAGACGCGACACGCCTCATCCAACATCGCATCCTTGATCAGTCCACGTCATGGCACATGGCATGTGCTATAGACAGCATATAGAGCTGTCTCACACTAAATCTGTTGCTAACATTTCGCACTTATTAACATTTACCTTCTATATCTCGTAAACTACAATTACAGCATCCACAATGGCAACAGAAGACACCGTCGACCTGAGCGCCGCACACGCGCCCCAACAAGCATCCCTCGAGGCATTCACCTCCATCCTCGACACCGTAAAGAGCGAACTCATCAAACTCCGTCGCGACCATGACAGTAACACCACCCTGCCCTATCAACTCCCCCCGATCCCTCTAACAACCCTCTTCTAGAGCACGAACCCGAATACTTCCGCGCAGTCTCCCACCTCTCTGACAGCGAACTCGCATCCTTCAGCGCCGACGACCTCGAATCCGTTCGCGTAGCCGTGACAGCATACGGTCTGCATCTGTTTGGCAAAGTCAAACTTCCCGCTTTAGACAACGGATACATCCACATTCGCATCTTTGGGTCTGCGAAAGAGGGGACGGATGGGAGTAGTCTTGATGAGAGGGAGTATAGTTTGCACAGTATACATACTGAAGAGGTGGTGAAGGAGGATGGGGATAGGGTTTATAGAGCAGTGTTTGGGAAGGGAGATGAGTTGGAGTGGTTTGAGACTTGATTGTCATATTGAGATGTCTAGACACTAAATTGAGAACTTCTTGAGAACTAAAAAGACGGCAGGCGTAAAGCCGCATTCACCTCCAAGATGCGTTCGTGAACCAAGCCAAGGGTCATCTTGCCGAACTCCTTGAACGCCTCGTTGTCAATTTGCCCGTTCAGCGTCTCAAGCTCATTGCGGTAGACTTGGCGAAGACCAAACACCTTTGAAATCTCATTCGTGATAATCTTCAGATTATCATCTCTGCTTTCTCGTCGCTTGTTGGCCTCATCCTGCCAGTATTCTTCACCCCCTGGCAATCGACCCAAGACTTCGTACTCCGAGACCATATCGACATCTGAGCGATACAGCTCAACAATTCGCTTGAAGCGGAATTCGTTGTGGGAATGGAAATGCTCTTTGATGCCGATGATGGTTTTCATGGTGTTGACAAAAGCTTGCCATTTCGCGAAGAAAGCCTCGATCTTGCTCAATGCCGAAGGGCTGGAAAAAATCACGCTCTTTGGTGGTTTTGGCACCAATATCATCGAATTCTTTGGCGAGCTTGACAAAAGCGGAAGGAGCGCAGTCGCCTGCATTTGCGCTCAGCCATTCGGCTTCGTATACGTTGATAGCGACAGTCAGCTCTCGGATCCGACCAGAGCAAACATCCGAGACCGTGGTGACGACGTCGTCATTTACAATAGAAAAAGTGGTAGGCTCCAAGCCACTGTCGGCGCCAACCTCACAGATGTGCTTATGGTTCCCGGGGTCTGGAACCCCCGAAGTCTGACAGGCAACATCATTGCCAGCCAAAAGATACCCATTCACGATTATTCCATCTAGGGGTGGCTTGAAGTCGAATGCTCCAGTCCAGTTTCCAGGGTCGAAGCTGGACGGGATGGTAGGTATGACGACGTTGCATTGAGAAGGCTTGAAGGTAAAAGCGAATGCTGGTGCTACTGGAGATGCTGCAACGGGGGAACTAGCGTGAAAACTGACATCATTCATGGTGCTTTCGCTTCCGTCCTCATCATCGCTTTCATAAGGTTGTGGTGAGCGAGGCGATATGATCTCGGAACCGTCACTTTCGTCAGACTCATCAGATAGTTCGTTATCTTCAGCGTCGTCTGCAGAATGATCTGATGGCTCTCCATTGCCTCCGGCTAGATTCCAAAGCTCGTGGGCGATCTGCGAATCAAGGCCGTGGTCTTCGGATATACCTTCGAGGATGTGCTGAGTTCCAGACTCGTCATCTTTGTACTCGTCGTCTGAACCAATGTCGATGCCGCCATCACTATGGTCGATCTCGCTAGAGGAGCAAGTGTATTGGTCATCGTCGTGAGAACAGGGAGGCACCGCCGATGCGTTGGCTTCATCCGGAACTTTCGTCTGCCCTGCAGTAGAAGCTTCATGCGCATGGAGCTGCTGGACGTGATCGAGGAAGAGCTGCCGGCCGGTTCGACTGCCATCAGGGTCGCGTTCAGACAAATCCCAGTACGTTTTCCAATCATCCAAGTCTTCCAATGCTTCATCAACGTCCTCGTCATATGAAGTGTTGCTGTCCTTGTGCTCGAGCGACGCCATCCGAATTTCGGTCTCCCAAGATGGCGCAAGCGCGACGACGTCAAGGTTCGGCATACGATTCACGGATCCCAATAACTTGCAGATACCTCGGATATGGCTTCGGAAGCCTCGACGGTTGTCTTTGCGCAGCTGTGCCTCTGATGATAGGCCTGCTTGGTGTGCGTCTGCATTGAGCATGACCTCAGTGGCTTCGGTAGCCGAGTCGGATTGAGTACACATATAACCAAGGTTGGCTTGCGTTTCCACTAAGTGCGATCCAGATGCCATGCTCTTGGTCTCGAGCATGTCGTAGTTCAGTCTGTCCATCTCCCAAACGGACCATTCTTCACCTGTCCAATAGCTTTCATCATCAACTGGCTAAGCTTCAGACCACTTCTTATCGCACTTGGTGAGCAGTCGCAAAGTCGATTTGACTTCGTCATCGTACTCGATTGCATCAGAGCCCTGCATCGAGCGGCACCAAATTTCAGACTCCCACGGCTTAGCAAAGTCCTCGGGTTTGCGTTGCATGATCGTGGCGCCGGGGGAGCTGAGTCTTCTAAACTTGGAGAGCTTGGCAGCGAGAAATTTGGTAGCTTCTGCGCGGAGTTTCTGCTCATTCTCCGTTAATATACACTCTTTTGTGGCCTCCACCTTAGAAGAAGCTGTTGTCATGTCTGTATCGGGTGGGCGCATTCCCGCAGTCAGACTGGGGTCGTAGAACTTCTTCCTTGCGCGAAGTGGCTTCGGAGTGAAGCTAGGCTTGGAAATTTTTGTTGTATCTGGCTGAACAAAGCTGGAATCCATACTGCGAGATGAGTCGCCCTATTAAGAAGACATGGTGGCACTTTGAAGGCGGAGAGGTGCAGAAAACACGCTGAGATGAGCTGCAGGTTGTTCCTTTTTTTGAGCCTCTTGCATGTAGCATTCGGGCTTGGGGAACGGAAGAACGACGGGCGGGATATTTGCGTGAATCTAGGCGGAGTTGCAAGTTGCGATGAGCTGTGTAAAAGACCGCAGTGGTTGAGGTGGGAGCCTATTGTTCCACGCGCACAATAACAACGGGAGGAGCGACCGCCGGATTCGCCGTGGTGGTGTGTGCGCAGTGAAGTGAAAGTGAAAGTAAAGACCGATTCCTGTTTTCCAACATGATGCCCAAGATTTCGACTGTACCATAAGTACTGGTCCCCAACTTACGGATAGAAAGATTGTGAGGTGTATGATGGAAGGTACGGAAGATAGGTAGTGGTGGCTGCCAATACTACCTTGGCCAGAAGCAAAGACGAGCATTGTTATTAGAGTCCATGGTATTTGACCCAGGGCTCTGCCACCCGCCAGGCCTTCTTCCTTACCATGTTGGCAATCCCGAGGTGCTGTGTACACGACGGACAGCTTGCGATGTCAGAGCAGACACTAGCCGATGGTGTGCGATCAAGGTGCTAGGGATTTTTGCAAGACCATGATGGAAATTCCTGGAGTCTTACATGACCAAGAATAGACATCCGACTCTACGGATCCTGAGAAGTATCCACTGAGGGGTGTCTCGGATCGCATCCAACATACGCGCATGACCTTTCGGCCGCATTCCAAGGTTGTCCATTAGGCTATATTGAGCTAGTTCTTTAGATAGAGAGTCACTTGCAAATTCGAAGTCACATCTTGGCTCCTCAAAACGGCAGTTGGAAGGTGAGAAGACGAGGCGCGGCGTTATGAAGAAATGAAGTAGACATCTGCCGGAGGACGTAAGGTTTGGGAAATTAGTGGGTCGAATCGCAACCAATAGGACGCGTCGGAAGCGCTGTCGCCCCGCCTCCCATTCTTTCTTCACGAGCTTTTCTACTTCTACTATGCTCAACCGATCGCAGCGCGTTTCCAAGCAGCGACAGTCCAAAGGCGTTTGCTTGTGTGCTGAGCAAACAGTATGACCATGGATTTTGACAACGCAGCTAAGGCACCTCATCGATCGATTGTTCGGCCCGGAGGAAGGCGCCAGGCCGGGATACATTGCGACTAGCAGTTTTCCGAGCTGAACACGACAAACAGATGCAAACGACTCATCCTCCCCATATCAGTGCTTGTTCGAGATAATATCGGCTGTCGCGATCGTCGCTGCAATTCTAATTCTTCGCCGTCGCCACGGTCTTCACGATCGAGCATCTGGACCAGTCTGGAACGTTATACCCGGCGCGCCCCTCTGACAGCCCTTAGCTCCCGAAGTGCATCACACCTCTGCAAAACACTCTGCGCGACCTCTGCTTTCAATGCTGGGCAGTAATTCGACATACAGATATCTCGATGCATCTCATGGGCGGTCAGCGCGTTGCCTTCTTCCCGAAGGCAGATGCGGCCGTCCTCGCATCGAGGCATGCTGCGCCGGCATCGTCCGAGCGCCCGACCACCACCGCGCCAATACTTGATCTTGAGAGTGCCGACAAACCCCTTGAGCCATGGAATGTGGAACAAGTCACGTCTGTGTATCCCAGCGATGGCGACATCTGGACACCAGCACCAATACCTGCCAAAACACTATGTCCACCTCAGTGCTCTGCGGATCGCTATCTCTTCCCAGTATTGACGCGGAACGAGAGGCTGAGGCTGACATTGCTCTACTACTATACTCGTGGGGCGCTTGAAGATGTAGAGTTGATGTCTCGCCTACAGGAAAAGGTTCATCTTGCGCATGAGACGGTAGGCTGGGAGTTTGTTATTGCCGGCCTTCTCAACCACAGCACTTACACTCGAATGGTCACTGTGAACCTTCCTCTTGCGATATTACCCCGTCGCGAGAGTACTTGCGCTCACACCATCAACCAACCACCCGGTGTAAGTGGACACTCATCGTTGCTGGGGCCACTACTGACATCTGCAGACTGTCTTTGCGCTGCAGAACATGGCCGAAGATTGGCGCTTCGAGAAGTCACCGCATGTTGAGCAGGGTGGCTTGCGCGCGTATGCCGGTGTACCATTGAGATTTGATACTGAATTCGGAGAGCACGTGGCTTTTGGCTCCCTTTGTGTCGCTTCAAATTCCCCCCAAGAGCCACTCTCTCCATTAGTGCAGCAATCCCTTGCTAGGCTTGCTGATTGGATTGTCATGGATATTGTGCACAGTGCAAGAGCTCGCCGTCAGAAAGAACGTAGGCGAATGCTGGAGCTGCTCTCTCAAGCTCAGCAGCAATGCGACAATCATCATAACATGGAGGAAGTGATTCCCAGAATGCTCGAGGATGTTTATCTCAATACGCGAGTGAGCATTCATCAGACCACGGATAGCCACATAAACCTCCCTGGTGGTACGAGCTTTCGCACGTCGGAACTGGAGCAGGGCCTCTGGGAGGATACAGCTTGTGAGTCATTATGATCGAGACGACTGTGACATATGCTGACTTTCGCAGATTTTGACTACGCCATCGAGAATCTCAATCATTCGGACATGACTGCGCCCCGGCCTGTACGGGCTATCGCGGCACAGTGCACCAGTCAGCGTGCGGCAATGTTTCTCGTAGTAGCCAGTAACGATCTCAAGATGGTCTTTGATGACATAGACTCCTGGTTCGTACATATGTGTGCGGTAAGCAATGTTAGGCTCGCCTTTGGGGCTTTCGCTGACAGTTTGTGACCTGTAGACAATATTATGTCGATATTGGCAAGGCCGCGCCCTCCAGGAGGCGCTCAGCGCTAAGGAAACGTTCCTTCGCGGTATTACGCATCAGCTCCGAACTCCTATACATGGCATTCTTGGCTCTGTCGAGCTTCTGACTGAGGAGCTCAAATCTCGAAACGTAGTTCCTTCGACGGCTGCCTCGTCACCCACTGCCAGCCCGGACATCGAACAGCTGGACCCATACACCTATATCAAGACTATCAAGACTTCGGCAAGAGAGTTGATCTCAACGGTGAATAGTCTCATCAAGCTGAATCAGTGGGCAGACATTGCACAGGCGGAACGCGTTCTCACAATGCATACAGTCTCTGAGATTGAAGATGCTTTGCTGAAGGAAACCCTGCTAGGACTATCGGACGATCTATCCACGCGACCATCGATTGTAATACAACATCGTCTACCACCAAGCTGCGACTTACTTGCTATCGACAAGCGGGTTTTTCTTGACTGCATCCAGCCGCTCATGGTCAACGCTGCTCAGAATGCCGCTGGTGGTATGGTAGCAGTGACTTTGTCAGTCGAGAAGGGTTGCCAGTCTTTCGTGGTTGATGTTGAACATAGTGGGCGCAAGACACCCAAAGGGAATTACGATCGCGTGTTTGACGCACATGAACAGATCGATCTTAGCGGTACCGAGTCTGCTTTGGGATTGACGTTGGCGAGTAAAGCGGCAACACTCTTGGGTGGCGAGATCACAATGGTGACTTCGCCCCACGGTGCGGGCTCGCATATCAGAGCGACGTTCAATGAGCCCGTGTGTGCAAGCTCATTACCTGCATCCCGTGCAGTGAAGGATAGGTTCAGTGAGCTTCCGCAAACTTTCCATCATCTCACGTCCAAGTCAGCGACGTCGTCTCTCGGCGATTACTTCACTCAGTATCTTTCGAGCGCCGGCTGGCCAGCATCGAACACACCTAAGGGCGCTTTTGTAGTCGTCGACTATACACCGAATCTGGCGGAGCTCTACAGACACACATCAAACATCGATGCCGACCAAGTCGCGATATGCCTCGTTCCAGAATGCGCATGCTTTCTGGACTTCCACACTGAACGTGTTCGACGGCAGGGGAACGTTGTTTATGTTCAAGGGCCTTTCCTGTCGGAAACATTCGAACAAGCGTTGAAGCACGCGGATGCAATCTCGACAGAATTACGGTCTATTGCTCTGGACACAGGACTCTGTGCGATCGGCGGGGTCGTCATCGAGCCAGTCAGCCAAGATCCTGCGCTCAACTCGAACGAGCGCCCACAACTGCCATCTGAGCGAGGTTCAATATTCCCAGATAAACTACAAAATGAACTCATCCAGTCGGTACGGAACTTGCGCATTCAAACTAAGCCTCTGGCTTCCGCGAAAGAGACCTCAACATCGAGCAAACCCTTGACACTCCTTGTCGATGACAATGTTATCAATCTTCGTCTATTAGAGATGTACTGTAGTCGTCGTAGCATCCCGTTTCGGAGTGCAAAGGATGGGCAGCAGGCTGTCAACATCCTTTCCGAGGCTCTCGTACCCAAATACGACCCGCTACTACGACAAAATCTGCCCATCCAACCTTTCGGGCTCATCCTCATGGATCTTCAGATGCCTGTATGCGATGGCATAGATGCAACGCGACAGATACGACGGCTAGAGAAACAGCACGGGTGCGAACGCAGTGTCTTGTTCATCGTCACTGGTCAGGATTCTTCAAATGATCGCAAGGCCGCAGACGATGCTGGCGCGGACGAGTTCTTAACCAAGCCGGTGGGACCCAAGGTTCTCGATCAGTGGGTAAAGAAATGGTATCCCGATATCGAAATATGAAGGATTGACCATCTATTTGCGCACTGAAGAACCTTCGAGTTTCCATGCTCATCATCCGAGGATCCGTGTAGAGCACATTTACGAGCTGCCATACGCCAAGGCTGTGCCGGCCGCTATACATGTACCGGAAGCCGCTTAGGGAACCCACGCAGGATGATGCAGTAGTTCCCCATGACCGCTGCAGTCTGGATGTCGTATTGCCTGCGCATTGTCGAGCGCCTTGATATCACACACCAAAAAGCTTGACCGAAGTTACTTGTGTGGTCAGAAGGATTGATAGGGACACAAATTGGGTCAGCTTTCCGACGCGCAGCCTTTTGTCATCACAAGCTAGCGGGACGGGATATGGCTGTTGATTGGTAGTGCCACCAGGCGATGACAGCTGCCGGGTCGCATTAGAGGCCGATATGTACGCTTGCTTTGACTTGATTGGACTCTGAAGGTTGAAGCATACAGCATCCAAAATATGATGTAGTTATCAGGGGGGGACCGCACGTATGTAGTAGATTGCGCGACGCATTTCGTCATCACCAATCAGGCACGCTGACGCCAAGTGATTATGTCATGCATATGTGAAACCAGATCGCACTTCTTATTTCCATGCCTACACCTCTATACCCCACCTCCTTGATCGTTGTCTACCACCATGATCTAAGCTGTATTCAAAATTGCCATTAGCAACTCGGCAATACACAGCCACATCGTGGCCGACTGCCCGCAGTTTAGGCACCAGCATCTCGATAACCCCCCAACTTAACGATGGCTCTATCATGGCTATCATACACATGCATAGCCATTCTTCTCGCAACCGTATATATCAGAAAACGACTCAGCGTCCGCACATCCCAACTCCAGCGCGATGCAGAAGCCGAGAAGCCTGGCCGTCTCAGGCTTGACGATGGCCTGACAGCATCCGAACGACAACTAAGAGCCAAGCTCGTCGCAGCCATTCCACACATTATCATCACACCTGACAAAGCAACGGAATTCAAAGAGTCTATGAATGCGTATTGGGACCAGAAAGCGTGTGAGGTACCGCCTGCATGTGTCGTGCAACCCCGCAATGTGTGGGAACTAGCGCAGGCGGTCAAGATTCTCAAACGCGACTTCGATTTGAGGGTTGAGCGAGCGAAAGCAACGGGGGAAGCGGTGGAATCGATTTTTGCTATTCGAGGTGGTGGTCATTCTGCTGTTGCTGGTGCGTCGAGCATTAAAGGCGGGGTGCTCATCGACTTATCGCTCTTCAAACAAGTCGTTCCTGCTAAAGATGGACGGAGCGTGGTCATTGGCGCGGGCTGCAAGTGGATCGATGTGTACTCGGAGCTCGAAAGAGAGGGTCTTGTGGTAGCTGGTGGGAGGAACTCTGCTGTTGGTGTGTCTGGTCTCACGCTCGGCGGCGGTCTCTCGTTCTTCTCGCCGCAATACGGATTCGTATGTAACAACGTCCTTGAATACGAGGTTGTACTAGCAGATGGAAGGATCGTAACTGCCTCGGAACAAGATAAGCCTGATCTTTGGCGCGCACTCAAAGGCGGAGGAAATAACTTTGGCATCGTGACAAGCTTCACAGTCCGCAGTTTCGCCGCCAAGAACGTCTGGAGCGGATTCCTCTACCTCCTTCCATGGAAAGCCCCTGGCGTACTCTCAGCATTCCACACCTTTGTCGCCCGAACACTAGCCGGTGAGCTAGACCAACGCCTCGATCCCTACGCCGCTGGCCCGTTGGCATGTTTCACATACCTCCAATCCGTCGGCATCCAGGCAATTTCTGTGCACCTCGCTCATACCGCGCCAGACACGAAGCGAAGAGGCTGGCCGGAATGTTGGCGTAGTTCTGGTTTCCAGAAGCTAGGTCGCGTTTGGAGTACGCTCAACACTCGCAGTCTAGTCGGTGCGACAGATGAGTTGGGCGTTTTGAACCCACCGGGACGACGACAAGAATTCGCGACTACGACGATCAAGAATGACAAGCTGACTTTGGAGGCGACGCATAAAGCGTATCGCGATGCGATACCGAAGATCAAGAAACATGGAATCAAGGGCATGAATTGGACGCTTGTCCTTCAACCTTGTCTACCTTCTTGGGCTCGGACGGGTGATGTGAACCCGCTTGGCCTTGATGAGGGATCGGATGAGCCGCTTGTTAATGTGCAGTTTACAGTGAATTGGGCGTTGGAACAGCATGACGAGGTGGTGAGGGCTATCACCAAGGAGGCGATTGAGCAGATTGATGCTTTTGCTTCTGAGCATGGGACTGGTCATCGTTATCGCTACCTAAACTACTGTGCAGCCTGGCAAAAGCCATTCGAGAGCTACGGGGAAGATAATCTGAACTTCTTGAAGGGTGTCAGTGAAAAGGTTGACCCTGAGGGCTTGTTCCAGCGAGGCTGTGGTGGCGGTTTCAAGCTCGCGTCATGAGAACGTTCTACCTCATAGCGCTGGGTCATGCATAGTGGGCAGATGATTCAGAACCATATAAAATTACTACACGTGCTACATCGGCCGTCGAAATGAATCATCGTTTGTCATCAACCCTCGTATCCTCGTCAATGCCGTTCGCTCTAGGAACACTTCCTCTGAGCCGTTCATGCTACCACAACTCCATATTACACATTTCTGGAACGCCATTACACCCATTTTGAAAACCCAAATCTCGCTAGATACTCATCCAACTCATCTAGTCAAGACCAGCGGCAATCGCAGCCAGAGCCCAGTCCATGAAACCGGCGTTGGTGTCAAGGATGTTGGTGTTGAACTCGGGGAGAGTGGGGTAGAAGTTGGTGCTGTATCCGAACTCCATGGTGAAGCCGTGGATCTTGTTGGCGCCAGACTTGGCGTATGTGCGGCTAGCAGCGTAGTCGTCCGAGGCACCAGAAGTGGCGTAAAGGCCGACGGATTGCATGGACGTGTAGTCACGGCCACCGACTGCTCGCATCGCAGCCGCCGTCTTAGCAGCAACGTTCTTGATGTTTGTTGCATCAGCCGAGGGAAGGTATTCCTTGTATGTGGAGTCGCCAAGACGACCTCTCTTTCCATCATACGCGCTGTTGAGAAAGTTCATGGTGGTGCTAGTGCTCTGAAGCTCATCGTCACCCCAGTTGTACAGGATGTCGCCAGTAGCGGAGTGGATATCCATGAACCACCTGATCTTCGGGAATGAGTCGTAGATGCTGACATGGTTCTTGGTCTCGGACTCTGATGCAGCAGCTGAGCCGTAAAAGGCCTCTGAGCTGGGCGAAGTGGAAGCAGGGGATGTGGAGGGGTCGAAGTACTTCTTGAAGTTCCAGAGGAAGTCGAAGTTGCGGTTGATGTCTACACCGACGGAGGCACCGCTGGTGCCGGATCGTGTGTTTCGGTTCTTGCGCCATAATGATCCGGAAGACTGGTCGTACGCAACACCGTCTGGGTTGACGAGTGGGAAGAAGACGATACCGGCAGCAAGGACGCTCTTGACCTGAGCATTGGTGTATGATTTGCTACCGTACTTGAGACCACTGCCAGCCTTGTTGGCGGCGAGGAGATCCGAGATCCAGTAGATGAGCTGATCAGGGCCTCCGCGCTCACGTGCGTGCATTCCAGCGGACAGATAAAGGCGGTACTTGGACTTGTCTGTGCCCGCGCCAACGTATCCGGCGGTTTGGGTAGCGCCATTGAAGGTCTTGTATGGCAGAGTGACGGTGCTGATACCGTATCCATTGACGAGTCCCTTGATGGCAGAGTTGATCTCGGTGGGATTCATGATGCTGCTCATGGTCGATCCCGTGGCCTTGGTGCCAAGACCAGACGGTGTGACAGAGCCGCCCGACCAACGGTCGCCAGTGCCGATCGGTGCAGTGGCAGCCCTCTTTCTGAGGTCACGACGGTGTAGGCTGATCTCTGCATGGTTTTCGTACTCTTTGGAAAGATACGCGATTTGGTCCTCGGTCAGTAGGGCGTGGAGCTCAAAATGACCTTCTTTGGATGGAACAGCCTTGGGTCTGCAGCCAAGATCGTATGTGCCATTGTTGACGATATCGAGAAAATGTGCTGGAGAAGGTGCGTTGAAATGAACAGGCAGAAGGCTACCGAGTACGGTAGTACTCTGGAGTATCAGAGCTGCGGCAAGAGCGTACTTCATCTTGAGTCTGCTTGAGGTGAAGAATATGGAGAACGTTAGAATGAAGTTGCCGGTGCTCTACAGTATGTCGTGAAACAACGTTGTTTTTATACATTCCTTCCATTTTCGTGTAGCGATCGACCTTCTCCTAATGGTCGGCAGGTGATACTCTAGCATAAACGTGTCGGACGTGTCATGGTGTTGCCTGCCGCTGATTGGCCGACTTTGCGAATTGCGCCGGGCGCTAACTTGATCTCCTTCTGCTTTCGTCTTGCCTCCGCTGAAACTCCAGATGCACCTGCCCGGGAGGATCAAGTAGATCCAGAGATGCATGGGCAATGAGAGGAGCTGCCCTGGGTGATGTGCAGCACTAGATAAGATAGATTAACTGGCCCTGAAAAGCAAGCCCTTTGGGGCAAAGTTTAGAGCTGGCTGGCCGGACGCTATCGTGAAGCGGTGATTTCCATCTCGGCGTTCCAGGGGAAGCAGGTGGCAGGACAAGACGGCTTCACCGAGCATACGTGCTGGCCACGGAAGTGACGCTGTATGGTTGTCCTGGGTCGTGACAAACTGGTTGGCGTCGGTAAATGACGGGTCTGCGCTCGCACAAAACAACCACGAAGTATTGCGCCATCGACGCAGTCCAAACACTGATCGCTGAGAAAGGCTGCAACTCACAAACGTGCGACTTTGATGGTGGACACTCAGGCCTCGGTGGTGGCAGGCGGAGCCCTGGAGATGCGGGTACCCGTCGCCAAGAGGGGCCACGTGCCTGAGTCTAAGCAGGGGCAAATTGCCCGGTAGCTATGTACGTCACCCGTTACGCCGAACGACTGCAACATACTACGTGCGACATACGACATGCGGAAACGGAGTTGAGCTGGGCTGACACCGGTTGCTTGATGAAGAGCGATGTACGAAACGCCTGTGTCCCTGGTATGCTTTTTCGTGTGCTGTCAAAAAGCAGCTCTCCCGGGGGGCAATCAGACTTTTGCCACCCTATCATACCTCAAGAATCGAAGATTGCGCCATAAGCCGGAACCCCCCGCCTTTCCATGTCGAATACAATCTGTTGTGTGAATCGTTTGTTGCTGATGATCAGCACAGCTTCTGCTCCGCTCTCTTTGAAGAGCCTATACGTCAGCAGACTCATATCTGGTTTGCCGGACTTGCGAGTATTGTACATGACAGCCCTTGGGTCTTTTCTGTAGACAGCATCGACGACGGCTTTGCCAAACGTAGCCTCGTGGTTGGGTGCAGTCCACAGGATGCGCATGGCGACGTTCTGGTAGGGAAAAATTGATAGGCATGGGCCGATGCCAGATCCTGTGGCTACTACGACAACGCTTTTGAACAATGTTGCTATACGCAAAACGCCAGAGGTAGGGATGCCTCGTCTCCAGATGTGTGTCGGTGCTGTATCGATAATGTTGCCTGTGAAGTCTCCAGCTCGACTGACTATCACAGAGTAGCCCTTATGGCTGGGCGCGTTCGAGATAGTAGCAAACCCATGCCAGTCGCGCAGCGGATGTTGGGCAAGGCGTACTCCCTTACCTGGTGCGATGTCAGAATCGAAGTGCAGGCGAAGAGCGTGCGAAGAGAGAGCCTCTGGTCGAACAGCCACGCGACGGAGGAGCAGCCACGGAAAGACGATCGCGCAGGTTGCCACTGCTATAAGCCAGACTGATGGATTCCGCAAGTACGATTTTGAGCTCAATGAGTTGCGGTCAATGGTCATATCTCTAGTAGTCAGGCCCACCAGCACCCAGTAGAGGATGAGCAGCGTCCATCCGCCAAAGCGATGTATGGCCTCCCAAAGGTCGTGGTATCGGTTGCGAACAACTGGGTGCGAAGACAGAGTTACAAAGAGCAACAGGATGAGGATGAAATATGAAAGCACTGTAGGCGCGGCAGAAATAGCTCTCTCATCAACATCCTTCCGCATCTCAAGGCCAGCAGCGACGGTGAAGATCAGAAACCAGAAGGCTGCAGCGATGGCGCAGCCTACGTGGATTCCACCGATGTGGAATACGTTCGCGCAAAGTCGGCGTACCCTGAGTGGTGCCCAAGTAGGCACGGAGGAAAAGACATGAAAGAGCAAGTTGATGACTGGCTCCGACCGTATCAGAATTGCAGCGCAGAGATTCGATGCGGTAGCGGTTGCGGCAGACGATAGCGGGTAACGGCCACGTTCGACATAGTCGTAAAGTAGCCAGCCCGCCAACCCAGTGTTGACGAATACGATTGGCAAGAGGAAGCAGCGGTACATGATAAGGGCACGATGTCGCAGCCAAGCCGTCAAATATGAGCTGCTGGGCTCCAAAAGCGTGACTGGCATATCGAGCGGTGTCGCGCATTCCACTGATGAGCCATACTTGGTGTCTATCACAGGAAATGCTTTCTCAAGGTCGAACTTGTCATCGCATAGTGCTCGGAAAGATTCTTGAGCGATTTTCGGGGTAGGCATGGCAACCTTCATTGGTGCCGCGAGAGTATCGACAGCTTTGTTCGATCTCGCAGATGTTACTTTGATGTGCTCTAGGCCGGCCGCTGTGTTTTTGACATTTGTCACAATGGATTCCAGCTGTGTTTTGTCGACTTTGCCGTTGGCGCTCAGAGGGATATCGTCAACTCGTAGCCATCGTTCAGGTACGGAGTAGTAAGGTAGATGTTTGCGGACGAACTCTTCGAGCTCGTTCTCATCGATTGATGTGGAAGACGCGTAAAAGCCGTGCAGTGACCCATCTACGACGAGCGAAGCCGCTCGCGTGATGCCGACAAATTGCTACATATCGTATTAGAAATATTCTGGCATGAACAATGGAAGCGTACCTCAAGGATGGCAGTAACACCGTCGAGTTCGACACGAAACCCCTATACTGGTCAACATACTGAGAACGCATAGCGGCTATTGGGGACAAACCTTGATCTTGACTTGATCATCTGTACGGCCAAAGGAGTCCAGGGTCCCATCCGATTTCCAACACACAATGTTGCCGAAGTCGTACATCATGGAACTATATCGTATTAGTAAGGGGTGTAAGACGAACGTTTTCTAACTTACCCATCGTTCACGAATCGATTGGGTTGGAACTTTTCGGCTGTGGTCAAAGGCAGGTTGATGTACCCTTTTGAGACGCCAACCCCGCCAACCCAAAGCGTACCCTTATGACCGAACGGTGCGAGTTTGCCCGAATGATCGAGTATGTAGCAGGATATATTGGGCAGGAGTCGACCGATCGACAACGGCCTGCCTGCTACGTGCTGTTGTGCAGAGACCAAAAATGTTTCTGTCGACCCAAGTAGGTTCCAGAAGGTCCTGTCTTGACCCCAAGCATCGGCAAGACTGATACGTATATGTTCAGCGCTGTACTCGTCTTGTTTAGGAATTATACTCACGCTTGTGGACATGCTTCTCCGGCTACAGCAATCGTCTTGATGTTGATGTAATTCTTTGGCTCATACTTCGCGAGAATGGAGGGCGTACATATCAAAGTGTCGATCTATTCACTCGTTAGCCATGTATAGCAGAAAGCAACTATTTGGACCGACCTTGCTGAGCGTTACGTGCCAGTCAGATCCCCTGAGGTAAAGCGTTCCTCCATTCATCAAACATCCGAGCATCTCCCATGCTCCTAGGCCGATAGTTAGTAAATCACACTATTCGTTGTTTATCAGGACTTACCCATAGCGAAAGAGATGCTCAGGACTTGCCCAATCTTTGACCCGACAGTCATACCCAGTCGGCCTGGTTCCGAAAGAAGGGCGTTCGTCTTGGTGCCGTGTTTGACGTCTACGCCTTTGGGTACCCCAGTACTTCCTGTCGGTGATCAGTGAGATCTGGAGGCGAAGTTTTTGGGACACATACCTGAAGTGTACATCGCATAAACACCATCTTGCGCAGTAACTTCGATCGCTGGTCTAGTAGGAGGGTAGAACGCCCCTGTGTTCATACCTAACTCAAGGACGATGACATCCTGGCCTGCAAAGCGTTTCGCCCTATCCCAGTACTTGGGAAGACACAGAATGAACTTGGCTTCTGTGTCGTCGAAAATATGCCGCAAAGATTGATCAGATGCAACGCCACCATCAATCGGTACATATTGACAGCCAGCCTTCATGACAGCAAAGAAGCCGATAAGCATCTCTATCGAGCGTTGCACAACAATACATACTCGTTGCTTTGGTTGAAGTCCCGAAGCGATGAGATAATGTCCTAGGCGATTAGCTGCGAGGTCCAGTTGCAGGTATGTGATGTTGTGGGATCCATGCACAGCGGCCACCACATTAGGGTTCGCATCAACAATACTCTCGAAAGCGCCATGGACCGTTTGATGAGAGACGGAAAGCGTTGGGCCGCGTCCAAATCGAGAGATACATTCGTGATCTGCGGTAGGGAGGTCTATCACGTCTTTGGGCAATGCATGCGTTTCCATAGTGTTGGTAGAGTAGCAATAGAGTGGGTAAGATTAGAAAAGTATCCTTCGCTGGTATGGAAGCGCAGTCTGATGGTGATTGAATGCAAAAGGGCCATGCTTGACGAGGAGTGCCGCGAATATATACCCAGCCTTATTCGTCCCGCGAACTAGGCTCACACGTTCACTGATCCGCGCATGCAGCAGGCAGCCTTATAGTCTAGACTGCTTCAGTGCAAGAAATTTCGTCAAACGCGTCGTTGCTGCAGTTGTGATCAGTCCGTCTGATCCGCTTACACCATTCTTCACGCATGGTCATTTCAAGATACGCCTTCTCGGCTACTGGGTCACGTCCTCGCGTGATCGAGGGAGTCCTGAGCACGAAAGGGCTGCGTGTGAATGAGGCATGGGTGGTCTCTTCGATCATGCAGGCGTATTATTGCACCCTCATACCGCTTTAGTTGAAGATAATCTGAGGTAAGGGATCGAACGTTTCAAGGGTCTGGCCATGTAGTAGATTAGCCAGCGTTTGAATTATTACCAGAAGGAATTGTCTCCATAAAGCGTCTTCTCTTGACACCCGAGAGAACATCCTACGAAAGGTCCTCTGAGATTGCTAAGAGAAACAGCATACGTATCCTTGGTTTGCTGTGCAGATACCGAGAGAGTGAATCGTAGCAATAAGCGCATTCTTGTTCCGATTAGCCATGGCGATTGCTGCATTCCTTCAGCAATGCGCTTCGATCTGACGTGCATTACGGTAGACGCATGACGGGAGGCATCGAGTCGCTGGACCCATGCCATCTTCGTACATATGCAGGAGGCCTATATGTCTTACCCAAATGAGATTGAAAGCGGCGTTGGAGCAGTCAAAATTGCAGGTAGGTCGCCGACCACCAAGTAAGAGACCATGTCAATGTCTGGGTATTGGCTCTAATTCCACACTATCACCATGATTCTTGCGGATCCGACGTTCACAATGCAATGGATTGTAGAGCGGCATAGCGTAAGCGTACCGATAATGGCGACCCATCGATGTCGACTGGAATAGTGCTCGTCCATGACCGTGGACCGCCGATGCAGGTCGCACATCTTCTTTTTGCAGTAACGAGTTATTGTAGGCGAAGTCAACGTGAATAGTAGGATTTGAAGAAGCCTTTTTGGCGCCCAAGTGGACCGGGAAACGGCTACGGACCCCACATTTGGGGCTCAGACTCGCCTTCTTGCAGGTGCGGTGTGCATCTCTTTGCCCATAGTACTGGTCACGGCGAATGGCGTTCGCATCGAACAAACGATACTTGGGCGATGCGTAGTGAAGTGGGCTAGGAGCTCGAGGCTGAATCTCACTGTGCCGTGCAGCACGCCACGATAAACATTAGCGGCACAATCCCCACGATCTCGTCTATGTACCGAGTCAGATCGATACTTACCTGGCTGCAATGTGGCTAGGTATTGATGCACGGCTTACTCACTCAAGCCGGTCCATAACCGGTAAACGGTATGTTCAGCGGGAACCGCCATTGAAGGTGGTGGCCCTGACAGGTTAGCATCAATAAGCGCGAACGGCTGATGAATGTATCCGCACGTAGTCCAGGTAGTCGGATGAAAGTGGTTATGAATATTCTGCAGCAGTTTGGTATCCAGTTGGAGCTGTACATGCGAAATCAATTTAGGCAAAGATGGTGGGTGGCGCTGACAAGCGGCTTCATCAGCTGCGCGCTGGGTTTGGCAGCGGGCATATTATGGATGCATGCCAGATCTTTGATGACTGCAGTGTTAGCATGGGGCGTTGGGCCGCTTCGCAGTATGGTGAGCATGTTTATCAAACCCCCGGGGCCAGACGGTGAAGCTTGCTCCTCCGATGACGTCACCACACCGTTCTGTGCAGTGAAGGGAAGCGTTGCCGTCGCCCAGGTAAGAAAGGATCGAACGAAAACTACCTCTTGTTGTATATGTCGCGGTAGTGGACGTCGCGCTCGTAGAAACATGGTGGAGAGTTGATGTCACATATTAGTGATCAGTGCTGGGCAGGACGCGCTTTGCTAGCGCCAAGGCCGTGCACTTGCCCGTGTCCATGTTCGAGAAATCCCCTCAGCGGGCTTGCGTTATCAAGATCCCCACAGCACTCACACATGCATTTGTCACAGAGTAGATTATATCAATCATGAAGTTAGCCAATTTGCGACGATCAAGCAGCGATATGACTTCAATACGCACGCCACCAACACGCGAACTGAAGATCAAATGAAGCGAAGGCGTTCAGCAATTCAGTTATACCTAGGTAGCTAATTGCATCCTATCTAGGTACCGTTGGCCGGTTGCCGATACTTCACGCCATCGATAATCGTGGTCAACGTTCCGTTCGCTTCGAGTATGTTCTTCATCACATCGATCCTCAAATGAAACCCGTCTGGGCCAGTCTTCTTGCTCCCACTCGCGCACCCCGTCTGCGAGATATCAGAGTACCAATCAAGTCTCTGGTCCCACACATTCAGAGACGAAACTGTCAGCTCAACGTCCTCCCAGCCGTTGATGACGTGCTCGCTGTCATTGGAGAAGTTGGTGTAGTTGGCAGCGACACGCTTGATGGAGTCTGCTTGTGGATGTGCCGTGTCTCCGATGAGCTTCACTTTCGCAAACCCAGAGATCCTCCCGTAGAGTGTATAGTTGCCTGGCTTTAGTATGGGTAGCGATGGGATTTTGGTTCCTGATGGGAATGGTGTCGCCCACGGTATGCGACTAGGCACCTTATAGACTGGGGCTGGACGCGAAGGCTTGCGATTGACCACATGAGCGAGCATGACACGATACTCACGTCCACCTGGAGCTGTTGAGGTGGGACACTGCAGCGGGTTCATGCCACCACAAGCTGGCGATGTGACGATAGCCTGCCAATACACAATGCGCGTGCTGTCCAAAGAGAAAGCCGGATCGGCTCGGCCGTTCCAGTTTGGGTCGTGAAAGCTACCTTCGCTATCATTGCCTTCCCCGTTGACCTGCTGCCCGTAGTACGACCCACGATCTCCATGACGATCCATCAAGATCGGTTGGAAGAAGCGACGTGGGCCATTGTTGCGTGTAGATGCGGCTACTGCAACAGCAATGATATCAATGAGAGGCGGAATACCTCGCATTCCCGACATCCACATTTGACGTTTGCTGGCACGCGTATCCTGAGTGACGAACCACTGGTCATCGGCAGAGAAAGCAATAGGATCAGCGTAATCAGGGTGACTAGTAAGACGGCGAACAATCCCAGTCTCGATATGAACCGCATAAAGATCGATGTTTGTCGATTCGGTCGGCGCACCGATGTAGAGTATCTCGTCGCCGGAACCACTGAAACCCCGCAGTTCGCCAATTGTGATGGAGTCAGGGTGAAGCTTCAACTCCTCACCATCAGCCGTTACGAAAGCTCGACGCTTTGGATCCACGAGAAAGTCGACATCGACCAGATCATAGCGAGGCACAACCGGGCCTGATCCTGAGGGTCTCGCATTGTACTCCAGACGCCCGAAATAGGAATACTGCCCAGCGTCGTCGGTAAACGAACTCCAGCCGATATGAACATCATCGGGGTGGATACGGAGCTCACGCGGACTGCCATCCGACCAGTGAATTGGATAGATATGAACATTGTCAGGTGTACATTTATCGCTAGCCAACTGCTCCCCGTTGCAGTCGAGGATGTTGTGGCCCCAGATTGCTTTGTCGCCGCTTCTGAAGACATGGGGATAATCCCGTTGTGGGTCTAACTCTCTTGCGTTCTCAGCCGGTACTCCACAAGTTAAGCACTTCCACGTGTCGCCGTTGCTGAAATTTGTGACATCAGCTTTGATGAGAATTAGCTGGACTCCATTGTAGATGCTCGCTGGATCGGGAGCCGCGGGGGCTCCAACGAACGTTACCGTGACGATCACGTTCTTGCCATCCGGAGTGAAGTCGCCAGCCTGGAACTTTTCGGTGAGTCCTCTCGCGATGCACCCGGTCGGATTTGGACATGCGCCAGGGTCTTGGCTTGGAGAAACTGGAGGTAAAGGTAGTTCGACGATGTCAAATTTTTCGGGCTTCGGAGGCTTCGGAATATGTAGGGAGGTTTCAAAGATAGCTTGCTGGTTGGTTTTGCCGGCTGAAAGGTGGTGACTGCTCTGATACGACAGGGGCACTAGGCTTGCGCCGAGGGCAGCTGCACCTGTGTATAAGTGCCGCAACGACATTTTGTAAGCAGTATTCTTGATCGTTGCATCAGCTTTGGCAGATTAAATGCATGATGGGTGTTGCAGCAGTTGCTTTATGGATGGATGGATGACGCAGTGTGAACCTTGCGAGGGTAGCGTACATCAATACGCCGAATACGCGATACGCGTACAGTGAGCTTTGACCCCCTGCCACCTTCTCACAAATCGCGCGTAACATCCGACTGCGATACCACTCCCCGCTGATTACCCATACATGGCTTCCTCCATACTTCGTAGCTGCTGCACTATAGCTCCATCTCGTTGTTCAATCGCGTAGTATAAGTATCTCGAGTTCGCCGGAGTGATTTCTAGCTGGCAGAATGAACAGAGTGCGCCTTGAGACTCAAATACGGCCTAGTCCTAGTTCGGGCTGGCCATTGAGATTGGACTCTGGTCTATGGTATAATTGCGATAGCTTTGATGTATTGGCGAGCTTCATGACTTCTCTTGTCAGCTTCAGCTAGAATACTGATTCACACTGTCTATCGACTGCCTACGTTGAGTGGCCTTGTGTGGTGATGTTGGCAGTGACTTTGGCCGTGACTCAGAGAGGCAACGAGGCGAACCGCTGTCCAGGGCGGCGCTGCGCCCTTTTGCTGACTCGACCGTCGAAACAGTACCGTTGATGTTCGAGGCGTAATTTTCGCGCACCAATCACAGCCGTCCGTCGAGAGCGCGTCTGAGCTCTTCTGAAACTGCGGTACCGTGGGCGGCTGGCTGTCTAGAAAATAGGTTGTCATCGCAGAGTTCGTAATATGATCGCATCAATGGATCGCAATCCAACAAAGTGTTGAAATGATGAGCGTATTCTGTGACTCACAAGAACTGGTGCTCCTCTGCATACATATAAAGGAACTCGTCCCGCCCAAAGTTGCGTAACGAATCGACCACCTGAACGACAGGCCTTTATCAACACCAATACAAAGACTTCGCTTCTCTAACAAGGGCAATAAACCGATTCAAAGGTCACAATCAGCTACTGCGGTTGTCAAATCTTTCTCTCAACACCAAACTATACGCGATCGCGTTACCTCAATGTCTACCACCACCAACAACGCCGAACAAGCCGTCTCTTACGCTGCCTTGATTCTCGCCGACGAAAACATCACCATCACGCCCGAAAAGCTGCAAGCACTACTCAAAGCTGCCGGTATCGAGGACGTCGAGCCCATCTGGACCACGCTCTTCAGCAACGCTTTCAAGGACAAGAACGTCAAGGACCTCATCCTCACCGCCACCACGGCTACACCAGCCGGTCGCGGTACCACCTCTGATATCAAGGACGATGAAAATGCAACCGGAGAGGATGGAAACGACGAGAAGGACGGAGAGGAGGGTATCGATATCGACGCGGACTCGGATGATGGGTCTGCATTTGGGGATTTGTTCGGCTAGGCAGCCAGCGGTAACGGGCAGGAGACTATGGGAGGAGGGAGAGGAGCAACATCGTCTTTCAGAGCGAACTGGGAGAAATGCGAGAGTTTTGAGATGCTACGTTAGTTGCGCAACAAACAAGAGGACCTTTCTCTCGCAAAACTTGCTACCTGCCTGATGTGCATGACTGATCGTGTCGCGCGCAACATACGACCACGTTCGGCTTGATCTGTGATCTTTAAAATGAGCTGAACGCAACCTGCTGACACTCTAATGGCTTAACACCGCGACCTGCATGCAAGCTTCGGTCCGGTCTTGAAGCACTACGACTGTAAGGGTGTAGAGTAATCATGTCGTATCCAAAGATCTGCGAGCGTGGCGCTTTACTTGGCCAACATAGCTGAGTATTGTGAAGAGACTTGCTAAGCTTCGAGTCCGAGGGTGAAGATGCTCGAAGTCGGCAGTGCGCTCAGGCCTGTTGCTGATCATAGAGTCAGCTGATTCATGTTACCCAAAGCCAGGACACCGGAACGAATAGTGAGCATTTAACTTGGAAGCATTTGACAGCAACCAGGAAGGATGTTCGGCATATTAAAAGCAAGCGGCCTGTGCAAATCGTATATTGTTTAGAACAGATACGAGTAAGTCGCGAGTTCAAACAATTATCCTGGCATTGCTGGGCTGCGTACGTTGATGTGTGCCAGAGCCTCCGAGCTAGGCCCGACGAATATTAAGCTTTTGATTGCGACAACCCGCGTACCTTGCTCGATCTGCAGCCGTCTGAATCGGAACCCACGCCCAAGGATTTGGTGAGAACTCTCACCCCGCAAAAGCTTGCTGACAGTCAGCTCGGGTCCGTACAACTGGGACGAAGAATCCAAAATTGACGGGCCGCTACGGCAGCCAAGCTGTATAAGAACGGTTCTGAACTACAACAGCACCATGTTGAACTTGCTGGCTTTCCGGGTGGTCGGAAAACGTGTTGTGGCGTATCGAAGTAGTGCCGGCCTGTGCATAAGAGATGCATGCGATCGAGGAGCGTACTATGAATCGACTCGGCGCATTCCGAGACTGCAGGCTAAAGCGACATCGACTGGTAGGTGACTTCCGTAGTATTCTGATATTAAACAAAGCGCACTGGTTCTCTTCTCGACCGATCAATCCTGAGGTCGAATACGTCGGGTCGCTGATATCCACCAACTACATCATGATATTGTTTGCCCTCGATGCAATCGTCAAGATTCATGTCGGCATATAGTATGTCTTCCTGGTCTTGCAATGCGTGTATATATGCTTTCTCGGCACCTTTGTAGGTAAAGCTAGGCAACGGCGCGCCAGTAGGGTCCAGGAAGAAGGTCGCGGCGCGAGGCATGGCCTGTAGGGTCTCGGCTACCACATCCGCCTGACTTGCACCCTCGATGATCGTTTTGATGGCGTCTTCACCAAGATGGCCTGAGCATGCTACACCGAAACATTTTGCTTCGAAGCAATGTGCGGCAGCACGGGTCTTGTTTGCGGCTAAGTTGTCATAGTTTGTTCCACGCGCAATGCTCGGACTCGGCTGCACATTGCTATCGTCGGCGGTTTGCTCGGCGGTTTGGGCTGTGTGACGCGAAGTTCTTGTCGGCCATATCGTCGGCCAAGTTGATATATGAATTTGCTCTGCTTGCGCGATCAAAGAATACCTTGCAAGTGCATTAGTGTTCTCGCCACAGATTAACGCGCCGATACGTCCGTATTGCGTGTTAGCCACGCGCAGCCCATAACCGTCACCGCTACTCCATGTGAGTTTTTCGAAGAAAGTCGGGACCAGCTTTCGATGGTGAACTAAGACTTCGCCTTCGGTTCCAATGAAGATGTTCGAATTGTACAGGCAGCCGTTGCTGTGTCGCGACCTTTCGCTGAAGCCGATGCTCACTAGGATGTTATTTGACCGAGCCGCTTCGCGCAACGCCTCCATTTCATCGCCATCAGCATAGATAGATTCTTGTACCATACGCTGGAACAGCGAGTGATTTTCAGTAGGGGGTCGTAGAGAACTCCAGATCGGAAAAGCAGAGATGTAGGTTTCCGGAAAGACCACGAGGTTGGCCTTGTTAGATGCCGCTTGTCTGATGAAGGATAAGGCTTTATCTGTTGTTCTGCGTGCATTGAGAAAGACGGGTGATGCATGGCAGGCTGCAACGCGTAAGCTGTTCGCCATGATGGAAGAATGCTTTTCTTATGCTTGTGTCTGTGGGTGAAGGAAGAGGGGAGTGGTAACGGTAAGCATCGCAACCCCGCGCCTGTGGCACGATTTCCCCGCACCTCTTGGAACCACGCAACCAGTTCATGTTGCCCTCACGAGCTCTACAGGCCCAACGGTATTCAATACTTGAGCCTGCTGTATCAATGGAGTCTCGGATGATCTCTGATCCTCACTCGGTTTCCGAAGCGGCCGTCACTACGCCAAGAAGAGGCATCGTTTCACGGACGGGTTTTACACAAAGTTGCCTTCACAAAGTCCCCTAATTTCGCACGCTCAGAAGAGACAGTCTCATCGGCCAAGCCGTGGCTGATGTCCTGTTGGGAGGTATCGAACACGATGCTTTGCAGGGAGCGAGCAAGGGAAGATGGAGATGCGATCTGGGCATGTTCGAACTCGCCGGTTTCCCTGGCTGATGGTGCTGGCACCCGTTCTTCCAGCTAGGAATGTGGAGTAAAATCGATACACAGCGTTGACCTGGGATGTTCGCCGTCGGTGGTAAGAGACCAGATGTGAGCAGGAACCCGTGGCCCGGTGGACGAGAGCCTTGGCCGTTACGCGCTAACCCACTAGCGTATTCAGGCTGTAAATTATCTGGGCCACTGTTCACTCCTTCATCGTTCCTCAGTATCATGTATAATCCACACACATTTGTTCGCGCGAGAAAAAGTTCTTTCAGTAGGCGGTTAGGGGACGTGTGACTGTGCCGACATTAGAAGACTTGCATCACAGCCCACTGAAGTACAGGCGTAGCTTCGGAGCGGCGATCCGATGCGGTAACACCGTAGTTATAACATCAATCGAAGAGAGGAGCTAATTTCCTGAGATAACGAGCATTTTCCAGGAAGTCGGATATGCACATGGCTCGATGCAGCATGTAAGTGCGATTGGTGTTGTGGCCTCGGGATTAGGACAGCAATTAGCCGCCTTGTAACAACGCCCGACCAGAGCATAACCCGTCGTTATATCGACATCAGTAATCGGTGAAAGGCTAAGAGCAGCAGCGGAATCAAGGCGCTGCTCGCTTTGTCACCATCTGGGCAAGCTGAAAAGTTGGAAGGCGTTTCAGCTAGCTCGTGGGATAAGTGACGTTCCAGGTCCGGCAATGTGCCGAGCAACCTGGGAATCCCACGGCAGTGACCGAAGCCACCTTCCACGTTTCGAGCTGGTTCCGGTACCTCAATTTCAGGAACTGTGCAGCCATTATGAATCTACTGACCAATCAAGCTACCGCGACGGCACCGATTGATGCGAAATTCCGCAGTGGGTCACCCGCGTGCCTGGACTGACAATCCTGACATGAACCACATCGGTCCGATGCAGCTTCTGTGCCCTGTGCGTCCAATTCATGCTAAACAACAACCCAGTCGCGACCGCCTCTGGAGCGCTTGGCGACACAGCGGAATGTAGTGGTGCTCCACTTTAGACGTTTTGACAGGATTGTTTATCTGATGAAGGGACTTCACGGCCCTTCTCCGATGACGCAAATGGTTTCGAAACCCAAGTTGGCAAGTAGCGCCATGTAAAGTTCAGTTTGGCACAGATGGTGTGCAGGCAAGGGTTACATGGCATGCAAGATCTTGTGCCCAGAGTGACTTGCATGCCGACTAGGCACAGCTCTGCCCGTCCCATGTCTGCCAGGCTCGACTGAGGAGGTATAAGAGTCTTGGGATCTTCCACTCAACCCTTCTTTCACCCACAGTCGATCATTCCTGCTCTTAGATACCCTAACAGTACTCGCTCAAGATGCGTTACTCACTCCTTGCTTTCGCTACTTGCGCTCTGGCAGCACGCCCTTTCCTCAACGAACCCGACACCGGTATCGACGACCAGTTGGCTGGATTCGTCGCTAATGACACCCTGCCTCCTCTCAAGTCTTTGGTTGGCCTGCCCGACTTCCAATGGGTTGGCCGCCAGCACATGAACACCTCCGCCTACACATACTACCGCAACGGAGCGGCTGGCGAATGGTCATACCGCAACAACCTCGAAGTCTTCTCCCGCTACCGATTGAGGCCCCGCGTCCTCCGCGACATCACCAACATCCAAGCCTCCATGCCCACGACTATTCTCGGTCACAACTTCTCAGCGCCCTTCTTCATCTCCCCATGTGCACGCGGTGGATATGCCAACGAGGATGGTGAGCTTGGCCTCGTCAAGGGTGCCGGCGAAGGTGACATCCTCTACATGACCTCGCTCTACTCGTCCAAGAGCTTGGAAGACATCTACGCTGCTCGCCCCAACGGCTCAGAGCAAGTCTTGTTCCAGCAAGTTTACCTTGACGGTGACATGAACGACACACAGGTGCTCTTCAAGAGGATCGAGAAGCTCGGTGCGAAAGCTATTATTCTGACTGTCGACTCTCCCGGTGATGGTGTCAGGCACCGTGCTGCCCGCTACGGTGTCGGTTCCGCCGACGTCAACCTGAGTCTTCTGACTTGGGATCTGTACCAGCAGCTATCCAACATGACCTCCCTGCCTATCATCCCCAAGGGTATCCAGACCGTCGAAGACGCTCGCGAGGCCGTCAAGCAGGGCGTAAAGGCCATCTTCCTCTCCAACCACGGCGGCCGTCAAACCGACACTTCGCCATCATCCCTCGAAGTCGCCCTAGAAATCTACAACGAGGACCCTGAGATCTTCCAACAAATCGAGGTTTACGCTGATGGAGGTATCCGCTACGGAACCGATGTTCTCAAGCTCCTCTCTCTCGGTGTCAAGGCTGTCGGTCTCGGAAGGCCCTTCATGTACGCCAACATCTACGGCGCTGAGGGTGTCGCAAGAGCGACAGAGATGCTCAAGTACGAGCTCATCAACGACGCGGCGAACATTGGTGTAACCGACCTCAAGAAGATCGGCCCAGAATTCGTGAACTGGAAGACTCCCGCTGTTAGCTTCAGCGTATAGACAGTGACGTCACCAGTTCTTGCTGCGCAGGAGCTCGAAAATTCCCTTCTCTTCAACTAGATGTATATACTTTTAGCAAACAATTTATCAAGACTTTCTTCAATTTCAAACATGTCGTCGCGTACTGCCTCTTCCATAAAGCCTGCTTTATACGCGTTCAGAAGAAGCACGCCCACAGCCCCTGGAGGCAAACACGCTAGTATCTTACCGTGTTGCGCTCCTTCCCGAGGCCCAGTCTCACTACATTTGGTTTCATCGCAAACTCCAACGTCAGTCGCCTGCAACTATCGAGTAGAGAGCGTCAGTCACTGTCCGATAATTCTTCCTGATTTGCTCAGCGACAAAATGCGCAAAGTGTTGGTGACGCCGCCATAGCCCGTTCACGATTCGCAGGCCCATTCGGTACCTTATCGCGCGCCTTATCGGCCACGTGTAGGGCGCATCTCAAGCAGTTCCCATGAAAATGCGCTGCCTCTCTAGCCCTCTATACGTGATGACATACTCAACCGGACATCGGTTAGGTAATGGAGATACTCGCGCTAGACATTGAAAGGCAGGTGTACGCCAGACGCGACACCGTCCTACACTAACAATATTTCCTCGCGCTTCATTCATGTCTTCCATAATCGGGCCTCAACCTTAACGCAGTTCTCCTCTCAAGCTCTAGAACGAACGAAGCCATCAGCATAGTATCTCGGGTTTTCGCCGCTCCCGTCCCATTCGATTTACACGTTATATAGCAGACTCAGCCAAGTCATGGTACATGCCACGGAGGATACGAATGCGAAGCCACAAGATGCGACAATATCCTTGACGCAGAGCGCTATTATCAATGATGGAGCGAAAACTTTGTCTGAGAACGACGTAGTCATCAGCTACCGCGGTGGCATCATCGAAAATAGACACAGCGTACACGCGGTCGTTGTCGACGCATCTGGCAAACCACTCTACACAGTCGGTGACTACAAGAGAATGACCCTTGCGCGATCATCAACAAAGCCGATCCAGACTCTTGCGATCTTGGAGACAGGGGCTGCAGAGAGATTCGATTACGATGACGCCGATGTAGCCCTCATGTGTGCTTCGCATAGTAGCGAACCTCGACACATCGAGCGAGCGAGAGCGATGCTAAAGAAGACGGGAGAGAAAGAGGAGGTGCTAACATGTGGTGGACACCCCGCTCAGAACCCTGCTGTGAATCGCGCATGGATCAAAGAAGACTACACGCCGACTGCTATTTGCAACAATTGCTCGGGGAAACATGTCGGTATGGTAGCAGGTGCGGTGTGTCTGGGCGCTACGGCTCACGACTACTATCTACATGAGCATCCCATGCAGCAGCGCGTGTACCGAGCTGTTGAGGATGTAAGCGGACTCACGAAGAAAGAGGTGCTATGGACTGTCGACGGATGCAACCTCCCCACGCCGGCGATGCCTCTTCCAAACCTTGCGCTCATGTTTGCAAGGCTTGCGGATGCCGCTGACCTTTCCGACGATCCTACCAAGACCACACTCGATCAGAGAACACGATATTTAGCTCTGATCCACAAGTGCATGGCCAGCTACCCCGGACTGGTTGCTGGCGAAGGTCGCTTCGATACAGCGCTCATGACGCCTTATAGTGGACAAGTTGTCGGCAAGATCGGAGCGGATGCCTGTTATGCAGTCGCAGTGCGTGCGTCACCCGACGCTAATCTGGCTGGGATAAATCATGGTGCTATAGGAATTGCTGTCAAGGTGGAAGATGGCAATCTCGATGTTTTGTATGCTGCCGTCATGGAGATTCTGGAACAGCTGAACATCGGTTCAAGCGAAGTGAGACGGTCATTGGATGGTTGGCGATACCCGAAGATCGTCAACACTGCAGGTGCTGTCACGGGTGGTTACGAACATTGCTTCAAGGTGCGAAGCGCTGCAAGCGTGGCGTAGCGATGGCGTAGCTGATGTTATCCCGAGAGGAGGACGTACACAGCAAACTTGAAGCGATTCGCTGCCTACCGATACACTTTAGAAGTACTTGGAAGTCAAGCATGGTTTATTTTTATCAAAGTATAGGAAAACTATCGATGCAGATATTACCAATCCTCTATAGCCCGCTGAACTGAGCTGCCGCAACATACCACCCATACAAACCGTGACAACATGTTGACAACCCTTATAGGTATCAGGAATTGGGTGATGTAGCCAGGAAGCATTCCATCAGGTGCTTCGTGAAAGGTATCAGATCTACAAGAAGCTCATCTAGCTCCATACCGAAGTCTGACTCCATGCGCAACGGGGCAAAGCTAGCCATCTTCAAGAGTATGGAACCCACCTCTTTACAAAATACGGGGAGCGTCATGCCATCAGACTCACGCCATTCTCGGATCTCTTGAGCCATTTTGGAGTAGGGACGTCGTGCTTTCTTCTTCCCCAGTGGAAGGGCTCTGAAGCCGCCCAGTATGGCTTGACCATCGCCAGAAAGACCAGTAGCCTCGCGGAACTCGACAAGTGTTCTCATGCATGCTAGCCATTTGTCCAGAGCTCCTTTGTACTTCTCGTACTCGCTGCTGTCCAGTCCCTTCCTGAGCTCGTCGGTGTATTTCACAGCCATCATGTCGACGTGTCCCACAACCTTCTGCATTTTTGCAATATCTTGGCGTCCAGGGTTGCGTGATTCGAGAAGGACAAGGAGCTGGATCCCCAGCTCACCCCGATCCCGAAGCAACTGGGACCCAACAGTGTTCTTTGTCAAATTGGCCCTGTCTTTGGCGGATGGTTCAGCGGCTTTCGCTGCGGTCATATGATGTGCTGTCATATAGCGTGGACTGGAGACTTGGGGCTCTCTCCTTGGCGTACCTCTTTTGTGTGATGGTGTAGACCCCACGGCTGTGTTGCTGCCGACTCGTGATCCGCTCTGTTTACGCTGGCTGTTTTCCAAAGCTGAGATTCGAGTACCCGCACGCCTGTTTGAAGGTATCACCACTGAAACACCGTGTCTGGGACGGCTTCGTATAATGTCATGCTTTGTGGAAGATGGTTTTCTCAATGATCGGATCTTTGAGGCTGGGACATTGGGATATTCTTTTGGTTTGGAACAGTTTGAAAAGGTAGTCGAAGAAAAGCGAGCGAGCTCATCCGTACTGCTATCAGACGATGGCGACATGCTGCGGATACACCTGGAGTTACCGACTCGTACGGCGTCCATGAAGCTTGTTGGCGGTGTGGGCTCGTCGGTTTCGGGCGCGTTCTGAAAGGCTTTCCCTTCGCGTCTGTCATCTTCGGCCTTACGACAGGCGCGTTGGATGATATAGCCGAACACGTTTAGTCGAATCCTGGATCGCGCAATGTTAGCCCTCATCGCTGTACTACGAAGCTTGCAAGCACTGACTTGTACCGATCATTAGGGTCTCCATAGATGAGGTGTCTCGGATATCCGTTCTCGGCGAACTCTGAACCGTTCTTGAATTTGGGAGCACACTCGGCGTCAAGGGCTTCACTGAGCGCCCCAGTGACATCAGGAGTAGTGAGGAACTCTGATTCCCCTCCATCGTTCCATATCTTATGCCCAGCTCCCTCGAGGCACTCGTTAACAGTTCCGTCCAGAGTGATACGCTGGTCGATAAGTGCTTCACGGATGGCGTTTCTTGACTTGTAAAGCAGCGCGATTGCGTGGACCTTGTCATTCGTGGCTATCCAAAATTCATGAATGGTAGGATTCGACTTGAATCCTGGTCTTCCTCGCTGTGTGGGGTCGGTGAACTCGTTTAGCAACCCCAAGCGAGAACGGTATGACGAAGCCTTGGTTGATCCTCTGGTGCATTCTTGGATCAGTGCTGTAATTTCTGGCGGCATAGCCAGAAAGTGTGACGACAAGTTTTTGCTGTCAGCTTTTCGAGTGGGTTAAATAAGACTTCTACCGCTTGCTTGTGTGGATCTGTACATACACTCTATTTGTCAGATGCTGTTTGGAACAAATTCGTCATCGCCTGAGAACAGTTCGAGTTGTGCGTAGAACGGTCTTCGACAGTCTCCGGTGTCGTGCTGTGAGGCTACCCAGGTGGTATGCAGAAAGAGCGTTCTCATGCCTGACTTATAACTGAACAGCAACTTCTACACACCAAAACATCTTCCGTACCGAGAAAGCTGATGACTTCGGCAGCTAAGCGCAGGTCTATTTCGCCGAATCGACCGACGGGTTCATATCTGGCGAAGATTCAACCCTCCGCATCTTATGACTCATCTCCCTGGTCGTTTCTAGGAATCTAGGTACGCCATGCCAGAATAGCTACCGTAATACCATGAGTAAAGAGGCTCGAATGACATTCGTAGCTCCTATCTTGAGGATGCAATTTCGGGGAACGTCGTCTCTTGCCAGATTGTTTACACGATCGGCGACGAAGGACCTTCATAGCTCTATACTAAGTTGATTCATTGGTTGAGATGATGTTGAGAAGATGTTGAGCTGCAAGGGGAACTTAGTACACTAGGCAACAGGCCAAGATCTGGTCTGAGAGCATCCTTCACGACGGTCGCACGGAGCGGAGACTATGTCCCATCTCCTCCAGATTCCCAGTTGTTCTCTGACGGAAGAAGCGGTGCTCGTCCCCCGGCGAATCGTTGCTGATCACACACTGCCTTATCAGACGGGTGTAGCAAAGCCGTTGCCGCAGGCCGTGCGTTCAGGATTCCATAGGCTGTAAGTCACTCATACCCTGGAGGCAATCATGCATCCCTCGTGGACAATACAAGGAATCAAAGCTTGGCTACAAAAATGTTTCAAAAATTGATGCATAGCAAGAAAGTTTCGCCTTCATGAAGTCCACCTGGAAACGGGCATAGGGTAGTACTCAGGCCGCCGTTGTCGATGACATCCCTACATGGTGCAGGCTGCAGCCTTTGCAGTGCTAAACCCCCAGGGAAATAGAGAAAAAGAAAAGTAGACAGGGTGATCTAGCGGGTGGCTGCAACAATGCTCATGCGCGGACTGACGGCTACTAGCATGTCGAGCCGAGACTGCATGGCAAGTGTGCATGCAGGTATGAGTCCGAATCACACCTTGGCGAGCGATCGTTAATGACAGTGATGAAGACCGTTATCGGTGAAGCCTTAGCACTTTGCGTCGCTTCTACTGCCTGTGAGTGTCTATGCACTGCATATGGCTGAGACAATTACGCTGAGGCTAACTGCATTCGATCCTAGGAGCAACCGCGCCGCAACGCCACCAGGACCCTGATGCTGCCGGTGAAAGATGTAGCGATGACTAACGACCCCTTTTTTGCGGCGCAACGTACCGCGTGCATTTCCGTTCAATCACCCGGGTCGATGGCACACACCACTAGAGCCGGGAAGAGAATAGGAGTCTCGGAGCCGGAACGCATCTATGACGTCGCCTTAATCGACTTACCGACACCTGTAGCTACGAGACAGGGATCATTTGTTTCAAACCTTGGTGAGGATCGGCCCGAGAGATAGTTTGTACGTCTGTCAAAGTGCAGCGTTGCCTTGATCGGATAAAATGGATACGTTAAGAACATCCCGTTGCTTCCATGATACGGTCGACTGACCTCCTTCTAGACAGGCAGATCAACACACTCCTGACCCGCATGTAACCCATAAACCATAGAATTCCTAGATGGTACATGTGCGAAGGCCTTATTCGTGCTTTATCGTCTGGTAAGTCAATCTCTTGACCTTTTCAGCCCCAGGGAATGTATCTCGTTTTGCCTTGTCTATAAGGAAGAAAGCGCATGTCACAAACACAATAACAAGCTTGCAGACAGCCCATACCATACATGACCGTATGGGAGTCGACCAAGAAAGTAGAAGAGCTGTCCATGTGCGCTCTGGTTTCGTCCGAGTGACCGCTAGCTCACCTGCCTGGGTTATGTGCTCTGTCCTGTTGGAAGCACGGCTCCTGATCCTGTTACATGCGCGGCTGAGAAGCCAACAGTAGACCAGCTTGGTGATCTTGTGCACAAGACTTCAGCTGGTGGTCACATTCCATTTTTTTGCATTACTCACCTGCTACGATCACCATCATTCTCGTACACGAGGTGAGCAGGATAACCACAGTGTTCGCAACCATTGTCGGGAGTGGTCTGAGATGGCTTCGTTTTATCGTTCGTCCAGATAAGAGGGCCGTAATTAGTCAAGCAGGTCTCGACGCTTCTAAATGGAAAAGTTGTATCCTCGCGATCGATGTTCGAAGGGCACCGGCCAACTAATTTAATTTCTATCGCGTGACGTTAACTCTCTAAAGAGGCGTATTCCTCAGCGATTTCGTGGGAGATCGGTGTGGTGTCTCTCCTGAAGTCGACAGCTATGCGCTTGAAAGCCTGCGGATCTCTCTTAGACTTCTATGGGTCATTGACTTCCGAGAGTTTGCGGAATCCTAATCGGTCGATATAGTAGCAGGCATGGTGTTTGTTCTTGGTCGAATTGAGTAAGGCTAGCCGACATGATGGCTGCTTAAGGCGTGCCATCCGAGCTGCAGATCAGGAACAGGTATTTGACTGGGAGCGATATTTGGCTCTCGTAGTACACGGATTGAGGCCAGTAGCAGAACTGGGAGAAAGTCAGTCGAAATGCCAGGAGTTGACGACATCATCTTGAGGCCTGAAAACGCCATGTCTTGCAGAATAAAGTTCATAAATGTATTAAAGTAGCGCACCTGTCGTAGTTGCGTGGTCGGGTAGAGATGGAGAGGTGCTGGGACTGCCGTTTTCAGCACCAGATGGAGTTCTCAATAAGAACTCAGGATTGAAGGAGCGGACGTGTCCATCGACGAGATTTAAACATGTGCACAAGGCTTGAGGCCATGTTTTCCTCTCAGCGCAGTTGTTTCCATAAACACCGCGGCCGTGAAACATAATGTTTCAGCACTTTGATAGCTTCCATCTGATTGAAAGCCACTGCTGGCGCCTTGGGATGATATGCCCTTACTAGGAGTCATGCCGGTGCCGTGATTCATCTAACAATCACTGTTGTTCGAGCGATCTGACTATCGAGTTTTTGGCCGTGTAGTGGGGATGAGGCATCTCGGAGTAGATGGATAAATCGCTGCAGATGCACTTGACGTCGCTGCGACCGGTCGCGTTCTCATCGCCGACACCGGTAATGACACGTCGGCTAGAATTTTAGTGTGGCTTATTCTTGAAGGCCGTGCATACAGCACAGTCTCGTTTTATGCTGTTCCATGCAAGTTCGTCAAAGTGGAAGCCGCGAAGAGGACACCTGCGGCGACATTTAGCGCGAACGCGTGACGTCACGCATTATCGCACGTCATGGAGGATGGTAGCTGAAGACAGAGCTTGAATGCCTTCGCAACGGTATCATCATCCAAATTGCAAACAATAGTGTTGTGAAGTAACTTAGGGTAGTGTGAGAACTTGATCATCGTTGGATTGCAACCGATCGACTTCCTCCTACGTACTTTTGGCCAAAAGTGCCCATTCATCCTTCAAGACATCAATGAACGCCCGACCATCCTGTCAACGCCCACCAACCAGGATGGCAAACAGATGTAGACTTTTTCGGGCTGCCTTCGCAACACTCACCTCATTCAGAACTGTCTAGTTTCTCCGACATCGCCAGCAGCTCACTCTGGATGTCCGCCTCTTGCTTGACCTTGATCCTTTTTGGTTCTGGCGCCGCGATCATTCCTGTGGTCTCAGTACCCGCTGAGCCAGCAGTCGGGAGCGCAGCCTCTGCGTTCCGCTTGGAGCTGAAGTCTGCATACACTCCAGCCATGTCGCCAGGAATAGCTATAGGTCTCTTCCGAATGGTTGCTGTCGGGATGTCGAAGTACGGTAAGCCTTGAATCGCCTTGTTGGTGATGCTCAGTGGCTTGGTGTTGCCGTCGATAGGCCCGGAGACGTAGGGCCTGGGTATAGAGCTCTCGTACATGGACAAGACGGGCATGGTACCGCTGAGCGAGATTTGAGTGCTAGCCTTGATTCTCTTTGCCTGTGCTTCTTCTTCTGGTCTCCTTACACGCCAATCGGGGGTGTTTTGTTCTGATGAAGCCGGGCGACCACAGAACTCATATTCGGCTGTTTTGTCGTCATGAAGTAGGCCCCTGGCAAACACCGTGGTAGAAGTTTCGAGATATGCAGGCCGATCGCGGTTGGGTCTGTTGGCCTTGATGTTGCCTAGATTGTCAAAATCATACAGCCAAAATGTGCTGAGCTCCCTAGCGGTGTATGTTCGGGATTTGTAGACTGCGTAACAGGCGTCGTCGTCGAGGTTTACATACCTTGAGGCTCCCTTCTACCGTAGATAATGGGATGCGGTACCTTCCCCATGTACATCTTCCAGGTCGGATGACCGCGTACTGTAGTCTTCGACCCCGTAATGAAGGCCTTGTTGGAGTCGCCCCTACCATCGCCATCGGTCCAAAGGATTCGCATTCGTTTTCCGTTGGAGACCATTGTATTCTCCCGGCCGGGGGTTGCTGCTGCGATGTATCCAGGTTTTACCATGATGTCTCCACCTGGGTGTTGTCTTACCTTACCGTCCAGAGGATATGAGATATGCCAGACGAATACAGGGGTTCTTACTTGAAGCAAAGACAGGGGGACTTACCGTGGATTTGGATGATACTATAGCGAAGAGTGAAGGAGAATCTCAACCGATACGAATAAGAGAAGGTGAAGGAGTTGTGACTGAAGAGAGGTGGATTATATAAAGCTCTGCTGCTAGCGGCGGTGACGGCCAGTAGCCACGTAGGAGGCGAGGTGTACGTTGAAGTACACCGTGGATCCACTGCCACGAGACTTGGACAAGAGAAGAGATGGGTGATGATGGGATGGCATGCAACGATATGAGAGCCTTCGGCGAAACAGCTCATGGCTATCGCAAAGTTTCTGTACACGAATTTACGTCTCCTACGATTAGCGAGCAACAAGATTGAGGATTAGCCTTTCTTAAAGGCGCGTACTGCTCTTCGTGAAGACTCCGTGCAACGATTTGGACAGATGTTCTGTAATTGAAGTCGAATAGTCGGTGACACTTTTCATACTGGGAAATCGTTACTGCTCGACATGAGCACGATGAGAGGACAATCGTGTATGATGACAAGGTATACGTGAGGAGCTTTTTTCTATGGCGGCATGGCTCAGAACCGCGGACATTATAGGAGCTCAGAGTGGTGTTAAGAGCAATTGTGGACGAAAATAGTCTAATTATGTCCTTACGGCATCTCGTCGATGGTCCGTGACGATGATGATGATGGTGCGGTCGAGTCGGACCTTCCTGGCGGATTGATGTCAACGATGTTGGCTCGGGCCAATCAAAGACGCCAAGAAAACGGTAGGTCATCCAGATCGAACTTCATGACCGCCACCACTTGCATCGCCAAATCCAACGCTCGCTGGACCCCCGAGCATCAATTGCGCGAGACAACACACATACAGCAATCACGATGCTCGCACGACACGCACCTGCCTCATCGGCGCTCAGCGCGGCCGCCCACCGAACGCTGCCCGCGGCTTCGGCAGCTACTCGCCTTTCGGCCGCTGCCCCCCAGAACCGCACACAGAAGAGGACGCTCGCGACGGTCCAGGATGCGCCACCAAAGAGGACATACGGCGGCTTGAAGGACCAGGACAGGATCTTCCAGAACTTGTACGGACACCACGGTGCGGATCTGAAGAGCGCGCAGAAGTACGGTGATTGGCACAAGACGAAGGAGATCCTTCTCAAGGGTCACGAATGGGTGTGTAGAGGCAATCATACACGGCGTACGAATCAAGGCTGACGGGTATAGATCATCTCTGAGATCAAGGCTTCTGGTCTCCGTGGCCGAGGTGGTGCTGGTTTCCCCTCTGGTCTGAAATGGGTAGGCAACGTCAAGACCTGTCATCGTGACTTCTGCTAATGGTTGCAGTCATTCATGAACTTCAAGGATTGGGACAAGGACAGCAAGCCCCGCTATCTGGTCGTCAACGCCGATGAGGGTGAGCCCGGAACCTGCAAGGACCGCGAGATTATGCGCAAGGACCCCCACAAGCTCATTGAAGGCTGTCTCGTTGCTGGTCGTGCCATGAACGCTACCGCTGCCTACATCTACATTCGAGGAGAATTCTACCACGAGGCTACCGTGCTCCAGCGCGCCATCCAGGAGGCATATCAAGCCGGTCTTATCGGCAAGAACGCCTGCGGTTCCGGATACGACTTTGATGTCTACATTCACCGAGGAATGGGCGCCTACGTCTGTGGTGAGGAGACCTCCCTCATCGAGTCGCTAGAGGGCAAGCCCGGAAAGCCTCGCTTGAAGCCTCCGTTCCCTGCTGCTGTCGGTCTGTTCGGATGCCCTTCCACTGTCGCCAACGTCGAGACTATCGCTGTCGCACCCACAATCTGCCGACGAGGAGGTAGCTGGTTTGCCGGCTTCGGTCGTGAGCGCAACCAGGGTACCAAGCTGTTCGCTATCTCCGGTCACGTCAACCACCCTTGCACTGTAGAGGAGGAGATGTCCATCCCTCTCCGCGAGCTCATCGACAAGCACTGCGGTGGTGTCCGTGGTGGTTGGGATAACCTGAAGGCTATCATTCCCGGTGGCTCTTCCACTCCCGTTCTACCCAAGCACATCTGCGACGACCAACTCATGGACTTTGACGCGCTCAAGGACTCACAGTCTGGTTTCGGTACCGCCGCTGTCATCGTCATGGATCAGTCCACAGATATCGTCCGCGCCATCACCCGTCTTGCCAAGTTCTACCACCACGAGTCCTGCGGTCAGTGCACACCATGCCGTGAGGGATCAAAGTGGACTCACCAGATCATGGACCGCTTCTCCAAGGGCCAGGGTCGTGAGCGTGAGATCGACATGCTCCAGGAGTTGACCAAGCAGGTCGAGGGTCACACCATCTGCGCGCTGGGTGAGGCGTTCGCATGGCCGCTGCAGGGTCTCATTAGGCATTTCAGGCCAGAGCTTGAGGCCAGGATGAAGGACTACGGATTGAAGAACGGCGGTGAGGCGTTGGCAGGTGGATGGGCACACGATGCCGCCAAGAAGGGTCTTCTTGTCTCGCCTGGGCAGTAGAGGAAGAGCTGGGAGATTTGTACTTTGCATTTTCCATGTTTGAACTTTGATTTCGGCGTGCATTTACTTTGAAGAGCTGAGCTGTAAATAGTTTCTCGGCGCAAATAAAGCAAGATTGAAATTGACTCGCATGACATCCTTTCTCGCAGCCATGATAGCAACGCCGGGAACGCCTTGCAAACTAAAGTAACAGTATTTCTCTTGGGCTTCCTTCTCAAGTCCCCATGCAGATCTGGATAAACTCCTCCCTCGAAATCGCGTTATCGTTGTCCATATCAAATTCCTCAATCATAGCCACCAACTCATCATGCGACAGCGCCTCGCCCAACTCCCTCGCAACACGAGTAAGATCCTGCAGAGTAATCGTCCCCTTCCCGCCTTCATCAAATAGTTCAAAAGCCCTAAGAATCTCATCCCTGGGATCACGACTCAGAATCCTCTGCGCCATGAGCGTCTGAAAAGCCTGAAAGCTCAACAACTGTCTGCCCGGCGCCGCATACTGCTGCTGTTGCTGTTGTTGTCTCGAACTCTGCTTCCCACCCTGTTGACCCCCGGCTGTCCCATACTGTTGCAGAATGCCCAGAATCTCCTGTTTTGGGAGATCAAATCCGAGTGCTTTCATAGCGACTTTGAGCTCGTGGTAGTCGATGTAGCCGTCCTTGTCGAGGTCGAAGAGGTTGAAGGCTTCGCCGATTTCTTCTCGTTGTTCTTCTGTGAGCTCGGCGAGGGAGGCTGCGCCGGAGGCTTCCATGCGTTGGGCGGTTTCGCGCGCGGCGCGCTCGCGTTCTAGGCGCTCGGATTCGAGGCGTTGGGCATTTTTGGGGTTGGGGGGGAAGGCGGGTGTGCTGCTGAAGGTGGGTTGCGGTTGGGTGGGTTGTTGGGGTGGTGCGGTGCGGTTTAGGCCGTAGCGTGGGCCGGGGCCGAGGGGGTTGGAGGATGTCGCCATGGGGAGGTTTTTGGTGGTGGTGGTTGAGGATGGGTGTTGTGGGATTGGTGGGGTGCGCGAGGTGGTGGTGGTGGTGGTGGTGGTAGACTCGCGCGGCCACGGTTTAGTAGGTGAGATTTGTGTTCAAGGAAACTTGCACAGGTTCACGGACGCTGTAACGGTGTACGGCGTAGTTGCGACAATTGTCCTCGTTGTTTGGAGATTCTCAATGTGGACGAAGATGCGCGGTTGTTTGGGACGCGAGGCGCGTCGGGCATGAGAGCTTAGCTGCAGCTCTAGCGCGATTTGGCCTCCAGTGGGGAATTGAGTTGTGTAGGGCTGACAGAGGCCCTGGCATACGACTACGATGTAAATTCCGGTACAATATAATAGCACTTATTTGTTGGTTCTCCTTCCGAAAGCGATCCCGAGATCTTTCTCCGTTTGATCTATTCGATGAACGGAGAGGACCGCTCGATTACCGCCACGAATGTCCACACAGCTGATCGAACCACCGAGGCAGTTAGAGCGCAAGCAATATGCATTGCATGTAAGCTATCCGGATTTGACATCCATTCGGACCTTCAATCTTCACATGATCTGAAAGACGCCTGTCTTATCGAGCAACCCTGCACTTGGAATGACGCAGTAAAGCGGCTGAGAGGAGGGCGTGAAGTAAAGGAGTGTAACGTCTCACCAGTCACAAAAACAAGTCCTTTGTCTGGCACACCTTCTTCCTAGCCAGAATCCCAGTCATCCATCTCTGGCTAGACCGGTCTCTTCCTTTCAATGTGACTCAATCCGGCTGTGCAGGAGGATTTGTCGCCAAGGCTGTCTTCAGTCACCAGGCAGCCGTAGGTAGCAACAGCGATGCCTGAGGGGTACCTTATGCATTCCCTTCATACAAGTCGCGCCCGGACAACGTGTCTTTTTATTCGTCAATCGCTATCTCGCTTTGTCATGCGTGCAGCGGCTGCAGTCGTATCAAAGGGTCTTTTGCTGGCAATCGTGTTTGGGAGACGCACACGTGACGCCCGGTGACGGGTTAGCGCAATTTTGACGTGCCTTCCTCCTAAGTGCAACCTCACCTTTGCTTGTCCCTCCAAACCCTCGCGCCCGTCGCTCTTTCCCTTCCATGACGGCCATTTCACTACTTAATCAGTGCCGCGCCTGATCTTCTTACTAATTCCACTCTTTACTCTTTTGCTCCTCGCAGGAAGCCCCCACCGCGCCTTGTTCTCGTCCGCCCATTCCTTGGCGCGTTTTCCGCGAAGCTCTCATCAACACCTGCCTCTCCCAGAGCTGCAGCACCTCGATTCTATCAACCACCCCGCATCCACACGACTCTACAGCGCATTGCTATCCAACTAGACACCATCACACGCGCAACCCGTCGGACACGCTTAAAATGTCCTTCGGCGGTGGTTTCGGGGGCTTTGGCTCCAACAACAACAACCAGTCTACTGGCTTCGGTGGATTCGGCTCGACCAACAATAACACATCAAGTGGTAAGTAAAAACTCTTGCTTGAATTCTTGGATCCCTTTACGCGCGACCGCTCCGATGCGCCCTGCGACATCGCCACGGCCATGACGACGAACCGTGTCTAACTTGCCTTCCGCCTCAGGCTTCGGCTCAAACGCGAACACCGGGACGAGCATATTCGGCGGCGGCGCAAATACGGGCAGTACAATGTTCGGTGGCGGCAACAACGCCAGCTCGAGCTCGCCTTTCGGCGGCTCAGGTACGTGGACCGGTTGCGCTTCACCATCGCGTCGCTATTTGGATTACTCCGCGTTTTTCGAGGTCGCTCTTTGAAGTACTACAGGGTCGCCAACGACGCTACGTGTTCCTGTGCTCCATCGCGATAGCCTCAAACTTCACGAGGATCCATTTTTCACGACCCGGACCAAAGACTAACTTTCCCTACAGGAGGCTTCGGCGCTAATACGGCACCCAAAACCGCTTTCGGTTCGCAACCCTTCGGCAGCTCGACAACAGGCGGTGGCCTCTTTGGTGGTGGAGGTGCTTCAGGTGGCAGTGCGTTTGGCGGCGGCTTCGGAGCGTCGAACAACAACACCGCTACCTCAGCTTTCGGCGCCAGCAACACCAACACTGGGGGTGGTCTTTTCGGTCAGAGCAAGCCGGCGACAGGCTTCGGCGCTTCAACAACAACTGGCGGAGGTTTGTTCGGAGGCGGCAACACTAGCAGTGGCTTCGGATCTACCAACGCGAACACCACAACGGGCGGTTTCGGTTCCAGCACTACTGGCGGTTTTGGTGCAGGCAACAACCCACCCCCAAACAATGGTACCGCCAGCACTCCGTTCCAGGCATTTCAGGAGAAGGATGGCACAACAGGCAACGCGCAATCGCAGTACCAGACCATCACCTTCCAGCAACCGTATACCAACTACTCACTCGAGGAGCTACGAGTAGCCGACTATAACCAGGGCAGGCGGTATGGCAACCAAAATGGCCAAGCTGGAGCGTTCGGACAGAGCACTGGCTTCGGCGGATTTGGTAGCAACAACAACACCACTGCTTCCACCGGCGGCTTTGGTGCAGCGGCCAATACTGGCGGCAGCTTGTTCGGCGGCGGCAATACCAACACCGGTACCACATCGGCATTTGGTCAGGGCACCGGTTCTGCTTTCGGAGCAAACAACAATACTGCGAGCGGCGGTCTTTTTGGTCAGAACAAGCCTGCAACTGGTGGTCTATTCGGCTCAAACAACAACACTACAACTGGAACTACTGGTGGTCTCTTCGGAGGTGGCGCCACTACGACAAACAACACTACTGGTGGGTTTGGGTCTGGAGGCGGCGGTTTCGGTGCATCAACAAACACTGGTGGTGGTCTCTTCGGTCAGAACAAGCCTGCGACTGGCGGTCTATTTGGAGGTGGTGCCGCGACCAACACTACCTCAACACCTTTCGGGGGTGGTGCCACGAACACTGGTGGCGCTTTCGGTCAATCGAACAATGCCGGCGGTGGTCTCTTTGGCCAATCCAACAACCAAGCCTCTTCTACCCCCGCGTTCGGAGCCAACAACACCGCCACAAATACCGGCGGAGGTCTCTTCGGCAACAACACGGGTGGAGGCTTTGGACAGAACAACCAGGCTCCTGCTCAGAACAACACCTCTGGAGGTCTCTTCGGCGGCGGTGGTGGTGGTGGCTTCGGCCAGAATAACAACAACCAGCAAAAGCCCGGTGGCCTCTTCGGCGGTGCAAGCACTGGTAACACGGGCGGTGGCGGCCTCTTTGGTCAAGCCAACCAGAGCCAGCCCGCTTCTGGCGGCTTGTTCGGCGGTTCTACTGCTAACAATAACACCAACAACACTGGAGGTGGTTTGTTTGGGCAGAAGCCTGCTACCGGCGGCGGTTCTCTGTTCGGCGGCAACAATGCTAACACTGGATCATCTGGTGGAGGCTTGTTCGGCAACCTCGGGAACAATAACAACACCCAGCAGAACACAGGAGGTGGGCTCTTTGGTGGTGGCCAGAACAACAATCAACAGAAGCCTGGCGGCCTGTTTGGCGGTTCTACATCGAACACAAACACTGGAGGCGGTCTCTTTGGTAGTGGAATGGGACAGCAAAACAACCAACAACAGGGTCTTGGCGGCTCACTCTTCTCGAACCAGAATCAGCAACAAGAGCAACCCAGCCTCAGCAACAGCTTGTTTGGGGCTTCGGGAAGCTCCCTGTTGAACACGTCGATGAACACCAACCCTTACGGCAACGACGCCCTCTTCGCTGGACTTGCTACCCCGACACAGAGCCCTGGCCCAATCGCAACTCCCTTGTCGAGCAGTCAGAAGAACAAGAAGAACGCCATACTTCCCCAGCACAAGCTCAACCCGGCTGCTTCGACACGACTTCTTACACCGCAAAACAAGAGGGGCGGTTACGGATTCTCATACTCCACCTACGGCACTCCAGTCGGTGGTGCGAGTCAGAACGGTGGCCAACTCGGAGGCAGCCTGTTTGCGAGCGGCAGTCTGTCTCGATCCCTGGGTAAGAGCCTTTCCACGAGCAATCTCCGGAACAGCTTCACACCCGAGACGAATAGCATACTGGCACCAGGTGCGTTCTCCAACACGGGACGAAACTTCGGTAACGGCAGTCTCAAACGACTTAACATCAACCGTTCCATCGCCAATCGGGCCCCACTGTTTGATGAGCCTTCCCAGAAGCGTGTCAGCTTTGCTGGTGGTGAGAGCCCCAACGGTGATGCTAACGCAGAGACTGCGCTGGTCGTCAGGCAAGATGAGGAAGATGCTTTTCCCCGCCCCAACAAGGACACCAACGGCGAACCTTCTCGCCCAGCAATGCAGCAAGTCAATGGAACGGAACTCGCCCGCGTTTCGGAGGAGCATGTACTTGCCCCCAAGTCCTCTGCATCCATCAACGTTCAACCGGGTCAGGACCCCAAGCCAGGCGAGTACTGGTCAAGCCCCTCGCTGGATCAGCTGAGGAGGATGAGCAAGCAGGACCTCAAGAGCGTACCCAACTTCATTGTCGGTCGTCACAACATTGGCCAAATCAAGTTCAACCACGGCAAGCCTGTCGATCTATCCGAAGTCGACCTTGACAGGTTATTCGGTGACATTGTTCAGCTCAATGCTCGTAACGCTACGGTGTACGGAGAGAGCTGCACCTGCCTGCCAAAGCCACCGCTTGGCAGCGCCCTGAACCAGCCTTCTGAGATTGTCCTTGGTAACTCTTGGCCTCGTAACAGGGCTGGCAAGAAGGATGTCAAGCATCTTGAGCGTCTCAAGCGAGTGGCTGGCACTACTTTCATCAAGTACAACCAGTCCACTGGCGAATGGACCTTCTCTGTTCCCCACTTTTCGTCTTACGGTCTAGACTACGACGACTACAGCGAAGACGAAGGCGAAGACGAAGATGCGTCAAGCGATCTCAGCGACGTCCCTGATACTCCTGCTGAGCAGCAGCACCGCTCGAGCCAGATGACCAGCACACCTCAAGATGACTCCTTCATCAGCCCACAGTCGCAGTCTAGCCCCGATGACACCTTTGACTTCAAGAAGGGAATGCGCGGTAGCCGTACTAGCGTGCCTGGTGGCTTCGGCGATGAGACGGCGTATGTGGATGACGAAGATATGGAAGACAACCACGGCGAGTCTTTTTTAGGGCAGCGCTCCGTGGGTTCGCTTGATGGGCAGCACGATGCTGACTACTCTGAAGAGAGCGAATCGGAATTGGCGCGC